GACTGTGGATCACAAGGTCCGCGGTTCGGGTTCCGCCGCGGCAAAAATGTCCTTTGGCAAGCCATTAATCTACATTTTCCACACTCGACCCAGGTCCTTGACATGCAGTGTGCGCTGATAACGACTGCGGGAGGTAAAGCTAGGGTAATAATTTCCAAAGCTCTTTGGAAGCGCATAGGGAATTAATATGCGCTATACTAGAACAGAATATTGTTAACTGTAGGCGTATGCATTCACAAGAAATAGGGCCCTCACAAAAGCCAAGTTGGGACAGTGCAAGTATTGTGTTATCATTTATTTTCTTCATACTCTGTAAACCTTCAACTATAGAATGCTAAGTACATTTTTAAGGTTGATTTTGTAAATTCCAGCTGTTTTGGTGATTGGTAGTAGCCTGTAACATGAATCAGGATCTGATTTATTATGCAATGCTAAGCAGCTGTTATAGCCATTTCAACAGCTTACCTTGTTTCAGTTACTCTATTGCCATACACCTTTGATAGATTTACACATTATTTTTCAAGTTTGACTGGCAAACCCCTGTAGCGGAAAGAATAGCAATTGCTTAATAATCAAGAGTAATGGATTAACATCTGTTACTGTGTCGTCACAATATGATTGGCATTTAATTGGAACTGATGCAGCTACATGTAGGTGCAGTGTAATTCAGTCTAATTCACAATGAAGGGAAAAACAATTATGTACATACTTTAAATTGGCCTAAGTGCAAATTTTTATAATTGGTTTTTTTCATAGAGGGGAGAGGGGTTCTTTCTATATTCAATGAATATGGTCGAATCCGAAGTACTTGAGTAAATAGCATGTACATAGTTACATGTATATTTCTGTACATATGATTCATGTGTATGTGTGTGTTGACAAATATGGATTGCACAATACACAGGTTAAGTTATGGTAGGAAAATGGATGAAACATAATTTCTGTTCAACATGACCTACCAATATGAAATACATGTCACGCATCATATGCTACAAATATGAACTGAGACTTGTTTGCTCTTCATTCAAATCAGTTTTTGTCCCCTCTAGACTGTAATCAGTCTACGGTTTGTCATGAAAATCATTGTTTTCAAGTACGAGCATACTCAATTGATGATGATATAATGTTAAAGGTACATTTTGCAGCCAACATCAAATTCTCTGTAGAACTTTGCAAGAATTATGAATATGTCACGTTTGTCCTATTTGTGAAATTTAAATATGAGCGTGTTCTTTTATTCAAATTATGCAAGGAAGCCATTAGCTTTCTAGAGTTCACTGTCAGACACTATTGAGTGGCTGACTGCCTTCTTTTTCTTTGGTAATAACATACATGTACATAAAATGAGCTGTAACAGGTGCATGAGCATTTGTCTACATCAATAACCCACTACAAAATAAATGGCCAAAATCAAACTGATCGAATCTTTGCGCAGCACAAAACATACAACAATTTGGTACCAGGGTCCGAAAATCAGTCTATTACTTAAGTGATTGCAGTCATTTAAGTCGATTTGACAACTAATGGTCGTAATATTCCCACTAAAAGCCATTTTCAAGTTGTTATTTAGTATTGGTCCTCATCATGCAAACACACTGCTAGAACTACCAGCATATATCTGCTTCCTCTACCTCAAGCTAACTAGTATGATGAAAGGATTACAAATATGTGGAGCATGCATGCTAGCCAGGGCCTGATAATAGATTATGCATACATCACTATAGAGTACCAAAGCTGTGACGTCATAAAAATCTATTTTTAGAATTTCTCAATTTTTTCTTCATTTTCCGAAAGAGCATAAAAAATAATGTCTGAATGTCGAAAACCAATTGAATATGTTAAGTATTGGCTGAGATATGACCATCTGAATAAATATATTTCCTATAGGAACTCAGTGTTATATGCTGTTGTTGTTGTAAATTGTTGTTGTTTTCCTTCCACTGATCTTTCCCAGACTTGTTCTGTTGGAAAGGAGTAGGGTGGGCTTTGAAGTGTTTTCCTGACATTTTATTTTTCCTTCCCCCTTTTCCTGACAGTGTCATTCATTCAACAGAGATTGAGTAATTTCAGATGTGGTAATTAACCCAACATTTGCTCTTGCTTTACAACTACACTGTATATAGGCTCTGCACGTTATAGGTTCTGCACGTTATTTTGTCAAAGATGTCGGTTTAACAGGGTTTTAGTTGAGTTTTTGCAAAGTTTAAGGTGAGGATTAGAATCATGTCAACATGAAAGAAATTTCTCAGTTCCGCTTAATGGCTAGATTCTTTTCAGCTATTTATTTTCCTTTAACAGTAGTTAGTAATTTGGTAGTAGAATGAAAAGCTTGACACTCTGTGTTCCATTAATCGGTGGACCAGTACAGTATAACCAAGTTTGTCTTATCTACCTTGATATGGTCAAAGTGTCTGGTCACTGTTTGAAGTTAGGAATTTAGTTAAAATGTAGGAAATTTACCACAGAGCATTTGTCGCCCAGAGTGTGTATTGTAGAAACAAGGGCAGCATAGGGATCAGCATGGTTTCATACCATGGATCTTTCAGATGCAAGCTAGACCACTGTCTGTTACCTGCCAATACTACCTTTATAAACCTTTTGAAATAAATATAGCTCTTCACAGTTACAAAATGAAATTCATTCTTGTATTCGATATATCTGGGCCCTCTGCATGTATTGCCAGGCTAGTAAGTCCTCTCTATGTAAAGACATTGCCAGTCAGAGTCTGAAGCTAGATGGGTAATATTAACAATGTATGAAATGATATGAGTTATAAAAAAAACCTTCTGGCTTAAAACCCACAATATTTGCTCTATCAATCATTAGCAATCTAATGCATTAATATTGATTGAACTCAAAGTCATTATAAATGCATATTTACATAAATGTCACCCCTTGCATGCTTTCCCACATACTGTATTGTGAGCGTAAATTGTTTGACAAGGTATAAAACAATTAAGTGATGTGGATATTTTACATTATATTGTCTGGTTTCTTGCTATTCATTTCATTTGTTCATTTATTTCCATCTTCATATAAGATTATATGCCTTATCTTGTAATAGAGTCATTATAATGACTCTATTACAAGATAAGGCATATGATTTTTATCAGTTCTTTAAAATGAACCATAACCATGGTTGCTGGTAGATAGCCAGATGTGTTTTGAGCTCTGTGTACAACCTCTATTATCATACTTTTTATATGTTTTTTTTTATTTCTCGAGCTTTACAAGATGAGGAAGAACAATGTCAATATTTTATAAATTTGATAGAGCCCATGTTGGTCAGTAACAAGGAGGATGCTGCCAACCAAAAGTGTGACATTGTCAATTGTTTTGAATAACCTAAGTAAAAATGTGCAGAATAGGAAGTGGACCTACAGGTATTACATTCTCTTGACCATTTGTATGTGCTTCTGACATACCAAATTCATATATTATTTGCTCAATAAGGCAATTATGCAAGTAGTTACATGTATGCCTATGCACCAACCCAGTTATGACAGAGCTTGGTAGGGGAAAGGGGTGGTACGTGGGAGGGGGGGGGGGTCAGGAATGCAGAACAAAACTTTGGTGTTTGTGCTGTTTTGTAGTGATCCTTACTCATTACTTATAATCTATTGAATAAACTTTTATTACAGTTGCCCCCATACAGAAATAAGAATTTTAATTTCCTTAAAAGTGAAATACTGTTTGTATACTGTGATGTACGTCAGCTACATTTGTATGTACGAAGATAACAATGAAATTAAAGGAATGTACCTGTACTTGTACCAGTACTAGTACTTGAGCATGTTATTTTCAACAAGTTTAAATTAATTGTGAATGATGTTTGATTTTGTTGTTTTAAGGGATTGAAAAAAAGGGAATGTCCACACACAAAAATTGATTGCATTTATTGAATACGATTTAAAAACTATTAGGAGACACATCAATAAAGATGATCTGTTACTGTAACATGTTTATGATGTGTTCTGGACTCTCAGAGCCACTTGTTGCACTTGTTAAGTGAAACTACAGTATGAGAAAACAAAATAACTGAGGAAATGTGTATGGTTCTGACTTGAAGTACATTTCACAGTTTGACATCCATCATTCACAGACACAGTTCATCTAGACTTGCAGAATACATGTAGTTTGTAGTATTTCACTTCAAATCTTAATATTTCTTCACTTCTAAGTCGTACATATTTCAAGTATAACATGAATTTTCTAATGTATTAAGACTTGGCCATATGTTGTTTATGAGATCTCTTTGCATATCAGCTCACGGTCACTGAAATATATGTATTGTGAATTGCAAATTATGCAAATCGTTTTCATTTTACTGTGGTTAACATTGGATCAGATTGTTTTAACTTAAACTTTATAAATGTGAAAGATGGCCATAATGTCTCTAAATCTAAATCCTAAATATATCTGCTTGTAAGATACCAGCATAACCAAACTGTAATTCAATGTTAACCACAATTCTTTATTAGCCACATAACAGTTATCTATCAGAGATATTGGAAATCATATTAATTTATTCTTGAAATCATGATCTACCTTCACATTTTATAGTTGTAGAATGTCTTAAAAGGATGCAATGAAGTGGGATGCATGGGACAAGAAATTGATTGAAAAGACCAGTTGATGGCTATTATGTGAGGACAGAGGACACTGTAAGAAAAATAAAAACAAAAATATAAGTATGGATTTATAATGCTACAGTGTGGAAAGCCTCCTTATATGTGTACTCTATCTGTAATTTGACTACACTCATTTTACAGAAGGGATCCTATTATCTACCAGGACAAATAGGCCTACATGTTCAAAAACTGTTGAAAGACACTTGAAAGTTAGAGATAAAACTTGAAGTTTATTCTGGGCCACTTGTTGCACTTCTGGCTATTTGTTGATAGTGAATGAACACAAAATGTAAGAATAAAACAATAAAGAAATATTGGTCTGGTTCCAGATGAATACTTCACATCTGTTTTCATGTCTTGGTTTTGCAGAGAAAAAGACCCCAGCTTATCAGACGGTGAACCTAGCCATGACATTGACCCAACACCTGTTAACATTGATACAGAAAGGTCATCTGAGGTCAAACTGCATCAACATGATACATCAGGGTAAGTTATCATTGCACAGGGTGCTACTTCTGCAGTCTGTATTTTGATATTCTTTGCATTTTGAAATATCTTGCAAATGCAGGTCATTGTTAGCTAACAATGTGTATTCTGGTTGATTTAAAGCTACATGCATGTGTGCAGAACTCTGTTTATGCAAGGACAGAGATAAAGTTAATCTTGAGCTTTAGTATGGGAATCGTGTGTGGAGAGAACATGGCCATAATTCATTCAGAATTGTTTATCCTGCAGTACAGTGTAGATTGATTGTTTGAACCAGTAAATAAAAACAAAATCATGAAAACTTCCTGGAAATCATCTTCAATAAAAACCAAATCTCTCATTTGCAGGTAGTGACTATTAAGAACATGGTGTTGGGCCTACTTACCTCGATTTCTTTATCTTTCTATGCTCATTACTCACCCCCTATACATTTTTTACCAAAATCATTATATACATTTTGTTCGATTCTGTGAGAATTTATTTTTACCAGAACTCAAGCTTATCTTTAATGTTGCAGATATCGTTTTGTTACTTATCTACATAAATATGAAACCTGACATTCTGACAACTCCTTTTCCCTAATTCTTTATTTTCTCAACCTGCATGTATTTCTTTTGAAATAATTTAATGTTTATATACAAGTGCTGAGGTAAAATTACTAATGTCAACTCCTTATACTCTTGCCCATTCTTTCAAAGCAAGCAACCCATATACTTAGGAGAGAATGTGAAAAATGATATTAAATTTGACTTCTCCCTTTTAATTTCAACCATAATGATAATAATAATAGCTCACATTTATAATGCACCTACCGTAATTAACGGTGTATTAACTGCACTTTTTAAGTTTTGATTTATGCCCCTCCACCTGGTGCTATACCCGGCAATGTTTCCCAGCTCGGTAATCGGTGTGTTGACTCACCACTCGGAAACTAGAACAACACTCAAATTTGTCTGTCATCTTGGTTTGAAAGTAATCTTTCTGATAGATTTCAATATGTAGTTGATAATAATAATTCCTCCAATTTTTTTTCTATTACATGGCATACCACAAGGTTCTATCTTTTTCTTCTTTTTTTTTTAGGGCGAAAAAGAGGGGTGCGGTTACGGTAATACTTTGTTTCTAGGCGCAGCACATAGAAGTGTTACTATTTCAAAATAATTGTAATTATCTTCAGTTCATGCTCAATATCTCCTCCTTCACCTTGCAGGCCTGATAATGAAAGCAACACCAAAGATGCTGTGGATGATCTCCAACAACAAACACATGTCGTTCAAGAAGAGGCAGAGGAACATAACAACATTGCTTTAGATTCTGATAAAATGGACAAAAATGAAACATCAAGTTTAGATCTAGATGCCGATCCAGATCCAAATCAAGCATCCAAACCTGAAGAAGAATCAATAGATGCCATGATAGAGCTGGATCAGGATGAATTAGATGATATCAAGACAGAGCTGGTCAATAAAATTTCAGAAGAAGAAGTAACAAATGCATCAGCAGATGTGTCTGAACTGAACTCTGAACTGCATAGTGATGATGAGAAACTGGAAGATACAAGCAAGGGTGAAGAGAAGGATATATTAAAAGAACAGTTAAGTACAGAAGCCCTTGGAGAAAAAGGTGACATCAAAACAACAGAGGATGGTGAAGATAAAGGAAAAGAGACATCAACGGTTGATCAGCAGATAGACATTGTAGATGAGAAGGTCAAGAGAAAAGATGAAGAGAAGCACAAAACACAGAGGAAAGGGGATGAAAAAGAAAAAGAGAAGGAAACAGAAGGAGAAAAGGTTGAAGGAGCAAAAGAAACAAAGGAAGAAATAGTTGAAAAAGAAGAAAAAGAGAGGGAAACAAAGGATGAGGAAGATGAAAGAATAAAGCAAGATCAAGAGGAGAAGAAGGACGTAGAGGCAAAGCCTAAAGTGGAGTCTGATGATGAGGAGGTCAAACCTAAAGAAGACGGTACCGAGGAAGAGACAAAGTCTAATGTGACAGACACTGTTGTAATCAAAACTGAGGAGATGCCATCGTATGATGAGTGGAGGGAGAAGAAGTTACAGCAAGCTCAAGAAGACTTTGATAGAGAATTGGGTAGGTCCTTTTTTTTATTTCTTATTCATTAAATCATTCAGTCTGATTTGAGAACAATACTCCATATCCTATGCCTGAAAGAATGTGGGAAGTTTCTTGACACAAGTCATGAATGAAAAGGGCTTAACATTTAGCTTGACTTGCACAAACTTTGAAACGCAACCATTCATAAAACAGACAACCTCATGAACATTTACTGTATATGTACATGTAATATAAGCAAATTATATTCATGTATAAAAACTAGCTACATATGACCCGTAGCAATATTGAAATCAAAAGTATTTTTCTTGAGCTGAATAAGTTATTACTCATTTATTCTACTTTACAAGTCATGATAATGATTACGATGATGTTGTTGATGGTGATGGTGATGTTGATGGTGATGAGGATGATGGTGATGGTGATGGTGATGGTGATGATGATGATAATGACAATGGTGATAATGATGATGATGATGATGATGATGATGATGATGACGATGACGATGATGACAACGACGACGATGATGATGATGACAGTGACGATGATGATTATTAAATGGTAAAAATTAAGAAAAGCTCACTTTAATTCTGCACAGGCCAAGGTGAGCGGAACCCTGTTCCATCTCCAAAGTTCAATTTGAATGAAAACAGTAAGAACCATGCATCAGCTGACTGTGGTTCCAAGATCCTAGGAACCAATCCTGATGCCCAGAGTGCTTCTGCTATTCTCAACAGTAATAGGGATATCTATATGATTAACCCTTGCTCTGCCAAAAGCATCTGGTATGTATTCATGGAATTCCATAATATCTCACTCACACCACTCAACCAAAGCAAAACTGACTGATAATGAAAAAAACTATATGATATTTGAGATAATGTAATTTTTCTTTTTTGGTTTAGTGTTGGTCTGGTATCTGTTCCATAAATGTGACTGAAGCATAAGAAAGCCCCTTTTATGGGATTTCAGTACATCATTATAGTCAAATTTGCATTTATTCTCCTAATGTATGCCTTAAATTGACTTACCATTTATTTAAGAACTGTACCGTAATTAGTGTCTATCTTGGTATATGAATCTTTTTAACTGTTGTTTAATGTAGATTTCTGGACTTGGTATCAAAGCTCAGTAGTATGCAGAATTATCAAAAGGTGGAAGCAATGTGTGCAATGTATGTGTTAATTATGATATTTTGTTCCAAAATTTCTTTCTCTCTCTCGCTCCCCCTCCCTCTCCCTGGCCCTGCCTCTCTCTCTCTCTCACTCCCCCTCTCTCTCCCTGGCCTTTCCTCTTTCTCTCTCTCGCTCCCCTTTCTCTCCCTGGCCTTGCCTCTTTCTCCCTTTCTCTCTCTCTCTCTATGTACCCCCTCTCTCTCTCCCTTTCTATATATCTCTCTCTATATATATCTCTCTCTCTCTCCCTCTCTCTCTCTCTCTCTCTCTCCCTCCCTCTCTCTTTCTCTCTGTCTCTCTCACCAGGTTTATTGTAGAGTTGTGTGAGCCCATCCAAGTAAAGTTGATAGAGCTTGCCAACTATGAGCTTTTCTCATGTGTTCCTGAAAGCTTCAGAGTTTCTATCAGTGACAGGTGAGTTATTTCAAAGATCTAGAACTTGACAAATGAGTAACTTGTAAAACTGGAGAGTTTTGCAAGTAGAAAAGTTTGAAGAATTTGTTGAGGGGTCCAAATTTGTAAAAGGTTTTCATTCCTTAAAAACATGTGGTCTCATAGTAGATCACAGAAAATTGTGTATTTTGATGACTAAAAGCCACAAACAGCAGGTTGTTTAAAATGTTCATTTAAACATTAATGAGAGTGTACAAGTAGGGTACTGATGATGCTTCACAAATGAAAGAAAAAGTGACAGTCCTTGTGTTGCCGTGGGAAAGAATGTCTTGAAAAATGTCAAATTGAAGTTCTCTTTCCTTTTAATCAATGAGAGATCCAATTATTCATCAGCTTAGTTGTATAGCTGGTATTTAGGTAAAGAGTATTGTTTATCCAATTATCAGTGTTTGAAGACATGTATTGTTAATTTTAAGGGATGAAAAATAAATGCGAGCACCATGATTTTCAGAATAAATTCCTTGAAAGCAATTGGTATCTGAGTAATTAGGAATGAACTAACAGTGATAAGTATCATTAAACCGCCCTGCATTTTGCTTTCTTTTTCTTTCTCCCTTCTTCTTTCTTTTGTTTTTCATCAGGTACCCTGTGAGAGAATGGCATCAACTGGGTATTTTCGTAGCTCGAGATGAGAGGTCTCTTCAGAACTTTCCTCTCAATGAAGAAACCATGTTTGCTAAGTACATGAAGATTGAGATGCTTACTTTCTTTGGCTCAGAACATTTTTGTCCTCTTAGTGTACTCAGGTCAGTCTCTAATTAACCATCAGTTCAATCCTTTCAATCCTTCTATCTACCTATCTTTGGTAAAACATAATAATCTTTTAAAGTCCGCTTCAAATTTTATTAAGTTAAACCGAAAAAGGAAATTCTTTTTGCCTAATTGATCATGAGCCTGGCAGCCACTGAGCAGCGCAAGGTCGACGTTGCTCTATCCCTTATTGTTGAACGCCAAACAAGGTAGCAGCAACTCTCATCTTTTAACGCCTTTTGGTATGACGTGGCCGGGGTTCGAACTCACGACCTCCCGGTTGTGAGGCGGACGCTCTACTGACTGAGCCAACACACCGGTATGGTAGAGGAAATAGATACATCATAGATTCAAATGCTATCCTTTGGTTTCCTTCTTGTAAGATGTTGCACATTAGTTTAGGGTTTCTGAGGGAGTTTTCTTTAACTGTGTATTCACCATGGACCAACAATTCCAAACTGCTTCATTGCTTGAGTATAATGTTCCAGACACGGCATCTATGTGACATAGGTTGGCCCTGATGGGCAAGTGTTTGTTTATTAGTCTATCAAAGCAGATAATTAATTGTATAAATCAAATAAGAGCATTGAACAGAGACAAGAAGCTTTATATATATCGCATTAAGGATATTAAATTGCAGAAAGATATAGAAAGTCCATACAAAACAAATAACCAATAAAAAATGAATGACATATTCATAATTTGCTTGTCTTTTCATTTATTTAGGGTGTTTGGTACAAGCATGGTGGAGGAAATAGATGATGCAGAGGGAGTCAACTCAGGGACTCCAACAGAACAAGGTAAGAGACTTTGTTTATATTAAAGGTATCGTCTCTTTGAGAGCCAGAAGGGTGGCAAAGTATAGTTATTTTGCCCTTCTATAGAATGGTGAAGTGTGACGTCATCAAAAATCTATTTTTAGAATTTCTCAATTTTTTCTTCATATTCCGAAAGAACATCAAAAATAATGTTCAAATGTCGTGAACCAATTGAATATGTTAAGTATTGGCTGAGATATGGCCATCTGAATGAATATATGTCCTATGGGAACTCAGTGTTATATGCTCTGGCTCCTAACCATTAGGAGCCAGAGCATATAACACTGAGTTCCTATGGGGAGTATATTTATTCAGATGGTCATATCTCAGCCAATACTTAACATATTCAATTGATTTTCGACATTTGGACATTATTTTTCATGTTCTCTCGCAATATGAAGAAAAAATTGAGAAATTCTAAAAATAGATTTTTGATGACGTCACAGCTTCGGTACTCTATTTACACACATGCCTCTTTAGACCATTACAATAAGCCAGTTCACGGTTGCAGTCTGAACATGAGCAGATAAAGGTCATTGCAGAACAAATTGTGAAATACAAGGAGACAAAATACTGGATACATGCTCATGAAGTTATGTATTCATTATTCATTTATGCACTACATGATACACAGGTGGAAGTATTCTTTGAAAAGGGGAAACAAAGGCTATTTATGTAGCACCTCCATCACTGTAGGAGTGATTATTTCAAAATGTACAAAGTGGGACCTCTTCATGTTTGAAGATCTGTGGATATTCGGGGTCAGTGCAGTAATGTGCTATCCGTGAACTGGTCTGTTATTGTAGTGGCATGTAAAGCAGGTATCATGATCTTCTACCCTCTCACTGCATAGTAAGTTGGATGATACTCCTCACATTTATATTGAAGGCAGACCAAATTATAGAAAGTTTTAGAACAATATAGGCATGAACTCATGAAAAACATTTTCTCAATTTAAATTCCATTTTCAATTTCACGTCCAGATAGTTTTTCTTTTTATTTAGAATAATTGATGATGCACTTTGTACTGTTCCATCAGAGCACATTTGTCTCATTGAAAAAAATGCTAGAATGACTAACAAATTTATTTTTATGACCAAGTATTTTTCATTATTGTTTTGTGATTATTCTTGCCTTCTGTCATGTTGTGTTGTATTACAGATTACTGTTTTGATAATGAAGTCAAACTGCACTTCCATTAGAGAGATTCTCTCACATCTGTCCTTCAATCTGTCTGTGACACCAAACCCTTCATAACAACATTTGTTCTCAATATGAATGAAATATCATTTAATGACTTTCCCTTAGATGTGCTGCCTGTCCATCCAACACCATTAGCTGAAGATCTAAAGGGGAATGGTATACTAGAAAATGCTAAGGATGCTATCTTCAAGCTTGCAGAGAAAGCTGCCAAAGTTTTAACAGGGTCCAAGTCAGATACAGATGCTTACACTGATAACATGACTGATGGTGCTACAGATGAGATATTGATGGAGAGGTGCGTATACCTAAAATTCCATTATGTTGTTGTTGTTGTTGTTTAGGTTAATAGGCGTTTATCATTTAGGAGTGAATATCTTCGCCTGTCTGTTATGATTTTTTTTCTTTTCAAATTAGATTTCATTTTTTGAATATATAGATTTGAATTATTTGGATTTTTAAACTTTGTATTTAATGTTGAAGAGGTCAGTGGCTGCCGAGCAAAAGGCATATCGGCTTTCTTTGGACGTCCAAGGACCAACCCGGACACGCTACGTTGTGACAAGTTTCTCAACTCAGCCAAATTGTTAGCCTGGCTCTCCGACGTCTGTTTTCTTTATAAGCTCTTTTAGCTCAGATGACACATGGGGAGAGAGCATTTGCCAAAAGGGTGTGTTGAAATAAAATCCTTGGTTCTACGTCCAAAGGCTAATCTAGAGTTGGTACCTCCAAGAATATTAAGCTGCCAACAATCGTTCACGTCTTTGTTCAGAGGATGGTTGCTCATACTCTTGATTTGTTTTCTTATTTTAATTGATACCATTTCAATCGCCCTGTCATTTTGTTTGTCTGCCTATCTTGGTGTTGGGGCAAAGGAGGATCTGTCTTTGAGAGTTGTCGATTTGGGGGGGGGGGGGGTGGGTGGTTTTGCTTTACTGTGTTTACAGAGGTTTGTGGATTATTGGAAGTTTTTACCTGGCATAGGGGCTTGCGCATGCATATTTTCTTTTTCTTCTTTCAATTTGCGAGCAGCTTGAGCATAGCTGAGATTATTTAGAATTTTTATCTTTTGTACTTCTTGTGTTTTTTGTGCTTGTTTGCATTCATTATATGCAGTGGAATGTTCATCTCCACAATTTACACATTTGGGTGTGTCCTTTTTTATGCAATCGTCAAAACTATGCTCCTCTCCACATCTCTGTCTCTGATTACAAACAGCAATGGTGTGGCCAATATCTTTGGCAGTTTAAACACCTGGGAACTGGAGGTATATGACTTTTATTTTTTGGAAGCAAAGAATGATGTATCCGGGAAGTTCTGTTGCTTCGAATGATAAAATTACACTGCGAGTTGGGACTACACATTCAATTCTTGAAATTCTTCCCTCTTTCGGTTTTTCCTTACTATTCTTTTCATGTTAACTAGGATTGTTAACTACCTTTTGACTCTTTAGTTCTGTTTCTATTTCTTTTACTGACATCTCGGTCGGTATATCTGATATAACACCCTTCTTCAGATCAAGTTTCATATTAGCCTTAAAGGCACACTGCCATACTTGTAGCTACTTGCTCCCTCTATATAGAAAACTTCCCGAATCGGTGCCTGTTGGTCCCCCATGATCCTCTTTTTCTTATGTTAAATGAGAGCTGAGTTAATGAGATAGCCACCTGTCACAGTGACCTTGATGGCTCTCTGTGTGGTCTAATCCCTTCTTGCCCAGTAGTGGTGATGGTCTTTAAACGGTACAGCGTTATCAATATTTTGTATTTCAGACAATTTCTTATGTTGTTTTGTGTTCACGCATTTGACGAGGATTCCATTCCGGGTGGACTTTATAAATTCTGGAATTCATTTTGATTGATTACCTTGGGCAAAGTCTTCAAATCTTAAACGTATTTAAAAAGTAGCAGTTTTTTTTTCTCTGCTTTTAGTGCTCTGAATAGATTTTTAGGTTTTTTTCTCCATAAATACTATATTTTTGAAGTATTTTCAATTTTAAACATTCTCAATTTTACATCAAGATAGATTACTAAAGGTATATACAACATTTTGGGGCTGTATTCAAAACATCAAAAGTTTGCGATTTGACAGTCCAGGGCAACTTGATTCAAATTTGTGTATTATGATATTCAGAAGAGTGCATCTAGTCAATACAAAGCAAATATTTGTCTGTATGAGGGATCAGTTCTTTTTAATTTGAGTTTCATGTTCTTTGTTCATTGACAGAAGCCTTCCTGATGACATAACAAAGGATGACACTCAAGACCCTGACAATGAGAACTTCAATGAAACTCACAATGACAAATGCAATGGACAAGATGTGTGCTTTCAGGAAAACTACTCCACTATGTCTCAACATTGCTGTCTTAGTCTCTTTGCCCAGACTGCTGGATCCATTCTCATATGTTGCAAGGCACTAAGACGAGGTCCTAAACCTATCAAACCAGAAGAAGAGACTGTAGAGGAGACAAGCAATCTCCTTTTGCCCAGTCAGTTACCCATGGAAGTGATTCAGACCAAGATAGAAAATACACAAGCAAAAATAGAGGGCAGTATTCGGACGTCTATTGTTTTAGAACCAACTCCACCTGAAATGTACCATGGAGAAGATGAAAAAATAGAAACCAGTTCTCCTCCTGTGCTTATCTTGTCAACAAAGACACCAACAGGTGCCACAAAGCCAAGTGAGACCCCACAGTCAGACATATTAGCAACAAGGACCAAGACTGAAGAGATACTGCATACACCAATAGAACAAACAAAGAAAGTCGTTGATGATGTTAGTGGTCAGACTGATAGCACTCATGAGGAAGGAAAAGAGAGCGAATCTGACATCATTGTTAAACCCATTCCGGCCCCACCGACTGTGGATTCTCTCAAAGAGGAAAGCACAAAAGAGAAAAGCAGTAGCATTGATGGGCATGATGTTGAACCTTCTGCAACTGAGCCAAGCAAATCAAATATAAATAAAGAAGATCTTGCTCCTCCAATCCAAACACTTAAGAGGTCTGAAAGAGAAGAAAATGAACAGCCTACAGGACAGACCTCAGAGAAAGATACTGCCAAAGCTAATGCTGCACAAGATGTGACCTCATCTAGCCAAAATGTATCAGAATCTGAAATTAATGGTAATGTCTCAGAACAACTTACGGATAAAGATCCCCAATCCACAGCTGATACCAAAGAACAAAATGGTGCAAATAAGAATGTTTCGAACAAATTACAAGAGCCAAAACTTGAGATGAATGAGTCAACAAAGGTCTCACCATCTAGCACACTTGGTGAGAAATCAACCACTGTGACTAATAACAGTAAATCTGCAACACCAGATGTAGGAAATGGGTCGTTCTCTCCAAGTGCTTCAAGTTTATCCGGGTTAGGCCCTCTTCCTCATGGAACCCAGAAGGAGTCAGTACTGATGAGACTCAACAACCGTATCAAGACACTGGAAATCAACATGTCACTCAGTGGATTATATCTAGAGGAACTCAGTCAAAGGTAGGATATCAAGATTTGTATAAGGCTTACAGTATGTTAAACTGGATATATCTTTACATTGCTGAAATTATTTGATTTGAAGGGGGGGGGGGAATGCTTTTGTTCTAGTATGCTAATGTTTTCCTTCTTGATAATTATAAGTTTTTAAATCACCTTGAAAATCTCTGAAATAATTGTCCTCCTAAAAATGTCCTCAAAAAAGTTAAACCACATGAACTGCTACTACCTTGAATACCGTCCTTCTATCACAGTCAGAATACATTTGTTGTATTTGAGTATTCTGACTGTGATAGAAGTACGGTATTAAAGGTAGGAGTAGTTCATTTTGTTTAACTTTTTTGATTACTGGTTAAACTGTACTGGAACAGTTTCGAATTTGAAAGTTAGGCTATTTTAGTTGTTTTTATTGCTATTGACTGGCATGTTGAGGCAGGTTTTTAAGTAGAAAAGACAAAAGTAGTAAAAGCTGGAATTATTTGCTTGGTCTCAGTAATTTTCAATATTGCTTTTATTTTGATGCAGGTATCGCAAGCAGATGGATGAAATGCAGAAAGCTTTTAATACAAAGATCAAGAGTGTACAAGAGAATGCCCAAAAGGCACAAGAAGTTGTAAGTACAGTGCCACCTTGCTTTCTCATATTCCATTCAGACAGTCAAAAATTATAATGATAAATAATTTATATGATGCTCAAGAAAGCAATTGAGAATCAAAAGAAAAGGATGGTATGCAAAATGTACTGTAAACTCAAACTGGTGTGCTGCACTGGTAATAAAGCATAGTATGAGATGATGTAAAGAAGATTATTAATAATGTCTGTATTGTATTACCTCTGGTATACTGTCCAGAATTTGGCACTTTTAATGGCTTGATTTCACCTGCCTGAACATTTTATATTAAATGCTGCAACTCCCAAAACCTTTATTCTTTGTAACATAAACCTATCTCAGTTTGTTGTTGTTTTTTTTCTTTTTTCTCTATGTGTTTTCATTTTATACATATCTGTAAAAAAGAAGAAGAAAGAATTGAGCATATATTATGAATGATTTTAAAATGTGACAACAAATTACTGTGTGGTTAGAATGCTTTATCCTTCAAAGTCAAACATAATTTATTTAAAAAGTTACACTGTGTTCCCATTGCAGAGACAGCAACAAACGGAATACATTCAGCAACTACAAAAGAGTTTGGAGAAACTGACAACAGACCATGAAAATGTTACACTCAGAATGGATGGAATACTGAGAGAGGTATGCCATTCTCTTCCTCTCTCTCTCTCTCTCTCTCCTTCTTCCTTAAATGCAGACTGTTGTATATTAAACATTAGACATTTAATTGTATGTTTGGAAGCCAGAAGCTTGTTAGTTTACCATCCTTCTGGCTCCCAACAGATGACATAATACTCAAAGTATTAAAATGCAATGCATAATATACAGTAGTCTTACGGTTGCACCATGAGAGAGAGAGGGGGGGGGAATTAGGGAGTCCTTAAAAGGAATGACGGTAATCTTTCTTCTTTGAGTGTTTGTGTAGTCGTGAAAAGCATTTTAGCTCTCTAAACAAGATGTGCTCCCAGATTTGTATGATGCATTTGGGAAACTTATGTCAGTTTTTGTAACTATAAAGGTGTGAACCTTCATTAGACTTCCTCTTAAAAATATGATGCGTAATCTGAATTATCGTCTGTGCACTTAATAGTTATTATTTGTGATAAAGGACACTTGTTTATATGCAAAGCTTTTTTTCAACTTTTATTATATTCTAAACTAGGTTGTGGAGCGTCATCTCTTCTTGATGTTATGTGAGGTTGTTGTCATGGTGATTCTCTTGACCTACTGTCTGAGAAGGTCCGCCTCCCAATCATCTCTCACCATCAATAGTCCTGTTGGCATGGCAACAAAGTCGAGCGGTAAGAAACCAATTGAGAGTGTTGGTAGGAGGAACTCTGATGGTCTGATCCATGTACCCATGAGGAATAAGATCACCTTGAGTCCTGGACTTGGGACGGAATTTGGCTTCATGAAGGATATCGCAAATTCCAAAACGGGTAAGAATATATTTCCTAAGAATTGATTCTCTTTAACTGCTTAATAGTCCTCAATCATAGCTAACATTTTATGATGGGAATTTGCTATCAGTGAAAGGTCTATGAAATCCCCAAAGAGCATATCGTCAGTTAAGAACATAATTTTTTTTCCTTCAAGTCATATATAACTGGTATGTCATAGCAATTACGTGTCCCAGTTATCAACACATAAATCTCTATTTAAGATAAAGAAGATGGAATTTATAAGGTTGTAGATAATCTAGCTGCTTTCCTGTCACTCATTCCCCATATACAGGTAGCTTAGATGATCTGCTGATCATTGGACCCACAACACCTCTCAGGGAGGCTCTAAGACAGGTATGGATAAGAGCTCGCTTCCTTCTAAATCAGTCATTTGCTTCCTCACTTACAAGGAACTGTTGATCACAAGTTACTATTAACATGATTTTTATGGTCATGCATGTAAATAGATTTTCAGCTCTGCAATTTTGAAGAATGATGTTGAAAAGAGGTTTGTATGTGCAAGCAAGAAATCACAAATAGTGAAGTACTCATTGTGGGTGGATTAAATGAATGATACGATACATGTATACAGTAGGTTTGCGGGTTGAGGAGTCCTGAAAAGGACTTTGACTTAGTAATCTTCTTGGGGGTGTGTAGTCCTGAAAAGGACTGGTGTTATCTTTCTTAGCATATAGTTCTAAGGAGAACTATAGCACTTGGAGAGGATGAGTGGCTCGACGTTTCGAACAGATTGACTATCCGTCGTCAGGAGTGGAGAATAGCTGGCGTGCGTGAGCTTGAGTCACCGGGGTGCGGACGTCAGGGAAAAATAGGTGACCGTGTGGGCTTGAGTCATCGGGGAGTGGGCATGGATGGTCGGCTGGTTCGTCTGACTGTCCGTCTGGGCTGGGGTCTCCAGGTTGCGGACTTAGGAGAGTTTCGAGTCGATGAGTGGGGTGTGCTGTCGGCGAGACGCTGTGTGTGTCCCCGGCGAAGGCGGCGTTGTAGTCTGTTGTCGTCTGCTGTGCATTGTAGCTGTAAGGCTGGCGGCTGCTTTGAGGGTTCGGCGGGTGGCGGTGGTTGATGTACGGGTGTCTGTCGGGCTGGTGAGGGTGGTGCTGGAGGTGGAGGTGGAGGAGGAGTGACCGGGTACTTGTTGATGAGGGGTTTCCAGATGTCGTTGATGTATAATCCTGAGTCTTGGGGCACAGTGTTGTGGTGGTGAATTTCGATGGCTTCTCGGATTCGGTGTGTATGCCAGTGCTTCATTATGGAAATGAGATGACTGTTATCCCATTCGATGGTGTGTTTGTGTTGCTGGGCGTGTTTGACGATGGCGGACTTGACGATGGCGGACTTATCCCAATTGCTGAATCTGAAGCTGGTTCTGTGCTCCTTGAGTCTTGTTTCCAGATTTCTCCCCGTTTCACCAATGTAGACTTTTCCACATTCGCCTGGTATTTTGTATACTCCAGCTTTCTTGTGGTTTGGATGCTTGTCTTTGTGGGAGTGGAGTATCGAATGGAGTTTGTTGGAGGAACTGTGTCGAACTTGGATGTCTGCTGCTTGAAGGATACATTGAATCTTGTGAGAGGCTTGACCGATATAGGGAAGAACAATAGTTTGCTTCGGTGGTGTAGCTGCGGGTTGGTTCTCTTCAGGGGTGGTGTTGGCTGCGGACTTGTTGGCGGGAGTCTTGGATTTGATCTTATGTCTTTGGTATTTGTTGATGCTAGTTAGGGCTGTGGTGACATGCTGGATTTCCTGGTCTAGATGGTCTGCATCGCTGAGTTGATGGGCTCGGCGGATGAGGGCGTTGGGGACTGATGGTAGTACGGGTGGATGGTGGAAGGATCTGTAGTGAAGATATCTATCGGTGTCTGTGGGTTTCCTGTAGACTTGATGAGCGGGCTTGCCGGATGGTGATTTGGTAAAGAGAACGTCTAGGAAGGGGATGCTGTTGTTTTGCTCGGTCTCCATGGTGAATTTGATGCTCGGGTGATGCTGGTTGATGTGGGCAAGAAAGTGGTCTAAGTCACGTCTACTATGTGGCCAGATGACGAATGTGTCGTCGACATATCAGAGCCAGAGAGAAGGGCGTTGTGAGAGAGTCTGGAGTGCCATTGTTTCGAATTGCTCCATGAAGATGTTTTCAGGACTCCTCAACCCTCTCTCTCTCTCTCTCACATGGTGCACCCGCAAACCTACTGTATATCTACATCACCATGCAAGCCAACACTTACAAGCAACGATACATGTAGTTTCACAGGAAACCCTTAAAATGTAACTGAACAATGTGATTGATATTCATAATTTATTACAAATACTCCTTTTGTATTTTATATTTTTCACAATAGGCATCTGAACCGTCCAAGCAAAAGAATCGAAACAAGAGTAAAGGGCGACATAAAAATATTCAAAGACCATCTTCAGCAGCGTCGGCCACCTCCAATGAGAATGTGTACCAAGGTGCTGCCTCATCGTCATCATCAAACTCCTCCATAGCCTCCACCCTCTCACTATCATCAATATCCAGTAACAAGGGGTTGTCAGGGGCAACAAGTTCTAAACATTCCACTGCAGGACTTCTATTCAGAGGCTCCGTTGAGGTGAAGAAAGGATCACAAGGGGGGCAAACCAAGCAGGGTGTCGGTGGTAAGGGTGGGAGTCGGCAAACACAGAGGGGTGCACCTGAGAATGTAGGACCGGTGAATGGGGTGCATCAGGGGGATAAGAATAATGGGGTTGGGGTGAATGGATACAGTGGGGCTGCTAGTGGGGGAGGCAGTAAGAAAAATAACCCGTGCTTTAACGGCTATGGGAAACGGTGATGAGTGAAGAAGATTATGGACACAATCTCCTTTCTGCAGCTTATAAGAGTTTGAGAAAGGAAAGGGTATTAGATCACCCAGTGTGGAATATGTGATTTTTTGTAAGACAGTTTGAAGACAATGTCATCATTGATTTGATGCATCAAAACAGTATTTGTGAAAATTTAAAGCTCTTTTAATTACATTGCACTCAAATAAGTATTAAAGCCAATGATTGTTATATGTGATGTTGTTAATATGAATGGAAGTTTGTTGTTATCACGTGTCAAATGATAAAAGGGACTAGGCCCTACTCTTCTTTCAATGCTATTTTCTGTCAGTTCAAACTCAAACCTTTTTGTTATAATTGGCCACATTGCTCACTTGCAATTGATAACAAACTTGCAACTTTTATCTTGTTGATAGAGAGTTCTGATTAATATGAAGTTGTGATTGATTTGGATCAATCACAAGTGCTTAGAAACATTTGTATTAAGCACGATATAAATGTATTGTTATATTGCATATTATTGTAAGTGCTGTGATATAGTGTGCTATGAATAGCATAGCTAAATGCCTTATAATAATAATAATGTAATTTATTATTAAGTGTTTATGAGATGGGGTTGGACATCAAGATATGAATATGTTAATTCATTGAAACTTCTTTCAGTTGATCATTGATTTTTTAAGGTTTTTTTCAGAAATTTTAGATTGAACTCATGTAGAAATTTTTTTTCTTCCAGTGACCTATGTTTTTATTTTGCAGTACTATCTAAGCTTGTAGACAGTTTGTCATAATTTAAGACACAAATGATAAATGTGAGGCAAGCATTCTTGCATGATGAGAAGAGCTGATTTTCATTTATTTTTCAAACAAGAGCTGCATCTGTTTCTACACCGGGGGTATTCTTATTTTGTTGTATCCATCATCTGATTACTGTACATGGCATTTATGAGCATTCTTGTGTTTTGACTTTTCGATGCTGCGATTGTCTTTTTTTATGAATCATTTTCTACAGCCAATTTATTTCCAAATACTGCCTTGTGCAATTTCAAGAAGTCACAACCATGATACTTCATTATAGTCATGATGATAAAGAAGCACTGTTACATACCGGTATGTATTCATTTAGAAACAGTAACTTCATGTTGTATATGAAATACTGTGTGTATAATGTGCTCAATAGACCATTTCGTAGTTGCACATGGGTAAAATTACCCCAAATATCCACAGATCTTTTACTCATGGAGAAGTCCCACTTTGTGTATTTTAGAAAAATCAATGTCAAAGTCATGTATGTGCTTTATGAAAACTTTTGATTGCCCTCTTGTATCATAACAATGTACCGTAGGTGCACACATGAATAATGATTACATAACATAAGCACATATCCCTGTCGGTGGGTTTTACAATTCTATCAGAAATGACCTTTATCTGCCCATGCGCAGATAGTATTTACAAAAAGACTTATTATAACAAGCTCAAACATTGCACCCAAGTGTTCATATTCCTGTTTTATGATATTAGTCATGTCATGATCATTTTGTGAATATGCCCTCTCATCGTGATGGGTCACAAGTAAATTGAACATTTCTTTCATTAGATAACTTGTGAAAATTGTTTTATGGTCCAACATAGGATAAAGTGGTATTTTTATAATACTAATCTAGTGTATACCATGTATCTATTGGATGTAGACTCCAAGGTGAAATGCAATAGGGTTCATTTCCCCATGGCTAGTAAACCATTGTCTGCTGTATACTCCAAATGATCATATTTGGCTTTACTGCAATGTATTGTAAGAAATAAGCTTTTCATTTGATAAGTACTTACATATTATATTGATTGTAGTGTACTTCTCATAGCTAGATACCTTCTAAAGCCTGCTTTATGTTTATGTACAAATGCTGTAGTGTTCTATTGGTGCTAAAAGATTCAAAGAGACATACACTCTCTCTCAATCAAGTGATATCATAGTTCTATGATTTCTATTTCGTTTTGTAAGAAACTGTCAGATTGGAGATAGTAAATACAGAGAGCAAATTTGCCTTTTGCTATATATTTATCTGAATATTTATTTAAAGTATTATCTTGTTGAAGAAAGGTGTCTCTTGTTAGAGTTCAAATACTGTATCACTATATTTTCATCTTCATATTATAAATTCAAAGTGGACATTACTTTAGTTTGATCAATGTGTGTGATAAATAGAAGAGATTCTTATTGGCATTCCAAGGATGGTTATTGTATACCATCTGATGTATTTGGTCTATTGCCTTCTTTCTTTCTTTCTCTTTCTCTCTCTCTCTCTCTCTCTCTCTTCTCCTCTTCCTCTTCCTCTTCCTCTTCCCCTCACATCTCCTTTTGTAATTGGTATTTTGCTTTTGCTCATTTTCAGCTTGGAATTTGTTGTTGGAAAATGCAGAAAATATACGAATATCTAGTTACTGTAAATAAGAATGCAATGTGGACAATGTCTATCAATCATAACAATTCAAATTGGCTGTTCCTGATCTGTGAACATGACATTTATACTTATTACAGTGCTATGGAATGCATTGCTATCAGAATGACGCCATATTTGAATTGAAAGCTATGCGGTGAATGAACAGTTCTGCAGACATCTTGCTGCAGTTGTTTATGTCCTTGATTCAACATTTATTGTATTAACATATTCTTTATAGATTACCAGGTTTTGATAATTGCTGTTGAAATGTACTATTTTTCTACCCCTTTTTCCCTTTAATTAGACTTTCTAAACATCCAATAAGATTTTCTGTATTTTCTAGCAGCAATGTTGTTCCCTAGTTGCAATCAAAGTACTGTTGTGTTTATGTCATTGCAAAGCCATGTTTGGTTTTTGTTGTTATTATGCTTGTAGAGAACATTTTGGCGATCCAATTCTTTTATGTACAATATTTTATTTATATATCAAGACATTCTTTATTTAAAGTTTATTGCTTTAAGCTTATTTACATTTTGTCAATGCTTAATTGTATTAGTATATTTCATAGTAGTTTGTTTTATCATAACATTACCTAACAAATTTGAAAGGGGATATCTCATTTATACTTGTGCATCCCCAAGTGCTTTGTAAAGACGTGTATTAAACAGGATCATTACAGAAGTCTTGCTAAAATATGTGATAGAAGTTCCATTGGAGAATGTTGTATCTCTGTTACTTGTAGACTTGAGTGTGGAGTGCACAGTTTTGTGTACCAGCAAGTTGTGAGCAGTAAAAATATATTAAGAACAGTCTGACTGCAGCCATTATTGTAGATACATAGATGTGGAAGTAGTTAAGACATGTTTAAGCCTGTAGAGTTACCAATAACTCACCTAATTTGAAAATGAATTGGGATTTTACAGCTCAATTTTTCATATTATGATGTCCTTTTGGCTTTCATACATTACTCCTGCCCCCACCCCTTTGTCTGTCTGCGTTGCTCTCTCTCTCTCTCTCTCTCTCTGTTTCTCTTTCTCTCTCTTGTTCTCTTTCTCTCTCTATCTCTCTCTATTTCTCTCTATTTCTCTATCTCTCTCTCTCTCGTTCTCTCCTTCCCTTCAATTTTCTTTAATTGATTTAACAGCTGTGCCTTTGATTGTAAGAAATAATGTTTATGTTTAAATAAGTCTAGTATGATATAAAGAATTAACAAAGTTACCATTTGTTATTATGAAAAGCATTTTTTGAATAGCAACAGGGTTTAACACTGATTATAATATTATAAAATGTGTATCCTTAAATATATTTTGAGGATTCTTTATATACACTCACTGTAGACATATTGCACTTACTTTGATCTCTGCAATATTTGATCTCTCCACAAATCACCACTATGTCATCTGTCAAGAGCCTGAAGGGCATTAACTAATCCCTTTTCATTAATGTCCTTGAACTCTCAGCAGATTTACTAGATATGGAAATATAGAATGAAAAGATGATTTTATTGATGTAAAAATGTTATATATTCAAGAGTTATTATTTTTACAAGGGATCCACATCATTGATAAAAGTTGTAAAAATCCTGAGATGGAGATGTGATATTTGTGATTGTTTTCACCTTGCATTTTGACAATAGTAAGTTGTATATTTGAACCAATCAGAACAAATCATAATTATGATGTTTGTATGTGATTCACTTTGACTTGATACTTCTGTTTGGTTTACACTCATAAATGAAAATTGTACACATGTGTGTGGGTCTGTAGATGTTTCCTGTTGATATGTTATCCCCAAACTTTTCAATTATAAAAAAAAGTTTCATGATTGTTATGTGAAGAGTATTACAAACTAATAAAATGCTTTCAATTACTAAAATTAAATATAAAGTCAAAGAATAAGTTTCGATTCTGTACTGTATTTATGTAGAAATGTCTGTGTGAATGTGATCTATCCTTAAATATGGTCAACCTGTATATGGTTGACCTGTTTAATCCTAAGCCAAAGATAACTCAGGATGCAGTCTGGAAAATATATAGAAATCATGTTTTATAAAATTCCAATTGTATACAATGCCAATTAACAGGAGGGCCCAATGATGAAAGGTGTGTGGTTGGGTCCTATCATTCCCTTTTCACATTCCCTTCCCCCTCTCTTCTTCCCTTTCTCTCCTTTTTTCCTTTTTGCCGAGCAATTAAGAGGCATTTGCCCCCACCCCTTCGTTAATATGCCATAGTATGTATGTGTTATCAAAGAGTTGACCACAAGAGTGTACCAATATGAAACAGGACTTTGAAAATTTTGACTTGTGTAGATTAAGTGTAATATTGTTTTTTTTCTGCTGCTGTTGTTAAACAAGAGTAAAGAAATGCATACTTTGCTTATCTGATTGTTCTTTAATCTCTAAATCAGACTTAATTTTTTACTTCTCTCTCTCTCTCTCTCTCTCTCTCTCTCTCTCTCATTATATGTATCTCTTATCTCTCTCTAATTTAGTCTCCTTTCCCTTGTTTAATATATGGGGGGGGGGGGGTTAGTATTTTTTTATTCATTTGATGAATTTGCTTATTCATTATTCTTTCAACAGATAAGCCTCATCAAAACCCTAAATACTGTTGTCCTTGGGAGCCCTGTATATCAATGCAAAACATATACAAAATATTATTGTAACATGGTAAAATAATTTAGGAAGGCTTTTTCCCAGGAAATTCAAACTTAAACAAAAAATGAAACAATATGGTTCTGTTCCTGTGTTTGTATCTTTCCTGTCATTAACCTCCCTTTTATCTCTCTCTCTCTCTCTCTCTATCTCTCTCTCTCTCTCTCTCTCACACACACACACTCTCTCTCTCTCTATCTCTCTCTCTCTCTCTCACACACACACACACACACACACACACACTCTCTCTCTCTCTCTCTCTCTCTCACTTTTTTTTCTCTCTCTCTCTCTCACTCACTTATCAACATTGATTTATGTTGCCATAATGTTGATGTTGAACTAAAGCTCATCCAAAAGATGAAAATTCAAATTTTTCAATTAAGTTTATTCATTTTCATAAAACTCACATTACAAAAAACACATTCATATGATAACATGCAAAAGCTTTCACTCAAATATACATAAGTACATTAAAATATTAAACAATAATGGAAAAAGGGGAGTTATAAAAACCCAAATAAATGAGTTTGCCGAGATATCTCCCCCAAAATAATTAAACAAATTGTGATGAACATAATAAAGATTTGAAATTACATAAACTTATTTCACCCCAAAGAAAACTCGTATAACAACAAAACAAACAACAAAAAACAAAAAACATACAATCCCTACAAAAACACAAATATATATATATATAAAGTGGAAAAGTATTCTACCCAAAATCATATGTAATGCAAATAACTACATTCTGACCCAGTTTCATTGTTACTGCCATCATATATCCTACCTATCAATATGTAGGATAATGCATGGCCTTGGAGGTTAATCAGTGTGCTGGTATTTCCCATCTCTTTGTAATTGATCATCTTACCAACCAGCACAATGCCAGCACCTAGATAAGTATTTTGTGCTGGTATGGAACCTTTAATGACTGTCTTCGGTAGACAGCACCTTAATTGCCTTCTCCCTTCATTTTCAGGCTCACTTGAAACTACTTCTGCTAAAGGTCTACATTGTGCTCCTTGATTTGCCAGTGTGCTATTCTCAATTTATCGTCTCTCAACAGATTTTGAGGTAAGCAATAAGTATTAAATTCATTAGTTTTATAGAGTATTAATTTAATTATTTCTGTTTGATTTCCTTTTTCTTTTGCATTTTTACGAATATATAACAAACGAAACATTGCAAATTTTACACATTTCAACAGAATATAATGTCAAATAAAGTAAGGCTGGCTGTAACTAATCGAACACATCAAACAGGAGGGTTGACAAAGTAAGCAAAGCTTGAAAGTAAGACTACCCTCAATGGATACATAATGATACGAATTTGGAGAAACAAATATTGGTAAAAGGGGAAAAAGAGAGAGAGAGAGAGAGAAAGAAAGAGAAAAAAGAAAGAGGGGGTGTACATCAATGAAGTGGATTATTCCTACAAGGGGTGTTTTAAAACATATGAGTCATTACAATATAGAAATTTGTTTTGATCTTTCAGTTTCTTTTCCCCTACAACCCATAACATTCTTTTTGTAATTTCATGTCTCTTCAAATTAATATATTTGTACTACAATTATCTTTGCTACTCGAGTATTACCTTCAAGATATGTATGAAATCGAACTTAATGCATGTCACATACATTGGTCTTGTACCAATATAGAATGCTATATATACCACTTATTTGTACTAGATATCTTTAAACATAAAAATATTGCCCCTCTTCTTTGCCAGTTATGTTCTTTCCAGATTTTTTCTTAATAGAGTTATCATATATTTGAAATGTATTAAGTGTAGGCCTAATAGACAATTTTGCCGGCCGATATGTTTTAGATATATTTTTAACAAATGATTGAAATCTATAATCATACTCTCTTCTCAAAGTAAATAATTTTTACGGTAGTGCCATATACTTTAAATTTTGCTTAATTGTATTATTTTTGTAATTGCTGGTTATTCTTTCATGTTCACAGTTCTAATTCCATCATGCCTTGTATTGAGATGTACACCAACTTATCTGCTGATAAAGTACCAGCAAACTTCTTTGAAGTCCTAACAGAGTTCTTCTGTGGTCTACTCGATAAGAATCCAAGGGTATGTATTTGTTTTCTTCAAGAGAATTTGACAAGGGATTTGTGGGGTAAGCTATAGTGACTAGTATGAAAGATTTTATTCAAAACAAAAAAATCAGGTTTGATTTGAAATTTTCTTTCATTTAAGATGATCCTTGACTGGTGATGGGGCTATATGTCCAATTATTCAATTTTTGCATGCAACAATGTATTCATGAAAACAATTATTGTATAGTAAACACTTCATAGCATACTTGTTGAACACATCACCAGCCTGTACAACACAACACATACAAAGCAAATCAAATTGTCTGATTAGTCCCCTTTAAAGTTATAACAAAGTTTTGGTATGGGGTCATGAATTAGGTTCAAATGAGCATATTTGAAGCATATGCGATCCTTTCAGTGATCGTTGTCGTGGTTGAAATCGAGTCTAGAGTGATGAAATTGTAAATAATTAACTCTTTATGTTGTATATATAGCTCCCTCTCAAGATCAATATATTAATTAAACTATACAACAATGTTTCTCGACTAAAATCAACCGATTAGCTATTCCCGTTTGAAAATTATATATCACAACTACATTTTCTGAGATTTTCATGGTCGTAGCTACCATTGAACGGCTGTAGGAGCTATTTGAAATTTATCAAAATTTACCGGGAGCACCGGTAAATTGTTAATTCAATTTTTCTCGAAAGCAGAAGTGTTTTGGGGGCTAAATTTTCTAGTGATTATAATACGTCCACAGGGGCATCCAAATATATCAAAATTGTTAAGAATCACTATATCCAGGCAATTTTCAAAATTTCCCAAAACTTTGTATTACCTTTAACAAACCCATGCCTTCAATCCTTCTTTCTAGGGAGTGGTTCTGAACTTATACACCGACCAGCGCATTCACACAGGCACAGATCTCAATAAGACCATGCTGATGATCCAGATCTACAATGCTGAGGCTTGGTTAGATCGTGATGCTAACAGAGATGCTATCAAGCTGGTTACAGACAAGGTCTCAGGAATCCTTGGTATCTCACCCGACAGGTAGGACAGCTGATCATGACAGATTGAATAGCAATGGAGTTGTATTTATTCATTTATAAATGAAAATTATCAATGAAATGTACCGGTAGATTGGGAAATTAAAGGCAATCCAACCCTTTTAATAAGTTCATTTGTATGAAAGCAGATAAATAAGATAAAGAATGGAGAGAGTTTGAAATAAATCTGACAAATAATACAAAAGTTATGAATGTTTGAAATATGAGATCACTAAGTCTATGCGAGTCTCAAATTGGCAGTTTGGTCGGTGGATTGTGACGTAGTCGCAGATAACTTTCCCATTTGTTATGTACGAAAATATCATTAATTTTTGTCTTTATCCTAAATGCCTTGTCCATTGGCGCACTACTCAAAATATATTGTTAGCATATTATTATAAGTCCTTAAAGAAAATAGACCCTAATGTGTCATCTTTTTAAACAAATTGAAATTTTAGTAATTTTGTGTACACCATTCTTGTTACTTGTTTGCTTTAGGTCGACTGTTCTGTTGATCCCCGTTCCATCTCATCAGGTGGGTACCCCTGGAGGGAACCTCTTAGCAGACAGAGATCAATTCAAATGGAGGCTGGATTACATGCAGAAGATCAACACTGCATTATCATCAGCTTAGCCACACCCTCCTCATCACTGCATTATCATCAGCTTAGCCACACCCTCCTCATCACTCTCCCCGGCTCTTTCCTGCTGAGACTTAATCTGTCCCGTTTGTGCAATCGATCTCCCTTGCTCTTTTCATTTCTCTCTCTTTCTTTATTTTGCTCTTTTTATTTTCTTCTTACTCTCTCTGTCCGTTTCTATTTTCTTCTTCTCTCTTGCTTTCTTGATCTCACAGTCTCGTCATCTTGTCCTCTCCTCCTCCTCTTCTTCTTCTTGTTCTTCTTCTGTGGAAGTGTTTGTGCGTCATGAACGTGCAGAGTCACTTTTTCAAGGTCTCTATACATGAATTATACTATACTGTAAATTAGAATAGTGAATTGTTTTGCCATGAGAAGGGGCCCGCATATTGCCACTTTCGTTGTTTTGGCGACAAAATTAGAAAAAAAATTCTGGGGAGGGGGTGCAAGATTTCAGTGACGGGGGTGCATTTGGGTTTTAATATTTTATTGGGAGTTACATTATACATGTAAAAAGCCAAAAAACATTAAAAAGTCAATTTTCAAAGATTTGACATACATTGTTTTGCCATCTAACGACAGAGTATGCCCACAGCACCCATCTTCACATGAATTGAAATGAGCATGTACCATTCTATAATGTAAACTTATTATAAACCAAAATACTTGTCAATCAACTTTTGTCGTTTTTTTTTATGAAAAATGTTCCTTGTTACTATGATAAAACCATTTGATTCACAATTTTCATTATTTGAGTATGCTTGTTACAGCCTATATTTCTACAATAGATATTTACTATTGATTGTAGGTAGATTTTCATGCTACCGGGCCAAGCTGGTGAAATATGATTACGTTCACAGTTTTTTCCTGACATATACACTACATATCACACTCATATCACATTAAACAGTAACACATTTGTGATTAAAATATATTGTAGGATTTATACACATTATTGTAGAGGTTTATTTACATTCTCATTTTAAATACAAATATATACACATTCAAATACATTTTTTCACATTTAAAAAATAAGACAAATGCTTGGTACAATAGATGGCATAGCTCAGTTAAACATAAATACATAAATTGATTTGGAGAAGAAAAAAAAGGTGAGATACCGTATAAATTGTGATACATACTGTACATTCATTAAAACTTAATTAAAAGTTAATCGATCTTTAACTGATCATTTAAATACTACCGGTAAGCCAATATAAGTATCACTGCCACTGGAAAAGGGAACCCTCTCTGAAGACAATGGTTTCAGTTTACAAACTCAACACTTTAGGAAAAATCAAAAGCACACACATCCATGAATCACTGTGTCTTGATTGATACAACATGCAGAAGGAAATGAGGACTTTGGCTGATGGCAGGGTTAACATTTGTACTGAGGTGACAAACATCTTTCTATATTGTTGCTTCAGATGAGGCATGAACAATAGAAATGTCTTTGTTAACTCTAGCTAAATTAACTCAGTGACTAAATTGCAGTTATTACTCTAATTTCAGTGTTTCAGGTTGATAGTTTTGAGTTTTGTTCAGGTTGACAATTTTCAGTTTGGTTCTGTAAAGCATACAGAATGGATCATATCTCTAAAATTAGAGAATGCCCTAGCTAACATATGTCACAAAATTTATAGCATGATATAAAGTGTAGGGGCACTGGTCTGTTTTATATTTCCTGGTCCTTATTTGTACCGTAATAAGAAAATCTCTTGTAAGTGCATTTTAAGTTTAATGGCTTGAGTATAAATAAGAACGTCTTATAAATCTGGTTTTGGTTGATACCCGGCTATCTCATCCCATCCTTTCCTGCACGTCTTGATAATCCAGTCATGTTCATCATCATCTGAAAAAGAACAGGTGAATATTGAGATTTTAATCAAAGCTATATTACCCAATCCATTTACCCAAACATCACACAGTAGACTCAAAAGTCTCTGCATGGTTACACACAGTTTAAAAGTCATTTCAAGCAACAGAGGCATAAAGAGAGAGAAAGAGAGAGAGAAAGAGAGAGAGAGCAGAACAAAGCCACTAAGAAGGAAAACCTTGTAAACAAGACATACCATATACTGTTTGGGGGGAATTATCTACTATTGCAACATAGGAATGAGCAATATGTATTAGGCCTTAAAAAAGAAAGATGTTGTATTGCCCTTTTTTTTTAAACCATTTTTTTAGAAAATGTATTAACATTAAATCAGCCCAAAGAGGGAGTTTTTAAAAATAAAAAAAATATTAAAAAAAGATTTCCGACCGACCGACCCACCCATGTATTGGCACCTAAAGGGCAATACAACTTTCTTTTTTTTAAGGCCTTATCAAGGAATGTTGGGAGCTGTTTCCCAGCGTATTATTTCCTTGAGACTGTTATAATCACTCAGATGTATTGAGACAATAACAAAATGTAAATTTGTCATTATCATGTTATTCACAGCGCTCAAAATACACGGGGGCGGTGGGCAATTCGCCCCCGTGAGCTACATAATCGCCCCCGTCAGGTTGCTCACGGGGGCGATTGCAAAATTAAAAATCGCCCCCGTGGAATTATAAAATAAATATTATCTTTTCTGTTATAACCAGGGCTCAAATTATTTTTTTGTCCACTAGGGAATCTCTCCCCCCCCCCCCCCCCCCAAGAAGAATGTCATCAGGGGATGAAAGTGAGTAACAGCTATGTAGCTTGTAAATTTGTAAGAGGGAAAACGCTGATTAAAATAATAATAATGAAATAGCAAACAATTGAGGAGTATCATAGGTACCAATTCAATGGATATTTGTATAAAAAAAGAGCCCCCGTCAGTACTAAAAGAGCCCCCGTGAGAAGGCTCACGGGGGCTCTTTTTTTGGAGGGGGGGGGAAGAGCCCCCGTGGACAAAAAAATAATTTGAGCCCTGGTTATTCAGATTTATTCTTCTTACTAAGTAGCAATAATCTTAAACCTCATTCAGTATTTTCATTCACTGGTTCACATTCCTGAAGGATTGTTACATAGAAAGTGCAGGTGGAGAATAGGGAATATTCAGATTAAGTTGCGCCCCCCCCCCCAAAAAAAAAAAAAAAAAAAATGGAATCCTAGAGATTAAACCAAAAAGGTCTGGATTGAGGTGTCTTACTGGTGGTATATCACTTGCTTCTGTAATAATTGCTCTTCAAACCTAACTATGATCCAATTGCAGCCCTAACCCATATTTGAAACATTTGAAAATAAGAATTAGGAATTTTGAGCACAGTATTTTTCAAAAGTAAGAAATCGCACTTGCAGCGGAAGTGTAACTGGCAATACGAAAAAAAATTTACCAAAAAGCGAATATTCATTCGCTGCTCGATCGTGCAGCCATTCAACGCACGCAATACGTGAACTCTAAAATCGCGGCACATGATAAAACAAGCTATATTTGGCTTTAGACAAAAATTTAAAAAATCAGGCCCTAAAAATCCAGAAAATCATAATGATTTTGGATTATTTGGAAGGGTTGGCAGGTATGCTAACCCTGACTGACCCACTCCTTGCTTCTGATGAAATAAAGCTCATGTCCAAGCTCCTTACCTGCATTCCTTAGGAATTTCTGGTTGTAATCCACAATGACTCTCGATGCTGGGTTATAGAAGCCATCTCCTGTATCATAGCAACCCTCTGGGATGTCTCTAGGGGGGATCCTGTTCGTCAGCTGTGAGCGACCTAAAGACAGTAGAACAAAATAATATTGGAAGTCAGCGATAGGGGCAGCATGCAAAGCTACAGCTTCAGGTGGTACGTACTGTCTGTCATTTCAAATGAAAATAATAAAAATTAAAATTGGGTCCAATTTCTTTCAAGAAGGGACCCCCTCCTCCCTCTATAATAAAAAATAAATTATTCAACATTGAATACAAAATATGTCAATTTATTCGGTCATATGTTTAATAAACACAGGAAATACATGTCGCACAAAGAATTTTTATCATGATGTTTCCTTTCACTGATTAATTCAAAACAATTTGAAGGTTTCTTTTTGTTTCAAACTATATCACAATGGCTTTCATTATGGATTTAATTCATTAAGTGCTGATATCTATTATTTGGAGGTAAATTCCAATATTTCTATTTTTACAAGTCTGTTTTGATAGAATCCTAGACCGTCTTACCAGCTGGTTTGAGTCCATCACATGTCTCTGTGTAGAATCTTCTGTCATATCCATCACAATACAACCACTCTGGCTCATCATACTCCAGACCATCAGCAAAGGTATACTTGCCCTAATCAAAGAAAAATACATAAAGTCCAGCAATTACAGATCTAAGTACTATAAAAGACTTTACAAGCGGCAGCTTAAAAGGAACAAGGAAAAAACAAGAAGTTGCATTATTGGGATACTGCTGTAAAAGAAGCAAGTCCCTTAAAGAGAGGTTGAGTTCTATAATGATTCCACTACATATTTCAATTTTCACCAGTCATATATTTATTCATCTGAACAAATTCTATCCTTAAATTCATTGTATTAAAATATGGGTCATTCTATGAGGTCAGGGCACAAAATATGACAATGTCCATGTAATGTACGTTGGTATGAGATCTAATATGAAAATGTCCATGTAACGTTGGTATGAGATCTTCTACTACACATATAAGATCATATAAAATATGACAATGTCCATGTAACGTTGGTATGAGATCTTCTACTACACATATAAGATCATATAAAATATGACAATGTCCATGTAACGTTGGTATGAGATCTTCTACTACACATGATCATATAAAATATAACAATGTCCATGTAACGTTGGTATGATATCTTCTACTACACATATAAGATGAAATCATCTGTTGTCGACTTGTATGCAACGTATCAGTTGCTTCTTTTCAAAATAATTGCTTAACATGCATTTCTTTTTGCTATATTACATGGACATGGACTTCACATTTACAGAACATTACATAAACTTTGGGTCTACAATATTGATTTAGCATGAAGCTAGAGTATACTTCTAAAGATAGTTGTGGCTCATGGTTTTTATGCTTAACTAAATTTGCACAAACGTTGTTATGGATGATAGGAGACATACATGTAGTTTCTCAATTCTGGTATGTCACAAAAATTACCTCACCCATGGCCGGGAATGACCCATAAGGTATTATTTCTGACCAGCACTTGAAATACCCATGTGACATCAGCATTTTAATATCCATCTATTACTATTTAGAAAAATAACCAAGCCCAGAGTAGCATAATAATCAAGATAAATATCATAGGTCATACCTCTACTGCTATTCCATTTTCCCATGTTGCATCATACTTGCTTCCATTAGGAAAGAACAGTGTTCCTTTACCATGAAACATGCCGTCCTTCATTTCTCCTTCATACTTGGTGTCCGTTGGAAACCCATACTTTCCTTTGCCTTCCATTCTGCAAGGGGGAGAAGAAGAAAAAATTCAAGTATGAATTCTGTGTTGTCAGTGAGGGTGTATGTGTGTGAGGTGTTGATTTGTGTCTTAACAGTTTTTGACATTCAAAAGCTGTGGAGGTGGAAATAAAGCCCTTTAATATTTGACTGTTGGTAATGTGTCACATGCATCATAACACGCAATGCTAATGACACAAATCTGAATCATATTATTTGCAGTAAATAATTTTAATTTTAGTTTCAATTCAATTCAGAGCGCTGAAGAAAAAAACCTTCAGTGAAAATATGAACGCGAAAATACAAACAATCCTTATTTTTAAGGACGTATTTTGTCCGCGTATACGAGGATATCCTCCTTTATGCGGACGATCCTCATTCTGCGACTAGCGCACCTTCTGATGGCAGGGTCATGAAAATGGACAACCTAATTTGTGCATGTAGATCTATCTACTTTACTTTTTTTTAAATCTTTTTTTTAAAATAATAAGTTAGAATTTAATTTTTACATAAAATTTCAAGATGTACTATAGAGTAAAGGAGCCCGTTTTCGGCCAATTAAGACAAAATCCTATTTTTAGGACTCTTTACTTCCTATTTATTATCATTTCTTGTTCAAATCATGAAGCAAATATTATTATTATTTAAACAAAAAAAGAATCCCAGAAAAAAATCACGAATTGCCATGACAATATTCATTTCAATTTTCACTGTTTTGGAGCCAGTTATCGGCCGAGCGTTTCAGTTTACGGCCGCATGTACAAAGTCAATAGGAAGCGCTCGCGCGCGCCGTGCGTTTCCGCGCTGATGTACAACACAAGCGGGCGGAGCAGGTATCCCACGCCGGAGCTCCCTGGTGCTCGCCTGGCTGAAGACAGGCACAGCGGTGATCGGAAGTTGGAATCTGAATTAGACAGAGATATCGTGTGTGCGTCGCGGTGTGCGGCTGCATTGATTTAATACATGCGATGAGATACTTTTGAGCTTGCGACTAGCACAAAATCGGGCTCTAAATCTGAAAAATACTTGAAATAAAGCTCATTTTATGGTACCCATATTTCTTACAGACACGCGTAAGATACTCGATTTTTCAGATTTGGGTAGCGGGACCGGCGATTACATCGCTAAAATGTGATATTTTAGGATATATTTTCCATTGCAAATGTGGTTCTTCAGTGACACTGGCATGGTATGGTATGTGTGGGATATGTGTTATGCTATTATGCGATGTATTTTAGAGTGATTTTACCTTGCATCCAACCAATCGGCCGAAAACGGGAGCTGGCCGATTACCGGCTCCTTTACTCTAGATCTACTGATGTAGAGTCCTAGATATTTTAAGCTGTGAATTGTGAATTTGAAATTTGATTTTTTTTTAACCAATAAACCTTGTCAAATCAAATACAGATCCAGAACAACATTCACCCTTTCCACACCTCCAGTTAAAAGTCTGATGAGTATTTCGGAGGACCAATCAACCAAGTACCAAGTTACAACACAAAATTCACACTAAATCAACTGTTTGACACTAGCCTACACTGTACATCATGTACATGACATAAAACACATGACATGGGACTACACAATGAGAAAATGAAATACAGCAATGAATCACCTTCCGTTCTTGTGGTCACCATCATAACTGCTGCCCGTGTATTCCATCCTTGAATATTCTTAGAATATCCCTTTTTATGATAACAGGGGGGAAAAGAAGCAAATTTTCCGAAAATGTATTTCTTAACTCTTTTAGTTTTAGTTTTACTGGCGTTGAAAAAAAGTTGTTGACATACGTTGTCAGGATTACCGAAGCAATGCGCATGCGCATCATCGATATCTAGTTTGCCTGTAGATGGAGCTCGACCATGAAAGGATCTAAAAGGATCCAGTGCTGTATACATACGGCATAGTTGTTTTTGTTGTTCGCTGACCAATCTAAAAAGATTATTTCTGCCTGGCTGTACTTTTTTTTTGAAGTTGTTATGTGTATGATAATATGCTTATCAACTAGGGGACCTAAGCCATTAAGTCATAAACGACAGTATTGAGGATTAATGCCCCACATAAGGGCACTATATACAGGCACGTAGCCACGGGGGGGGGGGGGGGCGGGGGGCACTTGCCCCCCAAAAAATGTCCAAGATCGGTTGAACTTTTTTAGACCCCTCCCCAGGACGTCGATCGATTACAGGTATGTGCCCCCTCCCCACCACCCCCCCCCCAAAAAAAACAAAAAACAAAAACAAAAAAACATCAAACTCTGGCTACGTTCCTGCTAATAAAGCATATCAACATGGTTTTGAATATGATGGGGCCTCACAGTTACGAGGCCATTGCTTTGTCACTGAACCATGACTGTACGCAGTGCTAGCGGGGACTAGGGTAGGGGGCAGTTTCCACAAATAAAAAAACAAACAAAGAAAATGCAATAATCAACATAAAAAATCCTCTGTACGGCCATGCATTATGGCTCAAGGCATGAGCACACAGAGAATTCTTTCATATTGGGGACCAGGGAAAATGCAATTAATGATTGAAAAAAAAAATTGCATTTTCTTTGTTTGTTTTTTATTTGTGGGAACTGCCCCCTACCCTAGCCCCCACTGCGTACAGTCATGGTTCAGTGACAGCAATGGCCTCGTAACTGTAAAGCCCCAGGATCAAAACCGTGTCGATATGCTATATTAGTGCCCTTTTGTGGGGCATTAATCCTCATTACTGTCATTTATGACTTAAGGGCGTATGCCCCATAGTTGATAGGCATAATTATAGCATACACATGCTTTGGCAGTCACGCAAAACAAACACTCGCAAATTATTATTCAATAAAGTCTGAAAACGTATACTATCATCAAGATCTATTAGGAATAAATCATTTTTAAAATAATTCCATAAATTTGGGTAAAAAAAAAAATATTCCAACTATATGAGCGACAGTGTACTAATGATATAGCGATACGCGCATATCGTGGAAATATTGTGAGAGAATGGGGAAGCGCATGAGTTTTTTGTTATGGGGGTGAGAAGACATGAGCCCCTTATCGCTGGCATACTGATGGGGGAGGAGGTTATTTCATATTCGATATCAGTGATTACAAATGTTGCTGAAATGACATAACTTTCTGGTATTTTTCTAAAAAAATTTGTAAGTCATACCTTTTTATGCGTTTGTTGGAAAATTAGAAATTCCTAAATTTACAGTCGGGTGAAAAATATGCTTATGTAGAAGCCTTCATGTCAGGGCCTGCAGAACGGCTGGGCTCGGGGGCTCGAACCCCCCTCACTTTTTGAAAACAGTTAGTTAATTCCCTTAGCTAAAACTTAGCTATGTATAACCTATACACACTCCCAGAACAAGTGTAAATATGTTTCAATCTTTTGCTTACAAAATGAGCACAAGTCACCTTCAACAAAGCCGAATCTGAATATTAAGTGTTCTCTGGTATATATTGCTCCATGAAGCAGTTTATACTGAATTTCTCTTAGTCAGTTATCAAGAGTAACTTTCCTAGGCCTACTAAATATCTCTCTACATACCTCATTTGAAAAATCTGAAAACCCCCGTCCATCATGAATCTTCAAAACAAATACATTCTGTAACTTCTCTATAAAATATTCATAAACCTTCCTCGATATTACATCTCTGAGGAGCTTCACAGTACTGTGAAGCTGCATCAAAATATACTCTTTTACATCCACTAAACTCCAGTTATCCCTTTTTCCGCTTCTCAAAATAGCTTCCTCAATATTCCATACATCAACAATTTTGTTTCCTTTTACCCCAAATGTTGAAAATGAGATATTGACCGCATGCCCTTTTTAGCAAAATATCTTGAACTGAAATAATATTGCGTGTAAACAACAGTTGTTCTCCTCATCAAAACTCATTCTCTTTTTCAATAAAATATTGTTATTATTAAAAATAAATTGATTATTCTTTTCTTCAAAATTCCTACATCCTTCTAACTCTTCCCATGCTTTGATCATTTCTAAATAGAATTTAAGTACTTTGAAACTTAATAATTTGGAATCATAGTGAACACAAAAAAAGAAATCTACCTCTTACCATCTTGAAGCAGAAATAAAAGTTTAACTTCCATCTCATACATTTTTCTCCGTACAATAGTCTTTTCATCCGCATTACACGTTGGGTTTTTACAAACGAGTCAAAATTAGTCATTCGTAATCCTCCTTCATTATAACCTTGATACGATATTAATCTCCTAATTCGATCTTTCCCATTTCGTATAAATTAAAAACACATTGCCTGTATTTCCGATATGACTCACTTGGAACCAATAGCGAAGCAAAAACGTAGTTTAATTTACATAATGCATATGTTTTTAATAAATGATTTTTTTCCAAACACCGAAAGGTCCCTCTTTTTCCACCACCCGAGAAGTATTTTAATCTTGCTTAATATGGACACTAGACAGACATGAAAAGAGGCATTTGTGAGAATGGAAAAGGGGCATATCTGTTGAAGGAAAATGACACATATCAGATTTTTACAATAGGGGCACTTATCCGAATGAAATATGGTACTTCTTGTAAAAGAAAAGGGGCACGTGCCAAAATAAAGGGGCACTTATCATAGGTCAAAAGTGACATTCAAGAGAAAGAGGAGGGGTTCTTTTTACAAAGGGAAAAGGGCACTTATCAGAAGGAAAAGGTGCATTTTTTTTATCAAAGAAGGAAAAGGGGCACGAGTCAAAGTAAAAAGGGAAATAATATCGAAGGTGAAAAGGGGAGTTTCTTGCACCTTAAAAGGGGCACTGACCAGACATGAAAAGGGGCATTCATGAGAATGGAAAAAGGGCGCTAATTATAAGGAAAAGGGGCACCAATCAGATTTTGATAGTGGCAATTATTGTGGGTGAAAAGGGGGCATTTATGAGAAAGAAAAGGGGCGTGACTTATCAGAAGGAAAAGGGGCACGTATCAAATAAAAGGGGCACTTATCAGAGGTGATCATGGCACTCATCAAAGAAGAAAAGGAGCACTTTTCAGAAGGGGGAATGGGGCAATTATTTCAAAGGAAAAGGGGCACTTGTCAAAGTCAAATGTGTCATATTGGAATAGGGGCAATTATCAGAGTTGAAGGGGACACTTCTCAAATGTGGTAAGGGGTACATCTCGTAACTGAAAAGGGGCACTTAACAAGGATGAAAAATGGCATTTACAAGAATGGAAAGGGGACACTTTTTATTGCAAAGGAAAAGGAGCAGTTGTCGAAGGAAAACACTTATCAGATTGCCACAGCGGCATTTATCAGAGGTGAAAAGGGACATGTATGATAAAGTGAAGGGAATCTTGTGAAGAAAATGGGGGGGGGTGTGCACTTATCAAAAGGAGAGGGGCACTTAATAGAAGGGGAAGGAGCAGTTCTTACAAAAGAAAAGGGGCACGCACTTTGGGGTACCTGAAAAAGTGGCGGGCGGCACTGTGCACCAACCCCCCCCCCCCCCCCGAGCGCCGCCTCTGATTAGATGACCATGATGCAGAGAAGAGATCTTTGGTGTGTAGTCTGTCCTTTGGAGCCATAATAGAAGAGCCATATCAGTTGGATAAACACAATAATTATTGTAGAGGCGCAACTAAAAGATTAACATTCATTACTGTGACCCTAGGAGAATTTAATGATTGGGGAGGGGTTGAAGACTTTCATCCAAAATTTGTGAAATTCGTCCACATTCTAAAAATATAAAGAAGATAGTTATAAAGAAAAGAAGACAAATAAAGGATAAAGGGGAAAAAAAAGGAATAAAATGAAAGAGAAAAGATATGTAAGCGTAATGCGAAGAGAAAATCTATTTAAAGTTATCATACGTTTCTATTTACCGGGAAGTTTCCGAAATAGAAACGTAGTAAGGAAGAAAGAGACAATGAAGCCCTGACGAGTAAATGCAATGTGGGGCTTGGCGACATGGGCTAATCGTTATATAGGTTATTTCTACCTGCAAGCCCCCCCCCCCCCCCCCCGTGCTATTTAGGGTACGCGTATACATGATCCCTCCTTTTGAAAGCACCCCCCCCCCCCCCAAGTCCGGATTTTGTAAAGTCAAAAGCCAAAAAAAAAACATTTTGAATTTTTTTTGTTTTTGGGGGGGGGGGGGGGGGGGTGACTGCTATTCACACTACCGGAAATACCCACAAAAAGACCATCGGTGTTTGGTCATTTTGTTTTTCTATTTTATAATGTTTTAGGGGGCCGGGCTTAGTAGTACGCATGCGCGACTTTTCTAGTCTGCGAAAGTCGTAATCGTGTGCTGATATGATCAGATCAACTTGAGATTACTGTGGATTTTTTACATTTAAATTGACAGTGCAGTGCTCCTAACAATATACTCAAGGGATTTTATAAACAGGTAAGATATTAATCAGTGATTCAATTGTGCCTATTATATACTGTAGTGAGCTCGTGAAGAACAATAGTTGTCATGATCGAGAGAAAATATGAGTTGAAAATATAAATTGGCATGTACACTGAATGTTGTGAAAAGCTGTGTCTTAACCAATGGGAATGCGACATTATATGAATGCGGGGAACTCCGTCACACGTATTGCCACTGATGATAGTCTACAATCAGGGACGTGATAGAGAAGGACTGGAATCAAGCCGCTCTCCTTTGACCACATGCTCCAAGCCGCCGAAAATGTATGCGCTAATATGCAACTGTTGGCCAAGTGGTGAGATAAAACAAAAGAGTGCATGAAATTTCAGGATTTAGAATTCGTACATGTAGATCTAGACTGTACATCAGACAATATGGTATCACAGCAACTGTTCGCTGTCCCTTTCAATGATTTCTCATCAATTGTTAAATGTGTAATATACAGTAAAGGAGCCGGTTTTTGGCCACTTAAGACAAAATCCTATTTTTTGGACCCTTTACTTCTTATTTATTATCATATTTTGTTCAAATCATGAAGCCTATTATTATTTAAACAAAACAAGAATCCCAGAAATAAATCACGAATTGCCATGACAATATTCATTTCAATTTTCACTGTTTCGGAGTCAGTTTTCGGCATAGCGTACCAGTTTTTGGCCGCATGTACAAAGTCAATAGGAAGCGCGCGCACGCGCCGTGCGTTTCCGCGCTGATCTATAGCACTAGCGGGCGGAGCAGATATCCCACGCCGGAGCTCCCCGGAGCTCGCCAGGCCGAAAACTAGTACTGCGGTGATCAGATATTGGAATCTGAATTAGACAGAGATATCGTGTGTTAATACATGCGATGAGATACTTTTGAGCTTGCGACTAGCACAAAATCGGGCTCTAAATCTGAAATATACTTGAAATAAAGCTCATTTTATGGTACCCATATTTCTTACAGACACGCGTAAGATACTCGATTTTTCAGATTCGGGTAGGGGGACCGCAGATTACATCGCTAAAATGTGATATTTTAGGATATATTTTTCATTGCAAATCTGGTTCTTCAGTGACACTGGCATGGTATGGTATGTGTGGGATATGCTATTATGCGATGTATTTTAGAGGGATTTTACCTTGCATCCAACCAATCGGCCGAAAACTGGAGCTGGCCGATTACCGGCTCCTTTACTCTAGATCTAAAACAAGCGAACACAAACTTGTGCGATTTCATCCTTTTTCTAACTGCAAAAATACAGAAAAACACACAAAAACAAGCATTAGCCAACTTATAGTTATCAAAGATAGAGGTCTATCATGGATTTAATAACGACAGATTAAAACACGCACAAATTATTGCATTATCCTAAAATATTGAGTTTTTGTCAGGATCTAATTTTCCTTTACCAACTCTGGCACACAAGTTATAGGAAGGGCGGAATACTTAATTGGAAAAATTGTTTGATACACTATTCCCATTACAATCCCCATATAAAGTTTATAATTTACACTGAAATTTTGCCGGTAAATTGATATTTTGTAATAAATGTGAAACTGGTGCATGGCCTCCGAAATTCCCCGCAGTGGAAGCGCGGTTCGGAGCATGGAACTTCAAAGCCAAGTGGAATTTTACACATCCCATTGTTAGGCTTTAGAACTCACAAATGCGTTTGAATAAATTACAAGAGTTACTACTCCTTTCTTTCACCTCCCTGCTACAATTAAAGAGTGTGTCCGTGCAAGTAAAAACATGTAATGACATTTAAATTAAAAAATCATTAAATATTACAAGATTACTGTCTGCTACAATTACAAACTCTGCGATTTCTTGACCGTTTGGATCAGTTTTTACTTTTTACACTTCCAGAAATATATCAGATTCTTATTTTCATGCCGTGTTATGACCTAATTTTGTTAACTCAGTCTTTTGCAGGTATTGCAGAAGTTTACAATCATATAGAAGTGTATAGAATAACACTATATAACACTATAACACATGTATATCATTTTTAATGTACATGTAGACTACATGTACAGGTATAATACACCCATCTCTGGGACCAGTGTTTCTGTTTCTTATTAATACATATCCATTATAATCCTGTGATGAATGTCAGCTTTTGTCTTTAAATCAGGTTTTTTGTATACATCCTGAGGTTTTCCTGTTCAGATTATGAACATAATTTTGAAATTCATCCCTGTGATGTATTAAACCTTCTGCATTCCTAGGATTGCAACATCTGTCCTGTTGGTCATTGTTTTTTTTATGCCTCCGTTACGAAGTAGCCGGAGGCATTATGTTTTCTGGTTGTCCGTCCGTCCGTCCGTACGTCCCGTTCTCGTGATCGCGTTATCTGAAGAACCGATTGATGGATTCCTGCCAAACTTTGGTCATGTATGTATCTTGCAGAGCCGATGAACTGATTAGATTTTGAGGTCACGAGGTCAAAGGTCAAAGGTCACAGGGCTCATTATGTATGCAAAAACAGCTCGTGATCGCGTTATCCAAAGAACCGATTGATGGATTCCTGCCAAACTTTGGTCTTGTATGTATCTTGCAGAGCCGATGAACTGATTAGATTTTGGGGTCACGAGGTCAAAGGTCACAGGGCTCATTATGTATGCAAAAACAGCTCGTGATCGCGTTATCCAAAGAACCAATTGATGGATTCCTGCCAAACTTTGGTCATGTATGTATCTTGCAGAGCCGATGAACTGAATAGATTTTGGGGTCACGAGGTCAAAGGTCAAAGGTCCCAGGGCTCATTATGTATGCAAAAACTGCTCGTGACCGCGTTATCTCAAGAACCGATTGAAGGATTCCTGCCAAACTTAGGTCATGTATGTTACTTGCGAAGCCAATGAACTGATTAGATTGTGGGGTCATGAGGTCAAGGTCAAAGGTCATGTGGCTCATTATGTATGGAAAAATAGCTTGTGATCGCATTATCATTAGAACAGATTGATAGATTCCTGCCAAACTTAGATCATGCATGTATCTTGCAGAGCCAATGAACTGAGTAGATTCTTTGGTCATGAGGTCAAAGGTCAAAGGTCATGGGCTCATTATGTATGCAAAAATAGCTTGTGAACACATTCTCATTAGAACTGACAGATGGATTACTATTTAACTCGGGACATCTTGCAGAGCCAATGAACTGAGTAGATGTTAGGGTCATGAGGTCAAAGATCAAAGGGTCATATATGTATATGAGAAATTGCTTGTAATCACAATATTCTGAGAACCTGTTAATGGATTACAATTGAACTTGAATTTGAAAAATTTCTTCTGTTTTGGTTTGTAAATTGCTCTATGACGGAGGCATCATTTTGACTGCGCGCAGTCGAAGTTCCATCTAGTTTTTTTCGTTATTCATAAGAGCCATCAAAATAGAAGGTTCTATTTTGATGTTTAAAATCTCTTTACTCTGTTCATTTATTGTTTTCAAAATATTGTCAAGTTTGTTTTCTGCTTTTTTGAGATACAGTATATCACCTTGGTAAGATAAGCTACAGTCAAACCTGTCTATAGCGACCGCCAAGGAAAACATAAAAAGTGGTCCTTGTAGACAGGTGGTCTTTTTAGACAGGTTCCTTTAGTACATGTGTACATGTTTCAATGAAAAAACATTTTCAAGGGAAACAAAAAAATGTGGCCTTTGTAGACAGGTGGTCACTAAAGCAGGTTTGACTGTATAAACTTTTATTAGTTGATTGGGTGCTTTCTGGTCTAATCGGATCATTGCTTGCAATAGATCAATTGGAAGAGGGTTTGTTTGGTTTTGCATGGTTATGATTTGGTTGCATTCAGAATAATAATAATATAATATTTAAGATTTATATAGCGCTGGTATACAGGTACAGTTTCTAAGCGCTTTACAAAACAAGTGAAATGAAAAGTACGGTTAAAGCTAAACTTGAGTTCTGGTAAAAAAAAGAAAATGAATTCTCACAGAATCAAACGAAACTTACACCGAATGTTCAAGATTAAAGATAAATGTCATGTGCCAAACAATTTTGGAAGAAAATGTATACTGGCTGAGTAATGAGCATAGAAAGACAAGGAAATCAAGGTAGTACCAGCCCCGACAACATGCGTGTTGTCCCATATATAGCTTTCTGTGTACGGTGCGTGTTACTTTACCAAGACTCGGTCAAATTTATGATGATTTTGATGACTCTAGAACCTTGCAGTGCACACCAATACTTACATTCTACATGATCAACTTTTTCTGATCCTTTCCACACCTTTTCTTTCACAATGCAATCGCATTACCAGTACTAAAGTTTAGCTTTAAACTAAATATGTGATAAGGATCAACAAGAAACATGAAATAAACAATGCGCTTAATTTGGACAAATTACTTAACTAACAATGTATAACAATAACATGATAATGAAAAATGAAAATGTAAATACAATAATTAAGTATCATTAATGAAACTGCAATAATTATGTACATTAGACAATAAATAGATTACAAGAAGATAGGACATGTGGTTATAAATACGGTATGATGATGGACAATTACTTTGTGTTGAATAGATAGGTCTTAAGTCTACGTTTAAAAGTGTCAAGAGTTGGGGATTCACGGACAGAGACGGGGAGATTATTCCAGAGTTTAGGAGCACATACAGAGAAGGCACGATCTCCATAGCGGGTGTGAGTTCGAGGACCAGATGATAGTTGAAGATGAACAGATGATGATGAGCGGAGCCTGATGGAGGAGGTTTGCACCTTTGGTGAAATGAGTCCATTGATGTATACTGGAGCAAGTCCATTACGGGCCTTGTAGGTGAGAAGCAGTACCTTGAATTGGATGCGCTGTGGAATGGGGAGCCAGTGAAGAGAACGAAGAATAGGTGTTATGTGTTCGTACTTTCTTGTGCGTGTGAGGAGACGGGCTGCAGTGTTCTGGATGTGTTGGAGTTTGGTCAGATGTGAGCTGGGTAGATTTATCAACAGGCTATTACAGTAATCAATGTGTGATGTCACAAATGCGTTTATTAGGCGCCCAGTAGAACTTTGGTCTAGGTACTTTCGGAGTTTTCCGATCCGGTAAATTCCAAACGAAGCGGCTCTGCATGATTTCTGAACATGTTGCTTCATGGTAAGTTTGTCATCCACTCCGACTCCGAGATTAATAGACGATTTTGATGGATGGATTGTATTGCAGTCGACTTCGAAATCTGGCAGCTCACTGGCTTTTCGAAATGCTGACGTCATATGCATGAGTTCTGTCTTGGCACCATTAAGCATGAGGTTGTTATCACGAGCCCAGACTTTCACATCTGCGATGCACTGCTCCAGTCTCACCACCCCACTGGCGATTTCACTTTGCTTCAGTATCAGATACATTTGTGTGTCGTCGGCATACATCATGTGTTCAACACCCTTATGGGACCTTATGACGTCACTGAGGGGACCAGAGTAGAGTATAAAGTCCAACGGTCCCACAACGGATCCTTGTGGTACTCCCCAAGTTAGTGGAAATGCTTCGGACTGGACACCATTGAGAACGATGACCTGAGATCGATTTTCCAAGTTCAGAGAGGGTTTTGCTTTAATATGTTTGGCAGCCTCAGCGTAGGTGTCTCCTTTTACTTTAAGTATTTGTTTCTGTTCTTTATATTTAGGGCACCCTTGATATGCTGCTGAATGTGGGCATGAACAAGTCAATTAACACACTCAAAATGTATTCTGGATAATTTTTTTAAAGTAGTTACAGTATATAGCACATCATTATACATACATGTACATACATACATTATACATCATCATACCATTAGAAAGGTCATTTATTTCCCTCCAATAATATTGCTAAACTATGCTTTTCATATAAATCAATAATTAAAAAGTTATAGCTATGTGAATCGGCACAGACCATGTCAAACCCCTCAAATATGCAACCCTAAAATTAAGGGGGATTATCTGTGTGGCAGGAGAATAGTTAAGAAGTTTGTTAGACTAATTTGTGATTTTTTTTTTCTTGTTGAAATTGAAATATCCACTATTACAAGTGAATTTGTACAAATTATAGAAAGGTACGAAATGCAGTCTTAAAAACAGGTTTTAAGAAAGATCTGTGGCAACTGACAAACACTTCATGCTTTCTTGACTAACTGCAAGTCTTCCTTACATTCTTATTCACAGTTTGAATTCCTGACGATCAGCACTGGCAATAATGAGTCTTCAGGCCTTCAGTCGCAGTACCACCACCACCACCACTCCCCCTCCCGTCTCCAGTTTAGACTCGCCAAGAAAGAGTTCTCCCATCATGCTCCTCTCTGGCAGCAGAAAGGGGCATTACAGTACGTCCGGTAATGACTGCTTGGCTCTGATGTGGCCTAGCGCGGATGATGTCAACAACCATTCTCTCTCTCCTGTTTCGCCTTCGATAAAGACTCACTTGGGAGGAACCCTAATGGATAGCACTCATGAACACAATGATATGAAGATAAGCAGCCCACATGGAGAGGGTTTGGTGTCTCTGGACAAGACAACAGAAGTCTTGGTCTGTCCATCAGGAAAAACTGTAGTGAGACTAAAGACATCCATGGAAGCTATTCTGCCATCTCCGAGTCATAAAGGGTCACCAAGTATGATCAAGCAACTGTCTCTTCCATACAGTCTTAGCTCAAAACCAGGCTCAAAACCCTCTTCACATAGCTTTTTAAGCTCTGATTCTTCTCCATTTCCACACTCAAGAGGGATCAGTAATTCTTCATTAAATTTTCCAGGTAACTACCGGTAATGCACTATCGATTTGTTGACTTTGTTACAAACAGATTTTTATGCCTCCGTTACGAAGTATCCGGAGGCATTATGTTTTCAGGTTGTCCGTCCGTCCGTCCGTCCGTCCGTCCGTCCGTACATATGTACGTACGTCCGTACGTCCCGTTCTCGTGACCGCGTTATCTGAAGAACTGATTGATGGATTCCTGCCAAACTTTGGTCATGTATGTATCTTGCAGAGCCGATGAACTGATTAGATTTTGGGGTCACGAGGTCGAAGGTCAAAAGTCACAGGGCTCATTATGTATGCAAAAACAGCTCATGATTGCGTTATCTCAAGAACCGATTGATGGATTCCTGCCAAACTTAGGTCATGTATGTTACTTGCAGAGCTGATAAATTGATTAGATTTTGGGGTCATGAGGTCAAGGCCAAAGTCTATGCTGCTCATTATGTATGCAAAAACAGCTTTTGATCGCATTATCATTAGAACAGATTGATAGATTCCTGCCAAACTTAGATCATGCATGTATCTTGCAGAGCCAATGAACTGAGTAGATTCTTGAGTCATGAGGTCAAAGGTCAAAGGTCATGGGCTCATTATGTATGCAAAAATAGCTTGTGAACGAATTCTCATTAGAAACTGACAGATGGATTACTATTTAACTCAGGACATCTTGCAGAGCCAATGAACTGAGTAGATTTTAGGGTCATGAGGTCAAAGATCAAAGGGCCATATATGTATATGAGAATTGTTTGTAATCACGATATTCTGAGAACCTGTTAATGGATTACAATTGAACTTGAATTTGAAAAATTTCTACTGTTTTGGTTTGTAAAATTGCTCTATGAAGGAGGCATCATTTTTGACTGCGCGCAGTCGAAGTTCCATCTAGTTTTTTTGGTCTGACTGTAAAAAAAAAAATTCAAATCATTGCAAAATTGATTTGATTTTGTCAGTTCCATTGCACCATGTTTCAATTATCATGACTCTCGAATGTATTACTTAAATCATTACATGGCTGTTTCATCTGTATATATATATTTGCATTTAAGTCAAAACGGTCTTGAAAGTTGTAAGAAAATGGATGCTTGTGTAATAAGTAAGGCGGAAACTGAGATCAAATTTATAACAATAATAACAGTACTAATTTAAAACTTTAAAGACATTAATGTTTTTGTAACTACTGTAGAGGAGTAATTAGAAAGGAATTTTACACTCATCTTCCATATAATCTTGCTTACATTAACCTTATGAGCTGACTTGTCAGCATGGTTTTAGTATTGTTACATGAATAGAAAAATATACAGTCAATCGTAGAAGGGTAATGTTTTGTTTCACGTTTGAATTGCAGGTCGCAGTCTCCTCTTTGATAGCAGTGACAAGCCATCTGGAGATAGCATTCCATCATCTGCAAGATCATCAAGTCCAACCAGAGACATCAGCAGTGGAGGTGATACACCATTCTCCTCCATTAAGAAGAAAGGTCCTCGCAGGAGAAAGATCTCTGGAAAGGACAAGGGAGCCAAGGTGAGGTTTGCAGGAGGAGCTACAGAGATCTTAGAGCAGGATCATCCAGAGGACGATCTCATCATGACTCACAGCCGTTGTCCTTGCTTCAAGTTTTTTATCATCATGTGCCTTGTAGTGCTTTTTTTCTCTGTGCTGTTCTACCTTAGCCTGTGGCTCGTTGCCCAGCATAGAGGGAGCCCTGTCATTATTGCTGGTGGAGAGAGTCTTCAAACGATCCTTCAGTCGCACGTCTATGGACAGCCCATTATTGTATCACTCCTACCACAGTTGCTTTCAGGAATCCTTGCAGAAGATGTAAGCGATAGAACAATGGTTCTGATGTTTCATGGACAGTCAGGTGTGGGTAAAACTTTTGTGGCTGAGCTTATCGGAAAGAAGATGTTCCCCGAGCAAGCACAATCCCAGTGTGTTCACAAGTTCCTTCCATCTTTCCTAGAGGTCCGGGACCGCCTTGTGACCACCTATGACTACTCCATTGCCTTTGAGGATTTCATTGACCAAGGGAAATCCAACTACAGGACATGTCCAGTAGGCTTGTACATCATTGAAGACCTAGACTATGAAAGTTCTTCCAGCCTCTTGGAGGCAATTGCATTCACTCTACCTAGCATTCGAAAGAGACAAGCAGCCCAGGAGCAAAAGATGATCTTCTTTTTAATGACCAATTTACAAGGTGAAGCTTTAGGACATTACCTTCTATCACACATGAAAGAGGGCAAAAGAAGAGAAGATTTGAATTTGAGAGAACTGGAACCAATCATGAAAAAGGCACCAACAGCTCAGACAAATACTGCAGATAGTGATGATGATGAGCAAGAATCTGAGGAACATGGGGTTCAGCGCCTTGAAGTCCACGACAAAATCATGGCAGTCGTGGATCATCACATTCCATTTCTTCCTTTAGAAAGAGAACATGTCATCTTGTGTATTCAGCAAACATTGAGCTGGAAGAATGCGACTCTGAATGAGAATGATATTCAGTGGATAGCAGATAAACTTGTGTTTTACCCAGAAAACAATCTGATATTCTCTTTGTCAGGATGCAAAAAGGTTGAAGAGAAAGCCAATCTGTTCTCAAAATATTCCCAAACATAGTATTTGATGAATTAAGTTTTAAACTAGTATGCCCCTTAGCAGCAGTTGCTAGTGAATAATGATTCTGAACAGAGCTTCAAGCAATCAAACGATTTCTTTAATGCAGTGACAGTCAATTCCAGAGGTAATGTAAACTGTGATGTTGGTGTAACAGTATGGGTCAGGGGTATCAGGGGTAAAAAAATATTGACTATAATTTATTTGAGGTTTATATGTTATATAAATATGTCCCAAAAAAAAGTAGTGCACATAACCCTTTAATCCCAGTGTTCATGGTTATTCATAATTAGAAACCTTCTATGACCTCCTAGTTGGGGGGGGGGGGGGGGGGGGGGGGGAGGAGGTTGACACTGGTCTCGTTCTGTAAATGAAATACAAGGGCCTTGTCTTGTGCTTTGGGTAATTTACCTTGCATGGTCATCAGCTCATATCCATGCAGGTTATTGCATTATCATAGGACTTGGTTACTTTATAGGATCTTTTAGCATTTATATTGCATCTAGAAGTGTGCACTGTACCAATGGTCCATAATACATGTATAGCATTTCCCTCATCTCTTGTCTGGGAACTTGTCTTGTGCCATTCTTCTGATACCATAAATTGATAGACGGATGTTGATTATTTTACCTAACTTGTCTAAAAATCCAATCCAAAACCCTTTCTTTTCTTAGTTTTAATTAAGGAATAATACTTTGAAAATGTTAGACAGCAAAATGTGAACTTTAACAAACCTTGTCAACATATTTGGTTTTCTTCCTCTACCACTCAACTAACTACATGTACCATTTTGAGCATTTGCTTGCCTTGACAAATCATCTTTCCCAGGCCATTTTTCTTCGTTATAAAATACAATTACATATACTTTTGTATATCTGTCCATGTCTTGTGTGATTATAAATATTTATTGATATGTGTAGTGTATGTATTATGTTGAATAAAGCAAAGATATATGAAGTAATTGAAAACAGAATTCTTTACACATGTAATCTATACATTTTGTGTTTGAAAAACGTAAATGAATGGGCATGTCCACAGTATTTGGTTATACATGTACATCTCCCTATGTTCACATTATGTAATACATAGCATTTTGGGGAAAATTAAAAGAAAGTAAGAAACATGAATACCTTGGACTTGCCCAAATGCAGATGTACTTGTAAATTTATAATTGCATTCACACAACCAAATTTATTTAAATGCAACATAAACGAGTAGAAAATCAAAGATGCTTTTGAATCAGTATACATTTAATTTACAATCAATATAATTTAAATTTCATGTCTTTTATTACATGAGAAATGTATGATATCATGAACTTACTCGAGATAAGAACGCAGAATTCATCTCATATAAAGGTGAATACATGTATTGTCAAAGAATTTAAGAATTATAACAGATCTCCCCACAATATTTATGATGTAAATATATTGACCTATGACAGCATTATGAGCACAATTTTACCTCTAGAATATTTATTTCATCCCTAAATAATCACTTTTTTACCTTGGATTATATCTTACATTTTATCTTGATCTCTTACTTTTCATTTACCCATACGCATTATACATGCAGCTTTAATGCTAAGCCAATTTTATTTTATGTGAAAGTTAAAACGTTAAAACTTAAAATAGGGTAGGATCCAATTAATTCTCTTGAATTAATGAGCACTGACTAATATCTTACTTGAAATGATGCTGGCAATGGTGTTCAAAAGCCTATGAAATTATCTCAGAGACTGGCAGAAAGTGATTCTATCAGCTCAACATGTTAAGAGTGAAATCTAACAACATATCTTAATGGTTATCGCATCACAAATGGCATGTCTTAGGGAAATAAAATCATGCTGAAATTATTCTCAGAATACTATTTTGAGTAAGATTTTAAGGGTACTTTATCTCGCCAAGATGAAATCTTAGATTTGATGTAAGAAAAAATGAATCTCAAAATACACCCCCGTTTACAGATAACATTTGTATATAATTTGCACAATATCACACAATGCCAATATATGGGTTTTGAAGTCTTTCTACATTAATTCATTTTCTGTTGTGTTACTTACTTAATATATAAGAGTTGCAGAAAATTAATTTTTTTAAATCTAAAAGACCACTGTACCCTGTGTAAAAGAGGTAGAAACATAAAACAATTTTTTTTTTACATCCTTTCAAATTTTGTACTGTAGCATGCCGACGCCCACAAACATATTATAAGCCTTGCCATCAATATCACATCAAAATTATTGATACAAGCTATGAACATCATTGTACTTGATTGGTTACATGTATGACCACATTTATTATACACCTGTACATGTAGAATTGTGACCATTTCTGATAACAAGTTTGTACAGTACCTGTACATGTACATGTATAAGCTCCTTAAATCGTTTGATTTGATTGACTGAGAGCAAATTTGTAATACAATTCTAGCATTTGTTGATAACAAGGTATATGAAACAGTGCCCTGGTGATTAAATTGACTAAGTCCAGTATTCCTAGAATAAATTAAGTTGGGGAAATGCTTTAATTGCATACAGATTACATTCAAGTGACATAAACTGCACTCTGAAATTGCTTTAAAGTAATACTTGATAATTTTTTCTTTGTTTCAAATGGTTACCAATACCTACAAATCTAGATCGGATGACCAGTCATTATGACATGGAGACATTTTTTTCAGATTTGTTTGAAAACTTGTACCTAAAGCTCTGTTCCAATACATTCAGCTTTTTGTACAACAGCTCTGCATGGTCTGGATTCATATCAAGCTGAAGGGAGAGAGAAACGGGAGAAGAAATGAAAATTAATGGGTGATAATGGAAAATACAGAGCTTTATAAAAACATAGTGGCAACCCCCTCCTCTCCACAAAAAATGGCTGATTAAAAACAAATCACATATATTGTGCTGATTTCAAATAGTAATCATTGTTTATGAAAAACTTGTTATTTCAATTAAGCAAAAGAATCAAATGTCAGACTACAACATTAGATCACCAACAATTTGCCCAAACAAATTCTTTACAGTAGAGCATTATGATGAAAAAGGGTATGAAAATACACACCTTGTCTGTGTGCACATATCTTGTTCCAAATAGAGAGCAGTGGCTGACATACTTTATATCAGACTTGGTCGTTTCTGGAGAAGTACTAAATAACCAAACCTGTAAAACAAGAAGAAAAAAAAGAATGAGTCCATTAATTGTGGGGTGCATGGGAGACACCATGCCAACACCTAATCTTGCCTACCACAGTACTTGACAAGTAGCTGTGATTGTACTACAGGGGGTGTTTCACAAAGACTAAGATCAACTTAATTGGACTTGAACTATGGCAGGCCGTTCATGCCACTAGCAGTTCCTCTAAACATTTGTGGCATTGGTTTTGCAAGGGACGTACAAATCATGGTCACAAATCTATAGAAATTACTTTTTTTGATAGTTCATTATTGAAGGAAAAAATATTCTTTAAAGATCATAATATCTAATTTTTTTCCCTCTAATTTTACATCTGGTTCAAGACTTTTTAAAGGCATAAATTTCATACCGTAGTATAAGTCTTGAATATAACTTAAGTTTACAATGTAAGTAACTTTTTTTCTTCTACAATGAACTATCAAAAATGTATAATTTGTAGATTTGTGACGTCCCTTGAGAGACCAATGATGAGAGCAACCAGTGGCATGAATGGCCTGCCATAGTTCAAGTCCAGCGTTAGTTGATCTTAGTCTTTGTGAAACACCCCCCCCCCCCCCAGTAATTATACACCCTAACAAAAACAGGGCACCTCAACTTGATAAAGTTTGATTTTTAGAGAATTTTAGAGTAAATAACATAGTATAAAATGGGTTTCCCCCTCTTTCCATTTCTTTAATTAAAAAAAAAAAAAACTTTTTTCCATAACAATATCGTCGCTGTTTTCACAAAGTGACGGTAGTGAAAAAAAAATTGCATTCACTTTGCGTTACGATTTTTCTCACTACCGTCACTTCGTGAAAATAGGGACGATATATGTCCTTAAATTAATGACAAATCCTGAGCCTCATCTTGTGAAAAAAATTGCAAATATTTCAGTGGATAACTTTCCCCTGATGCAGCCTAACTGGCCAAATCCAAAATTGCTAAATTTGTAAGGGGTTTTGAAGCAACATTCTGGAGATTATGGTATTATCTATTACCTTAATGTATTCCATCATAGACTTTAAGTTGTAATTTACCAATTCTTAAAACAGAAATTTCCCTAACTTACCAATGCTTCAGCTCCATTATAAGGGGTGATACAGAGCCTTGGTGCTACAAGACGAAACTGACAATATAGAGAACAACATTTGGATAAGCATCAGATGATTTGAATTTCAAAAAGTAATTGACAAGCAAATGAAAAATTACAAAGAGGCATACAAACATGGCCTTCAATTTTTTTTTTTTTTATTGTTTTTAAAAACAGATATTGCACTGTTTTTCCTTTCTTGAATATCTTGCTGCTCACAAAGTTTTGGATTAATGTGGTGCCATAGCCCGTGAAGTATTTGAATCATTTGCTGCCCACAAAAATATCACTGTGGTTACTTATTGTCAATGTACAGCAAAGAATAGCGACTTTATGCACTGGATACACATGTCACAACACATTGCATTAAATGAATGTAATCACCTCTTTGAGACTTTGATCAAAACAAAGACAAATTTAAAGAAACATTTTGCACATGATTTCCAGATGAAGTGTGAATGACAAGACTGTGGAAGCCTCTTACCAGGTAGAGTAGAGGTGTACTGAAAGACCACATCCATCCTGGTAGTATAGGTGATGTCATGTTGGTGGACATGAAGCCAGGACAGGTGACCCTGCTGTAGACGCCCTGAGAGTTGAACTTGTCGTTCAATGCCTGACTCAGAAGATCAACAGCGTGCTTAGATGAGCTGTAGGATTCAGATCTGTGGGTCAAAGACAAAGATATTGAAACCTTGCAATAACACACAATTCAATTCGGTTATTCATTTCCATTTTCAATAAAAACAATACAAGGCTATACACAATAATGAGCATTAGCAATATATAAGAAAATTAAAATAGGGAACCATTAACCAGGACAAGTGTATTTTTCAAATACATTTTAACCTCACCACTTTACCTAACTATTGATGATCTTTTACACGTTTCTATTCTCTCCCCTTTCAAGGTATTTTATTCCAAATACGGTAATCAGCATTCTACATTATTGATATCTGTAATAATAATAATAATGGGTTCTTGTATAGTCAGATTTGACCCTCCTGGAGCTCCTGATTATTACCCTGGCTTTAGCACGGCTGCCATACTTAAGAAGAACAGTTCTTTTGAAATTGTTCTAAACATCTGAATTCACCAGAAAAGGTAGCCCTTCTTCATGAGAAAGTCGATGTGGGTCACTTACCCATTTTCATGTTGTATATCATCTATACTGAAGAGCTGAGCTGATGCATTGCTAGATGATGTCCATATAATCTGAGACCCACCATCTTCACATAGCATGTCCAGTAGACCTTGAATCTGCACAAAGGCAAGTTGATTCAAATCAGATTCAATCAACTTACATATTCAACACTTGGATTAAAATACAAGAAATACGGTAGACAGAAAGCTTGAATATAACAAATAAAAGAACTAAAGGAAATAAAGTACAGATAAAGTCAAGAAATAGGTGTACGTAACAGATTTGATATTACTCACAGTTTGCTGAAGATGAAAGCCATTGTTTAACACTTTGTTAAATAAGAGGGTACATTCCTTGAATAGGTGACAAACAGCAAACTGTGAAATGCAATGTGCAGTCATATCGTGATACATAATTTCCACTACACACATAGGCTTCAAGAAATTGTCACATAAACATGTCTTGTTCTACATGTATATTTAAGGGGCAGTGGGGGAAGGGGTGGCTGCAAAGAAAAGGAAATAGTCAAAATCAAACATTTTTTCAAGTTAGATATTTTTGTACAAAATGATATGACCATTGAATTTAATTCAGTGTTGAGAAATTGATTACTGTAGGAATGTTTATCTTACCAGTACATAATGTCCAAAAATGTTAGTACAGAATACACTTCTAAGTCCATCTTCTGTAGCTCCATCTTGAACGTTGAGTAAACCCTCACCAGTTGATAGAATTCTGATGAACTTTAACCTTAAAATTGAAGAGAAATAGTAATTGCCAATGTAGAACAACATACAATATTGGAAGGGCGCTTTTTCAATAGATGATATTAGCAAATTATCATACATATATCAACAGTACAGTAAAAATTACTTCCCATGTTTATCAGACATCATACACTCCTGATAAACCAACTGTAAATTTGGGTTTAAATTTTTAAATTCTGAAAATAACATAATTAAACAACATGTAGCCATAAATTATAATAAACCTTTTCATTCTTTCACCTTACAATAAGCATGAAAATGAAATGTAAAACATGAAGGAAAAAGGTATTCACTCTCAGTCTCATAGAATACTGGAGTAGACAACCTATAATCATGGCTTATCTAGATGCATCAAAGTACCGTAATAATAAATCACTGGACTAATATTGGTTACCACTTTCATTCTTGGTACTTTTTTTCCTACACCTGGGCCCGTAACACAATGGTTTCTGACCAGTTGCAAATTTAAAACAATGATTTTGATTGGTTAAAAGTCAGCCCTTTGAAAAATATCTTGATTAGCCATTGTCATTTTGCCATTGTTTGCAAACCTTTGTGTTATGGGGCAAAGAATATGAAGAGCATACTTACGGATTCCACATACTCTTAAAGAAGTTTGAATAGTTGAATGTCACATTAGGCATGGTGCCAGCATTTAGATACAGGTAATCAAGTCGATCATATCTGAAAGAAAAGTATACACAAAAGATAAGCTTTGAGCATGTTTATGTAAAGGCGCTATATAAATATCAATATGTATGTATAAGCATTACTCACTTGTAAATAAATTATGAAGCAAAAACGAAGTTAAGCTCTGATAAAAATGATAAAACAAAAAAGTAATAATACTGTGTAAGAAACTAATAATCATCTTTTCATTTTTCCTGTTTGTTTTAGATGATACAGAATCAAATTACATATACAGGTACAGGACTGCCATAAATGATGGCTACATACAAAGAACACAGTTCCCTGTCCCCCCCCCCCCCCAATTAAAAAAAGAAGGTTAAAACAACCTTCTTTTTATAGTCATTGAAAACTCTTCTATTTAATTACACATGTCATATAGGTAACTCTGACTGATTTGTCATCAAAGTATATTATTTATTTCTAAATTTCGCTTGTTCATGGGAAATTAGGATTTCCAACCTTAGTTTATGTAGAGCCAAATACCAACAAGGCAAACAAACATTATCAGGTGTACCTTGAGGCTGTTTCTTGAATGACAGACAAAAATGAATAAATAAAAGGAAAACAGAAAGAAAGAAAAAGAAAAAAGAAAGAAAAAAAAAAGAAAAGAAAAAAGGAAAAAAAAGAAAAAAAAAGAAGAAAGAAAAGAAAGAAACCACAGAAACAGTTGTTCACTTTGTGTACATGTACATGTCAAATGAAGAGCAGTCTATGATTTAGACAATCTAGGCGAAAATGAATTAAATGTACCTCTGCTTAATCTCTGCACAGGCCTTGTAGACTGAAGTCAGTTTGCTTGTATCAAGCTGGACAATGTCTACTGTGGCATCTGGGTGAGAAGAGAGAAGATTCTGCTTGGCTGTCTCTGCTTTGGATAGATTTCTGCATGCTAAGACGATGAGGAGGGTGATGTCCAAGGCTAGCAGACGGTCTGCTATGCTGTACCCAATCCCACTGGGTCAGTCAATATAATGCACAAAGACAATCAAAATCACAAACTTTCATAAAGTCTTAGTTAAGCACAAAAGTCTTCCTTTGTGAATTTTATTAAAATATAAACATTATTATATCACTATAGAGTGAGATGAAAAAATGTTATACATAAATATCACAAAAGTCCTTTAACATTTTAAATTATCTTGCTTCAGGCAAAATATTAGCTTTACATGAGTAATAAGGACTGTAATTAACAAAGCACCTGAGCCTCTAAATTTTCTCTCTGGCCGGAACACCCGAATTTCAAAACTGTAAAAAGGGACTTCACACCTTAACATATCCAATGCAGGCCCTCTTTGGGAAAAAAAAGTGATATAGTCTAGATCTATTTATTTGCATTCAAAATCACTAAATAAGGTGATTTATAGATATTGAGATCAAGTTAAAAGAGCAAAGTAGCAAAGCCGAAGCACGTCTAATTCATTCAATAACAAAAAAACAAAGACAAAGAAACGTCTAGAATCTTGGCCACATTCTACTCTTCGTACTGAGCAATGTTGATCTGGCGCTGCTCAGTGGCTGCCGGGCTCACGATCAATTGGGCAAAAAGAATTTTAATTTTCAGTTTAACTTTGGTTTAAAATTTGGAGTGGACTTTAAAGATTATTACCCACATAGAATTTCAATATGTACATGTAATTGAAAAAACAGTGCTGCACTGCTAATGCTAAATGATTAATCTCGTGTCCTCTGTCTATGCATGCATTGCCCAAATTCAAATACCCTTAGATTTATAGAGAGGTCAACTATCAGCTGATGATCTCATCAGTGCAGTCTCATCTCACGCAAAGCACACACAATTCACAAACACACTCACAATGAAAAATGTCAGCAGAGACAAAAGTCAAGACATTCTTTTCAAAGACTACATTTTCAATGATTATACTCACGCATTAGCCCCAGTTATGATGACAACCTTTTTCTCCTGAGTCTCCTCACTATCCGTGTTCACCATTGTGTTTTTGATGCTTGAATCCAACGTGGATCAGCTAAATTCCTAGAAGTTTACCTCACAAAGTCATGAAAGTCGCAAAGAACTATAGTGTGCACACGTTCATATATAAAGTTAATTCGGATGATCATACATGTAATTGAAGTGTTAGAATCGCCTAAAAGAAACTTCGAATTATTAATATACTTAATCTATTTTAAAGACTGTTAATCGATACATACATCTAATTAAAAAAAATAATAATGATATATTTTAAAATGAAAGTGTTTTTTTCTTGGTTTTATCTGTTTTAGTGTAATTTATATATAAAAATCCTCATAATATATTGAATTTTCCTTGAAAATTAATATTCCTTGGGCAGTCGCGCTCTTATTGATATCCGATATATCATTTCCACGACCACGTTTATTGAAATTTAATTTGAGGTGTTGAGCTTAAATTTTTAAGAATGGATGCAGATACAACTTTTTCTGTTGCAAAGGAATTCTGTCCGAGATGTGGCACTATTTTACCCTTTCCAGAGCGGGGCAGTTTGGACGTGTACTGTAAAAAATGCTCTTATCAAACAAGTGCCACAGGTAAGTTAGAATCAGAATGTAACTCCGGGAAGCTCCAACACCGGCGCCGGTGTTGGAGCTTCCCGGAGTTAGTTAGAATGAAGCGAGGCTAGATCTATGTCACTTGCCCAGAGTTTCGGGGTGCCCGGGCGGTACGATTTTAGTCAGAATCGCGGGTGCCAAGCTGGGCCCACATACATAGCTGCATAGTATTGTAACGGACACGGTTTGCTACCCGGCTGACACGGTATTTGTCAGGATGCCCGTGTCTGGCCTGGCGCTCACCGTCGTTCGTTTGGACAAAATATATGCCCGTAGCTTGATGGCTGGAGTTCTTTCACTGCTCGTGCACGTCACAGGGCGTATTATTACTAGACTATTAACAATCATGCATCCTTCGACTGCAATCGGTCACCCCAATCGTTGTGCACAGCAACAGTCAATTGAACATCCTTCGAGCAATCAATCAATCATTCATTCCTTCGTAATCACCAAACGTTTCACTGCATGCTCTAAGAATTTAAACCAGAATATCGATTTCTAAGTCAAAAAGCTTTAATGCTCACGTGGTCAACAGGTAGGGTAATACAAGTGCAAACTTCAGGTTAGCCTCGGTGAGGCTGGCCTGTATAACGGATACAGTGCAGTGGAAAGCTCTAATACACAATCTTTCCGTACTAATAATTTCCCTATACATAACTGTATAAAAGGGCAATTATGTCCTCGTTAGTAAAACAACACTTCAACACAACATTTCTGCTAATCCCTTTAAATCTTCACATATAATCTTCAGTATAACCCCTTATTCCTGATTAGATAACTATTACAAATAATATCCCGGGTTTATCCCCAAAAGAAACATGATAATTGCACCAACATGATCAAAATATGTAATTTATGCTCATTTTCCTTCAGTTTGGTAATTGCTAAATCAATGATGCGCCGTTGCTATAGCGCATGCGCGTACAACAGAAAATGCTTAACCTTCGTCCAATACTAAAACCCTGATTTGTTACAGTATCCTGGCTGTTCTATTGATTCTCAACATTTCAAACACCACTGTACAAAACTCAGCGCAGCGCTAGTTCAGAACTTTAGAAGTCTATCCAAACTTTGACCCGTAACTCCGGCGTGAAGACCTCATTCATCAAATGTCCAAATAAAGCCGGTCATGATTTAAAAGTCGATATGCATAGGGTCTACTCTATGTTTGTTGCCTGTTTCGTGTCAATTTTCTTATCTTTTTCGGAGTATTTTTCCTAAAAACAAAGACTTATAGTAGACTCTATGCATATTCTCACAGGATTCATGGCAAACTGTAGCAACTAGCACAATACAATTGCATACCGTACCGATGGTGGCATGTGGTGCGGGCGCGCGCGCGTATGTGTTCAGTTAGCGACCGTAACAGTTTTAGGAGTTTGTTTACATTACTCTTTCACTATTATGGTTTAAGTGATGTACCTTATTTAATTTTTAAGAAAAATCTAATATCCTCTGTTTGACATTTATTACCTCAGACACCTGGGCAGATGTAGTCTACCATTCTCACCGGAAAATGAATGAGCGTAGGACAAGAAAAACAGAAAGGGGCCATCCATCCGAAGATCTAGGACCTGTGGTAAGTATCAAAATAACAAACCCTAGGAGATTCTTAAAATGTATACCGAATGTTTAATTTGGCATATAATTTTCTCTCACTTTTGTATGTTCTACATGTCTCTTAATGCTGTTCCTTTGTTTATAATGCAGATGCTTTTATGTGATCTCTTTTTTGTGTCACAAGTGCTCCTTGAGCATTTGATTTCAAGTGGATTCAATGCCTTACAAATTTCATATATTATTATTTTTTATTTCCACATAGTTCAAATACAATCTCCTTCTGATAATAAATAAGAGGACATTGTCATTTGTTACCATAGAAATAACTTCATTAAAATACTTCATTAAAATGCTCTCAAGAATGCTTGTCATTTATATTCAAATATGAACTTGTCACCAATGACCCCTTCAATTTAGAAATGAATGAACATTTTATGAACAGTTTACTTTACTTGTTAACTACTTTAATTGTCTCAGTCACATAGGCTTAGTTCATGAATGGCCTGGCTCCTGTAGGCAGTGAGTTCAATTCTTTCGAAACTGAACAGAAGAGAAGAAGAATTACATAGATTAAAGCTTATCAGTACTAGTTTACAGGAGGGATTAGACCACCCTGTAAGGTTACTGGACAGGTGGTTATCTGATCAACTCAGCTCTCAGTTAACATAAGAAAAAGAGGATCATGGGAGACCAATGGTCACCGATTATGCATTGTTTAATATAGGGAGTAGCTACAAGTAGTGCAGTGGGCCTTTAATATCCAGAGCCAATGAAAATATGGATAAGTTCTTTTATGAATTTGAGTTCTTCAAATATGTTGAAAGTGAAAATCTAATTATCAATAAGAAAAATTGTGATTCCAGTTGATAGTCAGAAACTGCTTTAATACAAATCAATACAATTATCTTTGAAATGGCAACTCTTCTTTTTCTTCTGTTCTTAATTGTGTTACTGTTTTCTTATCAGGTTGACCGAGCATGTTCTCACTGCGGCCATGACGGGCTTCACTATCACACCAGACAGACCAGATCTGCTGATGAAGGGCAGACCGTCTTCTACTTTTGTCCCAGTTGCAAGTAAGTCTAAATTCATGTAATGAAAATCTGGGTTAGCTCTAGCTCTGTAAGGGTGCAATTTGTAAGGTACTGTTTGACACTTGGCACTGTTTATTAATTTTACATCTTAATGTGAGGGGAATAATGAAAAAAGTTCTAGGAAAAGTAGTCAGTATTTAGTGCCAGAAAATATTACTGTACATTTTCAATGAGAAAAATGATTTTATTAATTATACCATGGTATGAATAGAATTGATTTAACTATAATCGTGGTTCCCATCACATTTCGGTCGGACTTATAACTTTTAAACATATATTTTCCAAGTTGATTAGAACATTTTGAGACTTAATTTTTTGAAGCTTTCCCAGGGCTAGAAAACCTAAACCTGATCTCCCAATGAGAAAGATGAGCTAAATGGAATGTAGTCTCTGCGGTTAATTGTACTCAACATCTGCAACAACGTATATCAATAACTATATGCAGGGAATAATTTTCCTCAAATTTTTTGATTAGCAATTTCAGCCGATGGATAAATATTTCAAATGAAATTCTGTACATTTCTATAGAAGAAAACTGCTACACAAAAGATATTTTGTATAGCAGTCATGCAAAAATGCATAGCAAATTGCGATGCGATACCAGGAAAATTATTCCCTGATATGCCATGTCAGGGAAAAAATATTTAACAAATTTCGGGGGCTACTTTTCAAGCTTGCTTGCATAAAAATAACACTCTTCAATTTGTTTTGCATTGAACTCTATTCAAATTTTTTGGGGCTCTTTTATGACTTCTGGGGGCTCTTTTGGAATTTCGGGGGCAAATTTGCCCTGAGTCCCCATGTATTTTTTCCCTGTGCCATGACAAGTAATAAAAAGTTTATTGTACAATATGACTACAAATCCTCTCTTTTATTTCTTTTTCCTATTTCTTGCTACTACAGAAAACAGGAGATTGAGCATTCCTGATACTTGTTTCCTTTGATGCTGTTTTCATCTATGGCACTAGAATGGATATATGGACTATGTATATGCAGATTTATGACAAGTGACATATTCCAGCCTGTCTGACTGCAAGGTTTTATGCTGATGAACTGTTAACTACAAGTGTACTTCATGAGAGCAGAGACAACAATATCTAAGTGAGGGTGATGGGAGAGTCAGTAACTGGACACATACAGATATATACTATTCCTCAGATTGCAAGGGGCATCTTGGACATGAAGCATGTGAATGAGTTCTATCCGCACTCAGGGGATTTCTTAGGGGAGAGGGCTTTTTTTTTTTTTTTGCTCCCGAAAATTTGAAAATCGCACAGGCCGAAAAGTCACTCAGTTGGGGGGGGGGGGGGGGGGGGGGGGGGGGGGGGGTACAGAGCACAATTTTTTTTTTTTTTGAAAATTGAAAATTTGAAAATTTGAAAATTTGAAAAACGCGCCGGCCAAAAATTCGCTCAGTGGGGGGGGGGGAGGGGGGGGGGGGGGGGGTAGTGAGCACATTTTTTTTTTTTTTTTGATCCTCAAAAAAATTTCAATTTGCACCCCCCCCCCCTTGAGCGCCCAACCCCCAAAAAAGGTAAAAATCACGTGATTTTACATGATTTTTTTTTCTCAAGGGGGGGGGGGGGCCCGGCCCCCCCCCCCCCTGGATCCGCCACTGTCCGCACTCAAGTTGAAGCTGTATACATCCATCGTACAAAGCTGTAAGGCCGATTACAATAGGTGCATAAACAGACTCAACAAGAGCGGATGGATCATTTATACAACAAAACTCAGGTAGATCCTTGAGTACGAACACAGAACAGAACATTATCGTCCATGAAACTGTTTAATTATTTATTTGTTTATTTGACTTTAATTAAAAACACTCACAAACTATTACCAGCCCACTATTAAAGTAGATATTCATTGATTTTAAAAACTAACTTTATTTTCATTATTGCAAAGTCGAAACTTTGATTCGACAATGTTATCAAAATTCAATGCTTGGAAACATTTGAAGTAATGATTATTATAAATTACAAAACGCTTAAATACAGCCCCGGCATAGCACCTGAAGAGCTCTCCAAACGCTGCTGAGATGTGTGAGATCACAGTATGGACATGACTTGCACAAGCAGACGATGTCCCATGACATCTCACACATTTTCAGTGCCTGTGTTTTCATCTTCTCTCAAGTTCTTTCTCTTACTTCACTACCATCAGGCTAAATGTATTGCCTCACCCTAAACCCCGCACATGGTTTATTTTGATGACAAATGCAGCGATACAAAAATAAAGGAATCTGTCACTTGTAAACAAAATAAGACGCCATTGTATATTCAGCTGCACACACCAGGGTATGTTCGGCGTTTCAAGAGGGACAAATGCCGTCCTTAATATCATTACGGGGGGTTTTCAATTTGAAAGTCTGGTTTCTTTGATTGTTAATTAACCCCTATCTTGTGTATTTACAAGCAAAATATTTTAGTTATCAGGATCGGGTCATATCCCCTTTTGAATTGTTTGACATGCCATTACATTTATATACAATAAACTCATCATGATTTGAGAAATAATAGCTTTGCAATTATGTTCATTCTCTATGGGATGTCGTCTGCTTGGGCAGTGTTGGTCCATATAGTGACGTCATTAAAACATTGTTATTTTTCCGGCGAATCTCTCGTATATCCAGGCTGCTATGGAGGTGGTTGTATTTTTATTTTTATAAATTACCCGATATGTAGTTGACCTAAAACTTGTACGATGGCCATCTGTTAGCTTACCAGTTTCTAGTGATACATTAATTGACATATTTGTGATCTTCTTTGAATTTCACCTTTAAGTGCTTCTACTTCTATATATAGGCTCTGTGTTTAATTTCCACACTGCTCGGTACGATTTGTTATTGTCCTTCTCTGAATCCCAAATAATAAAATAAACACGGATTGATTTATTTGTTTCTCAGTTTTTCATTCTCCAGCTTTAATTTTAAACTTCACCATAATGTTGTTGTTGTGTTTTTTCTCATATGTATGATCCCAAATTCCAAAATGTTAAATTGTCTGGCCATTTGGTTCAATTTACGTTACAGCTGTGGCCCGTTTTCCTTTTACATTAATGTTGTACATTGATACTTATAATCATGTTCCTACATTTTATTGATTGTAGATTGTGATCCGTCTTGGTTGTACAGGGGTGATAGTGAGCACCAGAAAAAAAAATAGGTTTTTTGTTTTCCCCTCATCTACGCCCCCCTTGAGTAAAAAAAAAAAAGAGGATTCGCAGGGAAAAAATGGCATCTAACAACATTCCCCCCTTTCGAGTAAGAAAATTAGGACAAAATTGGGAAAATTGGGGAAAAAATAGGGCAAAATAGGGAATAATAGAGGAAATAAGAGGGAAATCGGGAAAAATGGGGAAGAAAAAAAAAAATTGGTAAAAAAAAAAAGTCTGGATTTTTTTTTTTTTTTAAATCATGAAGTCATTTAGTTGGCTCTTTCCCTGTAACTGAGATACTAGTATGTACGGTATGTATATTCGATCTTTATATTACGTTTGTCTGTTATTTGTTATACAAAATGCCAATTAAATAATAATAATAAAATAGGCACACTTTCCCCTACTCATGTCAATGAGCAGTGCTTAACATGTATTAACCCACATACACTACATTTGTAGAACGCTTTATCTCCTACACTTAAAAGTCGTTTAATAGTTCTGGAAACTAATGCACGATTTTTCACAACAAAATGTACGACAGTCTCAGTAAGTGAATCACTTACTGCTTGCTTGTAAATCATTTGTTTATTGTAATTTCTCAAGCAGTCATACTGTACTAAATAAAATGGCAAGACTTTTGAGAAATTCATCTGTATTTTAATTTTATTGTGTGTTTTATTGAAATCATTTAAGAAATTAGATGTACCAGGTAATTCTTTTTTATTGTCTGACGTGACATGAAATACATGTACCATCAATTTTATGATGAAATTATATGTCCAGCTTTACAAAAAATAAAAATCTTATATTAAATTTAAATTAATTGTATGGCAGATCTGTTTAATACGTATTTCACTTAAAATTGCCAAATGACACAACACAACACAAGAGAAAAAAATAAGTTTGTAATATTTTCGAAAGTTTTAATTAAAAAATCCAACGACTTTATTAGTTTATTCCAATCTGTTCCAGAACAGTATGTTTTGTTCACATATACATTACTAGCTGTATACATTCTAATAAACATCTTATTTTGTAAGATAATAATATCAACAATTATAAAGAGAAAGGTCAACTGACAATTCATTTTATAGCTACTGGTCCTAAAATTGAAAGAAGACAGAGCACTGGAAATTCAAACTTTCATCTGTCAGCAATACATTTGAATAAAATCATAGTTGAATGAGGAGCTACTCTTTTGGAAATACCCTTGAGAACCAAAGCTGCTATTAAATGCCAAACTTTCTCCATGAAATTGAAGGAAGTTAATTGTATATAGGTAAAGATATCGTATCAAGAAGTGCCTCTTCTTAGAATTCGATAATATAGATTCTGACCTTTTTTTGGTTAAAAGGACCGGTATCATGTACAGAGTTTTTACCATTTACTTTTGGTGATTACATGTCCATGAATGTAACCCACTTCAAATGCCATGTACGGCAAGACTTTGTGCAAGCATTTGGGGTTCTGAGAGCACATTCTGTTTTACAAAATATGCATGAGATTTGAATACATACTGTTGTTCCCATACATGTACCAATGTTCCACTTCGGCAAATATTCAGCAAAGTACATTGTAGTATTAAAGTAGAAACTAGTCAAACTGAATCTCTATATCAAATGTATCAAAGTGAAGCTGGAAATTCATTAAATACATCTACCATCAGGAGATAGTTTAACATTTCAAACAATGACTTTCAACACAAAATAAACTCCTCACTAGCAAATTTATAGGTGAGTGTGATAAGACTACGGGTCAATGCAAAACAAGGCGATTACAAATGAAACAACAGCATTGCACTTGAAACAGCAGAATTGAATTTAAGGCACAGCTAAAAACATGAATTGCAGACATATACCCTTTGTGAAAGTGCCTCACATATTACTAGCAGGTTGAAATCTACATTCCTTGTCAAATAAGTAGATAATCAAAAGTCAAAGTGACCAAACCTGTTTCAAGAGATGTTGAAAGAAAGTCATTCCAAAGTGCATTTCTCATAATATTTGGACCAGCAAAATTACTGTTATCTGAAATTGAAAATCATATACCGGTACATTAAAATGCAAGAACACACATATCCTTATAATATAAGTTATATTGGACTTTTTGTACATTTCTTTTGACCAACTTATTTTATGTCATCGTCTTTAACCTACATGTATTTGTTTGCTGTATGCTTGTATGGAGCATTGTTGGTTAGACCATTATTCAGACATGTCCAGAGCCTGAACAGTGTAAAGTACATGAGTATTAATGCCATTCTGACTCCATATAGACAATACACTATTTCAGAGGTGTAGCAATGTTAAACACTTACTGTACAAAGATAACTGCCCTGCAACATGAGAAATGAGAGTCCTATGATTACATTTACTATATACACATGTATTTCTGAACAATTTTGTTAAAAGCATTTTAGAAGATTAAATTGCTTTCCTTTGACATAGTACGCCACAGAACATCAACAATTTAAAGAGAAAGTTACTGTACATAAACATTCAATGTGTATTGCTGTTCAATGTCTTGCAATACTTGAACTTGAACAGACTGTACTGTGAACACTCGTAAATAAATTATTGCTCAGAAAAGTTGGGAGTGCAATACAAAATTATTTGTAGAAAATGTTTTGCAAATTATACATACCGGTACATGTAGTGTGTATATTCTGAAATATTCTTATCTCATCCAAATATGAAAGAATCCCTCGTAACATAAATTTAAAAAAAAGAACATTAAAGTAATAAAGCCCATGCTTTGTGATGTTAAGAGTTTAAAAGTCAAGTAAGAAACTGTTAATCAATTGCATGTAGACAATTTGTAAATGGGAGTTAATTTGAAATCAAATCTGTTAAGATATGACACAAGTTGGGGAGAAAGGAAACAAATAAGAGAAATACTGAGCTCGCTCCTTTTCTTCCTTGCTTAGAATCATTATCATGTTGCAACATGTATTTAACTATTCATTAAACTGCATTCATAGAAATCTGCAGAGTGTTGGTACATGAAGGCTCACCTAAACTTTACATGGCTGTAAGCAATGTCCAGAAAATAACTCTATAGAACTTTAAATCGGATAGTTAAAGAGTGACGAAAGGATAAGGAAAGACATGACTGAGAAAGATGTGAGAGAGATACTAAAGAAAGGGGAATAGAGAGAAGATATAAAGGAGGAGGAGAAAAGTGACTGAGGAAAGAAAGAGACTGACAGAGAAATGGAATGAATTAGGGGAAACGGTCAAAAGAAGATACAAATAGAAAGAAGATGAAAATGACAACAGATATAGTGTAAAGCTTGACCAAGAGGCCAGGTCATGAAACGATTTCCTTGGGCTCAAAAGAGTGTAGAAACCAGTCTTAATTTGTACAATCATCTACATGAATATCATGCACGTATGAGTTGCTGCATTCTGCTATTCAAAACAAAAAAATAATTTAATACATCAGAACTTGTTTTAATAAAACCAACAGATAAATATATAGAGAATATTACTGTTAGTATTCTATTCCATGCAAGTCTATTATAATTATACATACATTGACATACAAGATAAATTTCAATATCATTTTTGCTTACATATTTCTTACACCGGTCCGTAATACCCGACTCAATATTACATACATGTATATGCAATGATAATCTCACCACTTTTTTGCTTAATACATACTATTAAAGATATATCTGGAATACATGTTACATTATAACATACATCTTAAATTAAGATTGAAATATACACCTATCTTCCATAAAATTCAACTACCTGAATAAAAGATAATAAGTTAAACTACATTGTATAGTAATTGTGCTTGCTTGTCAACTATTCTTGACCTCTTCTCTCATTTCTCATCTCTATACACTATGAATATGACGGACAAAGAAAGCAGACAAAATATACAGTTCCTCAGGTAGACAAAGGAACATCCCTTCACTGCAATTATGTAACAAGGTGAATATGCATGTGGCACCTGTTCTACACATTTTTACATAATAGCAGTGAAGGGATGTTCGTTTGTCTACCTGAGGAACTGTATATTTTGTCCACTTTCTTTGTCAGTCATATTCATAGTGATAATTCTATTCCTTTTCAACACAGCTCTAGGCAAACTCTAAATCCAAGAAGTTTCTTGTAAAATATTTGATCAACAGCAACTAGGCAACTACATGTGTGTCTTGTTGTTGTATGACTGAATCATAAAGATAGTTTTATATCTGGTACTACTATATATTTTCATTTGGAGCTGTCAATCTGTCTACTCTAAACCATCCATTCTTAGGGGGGGGGGGGCACTACATTATCCCACCATACGTGGCAGCTTAGTCGTTAATGACAGTGGGTGAGTGGTTGTTCTCAAAGCATACAATTATGATACTCATACTTGTGGGTTTGTGATACCATCTCAATTTCAAATCACATTTGAATGTGTGGGCCTTCTTCGTATTATGAGCTGCAACTGTTCTACATCAATCACAAATTCTTGAATAAAAAACAAAGTTCTATCCGATGTATACATACATGTGATGGATATCAAGTTGTGATCGTTTTGAATGGCAACTGTTCATAAAACGGGGACCAGATTTGCTTCACTGAAGAGGCAAAAGCTAAATCACAGTAGTACTGATCAATCAGAGACCCTTTTTCTTCATGCTCTTCTCATATCTGTTATTCAAAAATCTCAATTACAGAAAGTTACATATCGGTACCTATTTAGGAGCACCACACACACATTGATAGGAATAGACAGTGCTCAAAATATACACAAATATTTCTTTTAATCTATGAATATTGAGGTTATTTGTAGTTAATGCCTTATGAAAGATATTGCAAGAGGTAATGCAGGAGTAATTATGATAACTGATTTTATACAGTGCTTTTTCAGCTACTTGTTACTGAAAAAAGCACTATATAAAATCAGACAATGGACCTCTCAAATACACAATACCCTTTCAGCAATAAGAGGGCAAATTCTCATTGAAATTAATTTTTAAGTCAAATAGTTGTTTATGACAGCTGTTAAAAAATGATGCATCTTATAACAAACAAATAAGAGTGAACATAGAACATGTGTTGCATGCAGAATCTTTTTATCATCCCCACTTGCCACCCACATATGAAGAAAAAAAGCATGCCCAAAACCCTACCGATTTTTCCCGCATCAAGTGTGAACAAACCTTTACAGATGAGCACACTTCTTATTGATAGAATATGTATCCATGGTTTCCTTTGACCTTTAATAAGTTTTGATTTGAACAACAGTACAGACCAACTATTAAGTAATCCTGTCTTCACAATGAAGTTAAGTTTAGCTCTCACACAAAAATAGGTGCCAATGTGTTGAAAAAAGTCATTTCTTTCTCAGCTAAAAGAATATGGTGCTCCTTTACTTTCAAAATATAAAGATTTTGATTGTGCATGACACAAATCCAATTTCTAACCCCCCCCCCCCCTTCTCCCGAATAAAAACTAGTGCCTGATTCAGTCATATCAATAAAGTCACCACACAAACATGCAGTGCATGAACATGTACAGTATGCCCCTACACCTTATTTGTTCTTTTGTACTGCATATATCATCTGATCAGAGCTAGAAGGGCTTTAACTCTGTGTTACATTATATGAGCTAATGCCCTTCTGGCTCCAAACAGGCAATGTGTCCGAGCATCAATTGCTTCTCTATAACAGGTACATGTAGCTACCCACAGCTACACTGCAGCTTTGAAATTGTATTGATTTCAGTTTTATAACTTGCGTGGAAATCGGCAAGCATTCCAACATTGCGTTCATCAAATAGTTAGTGGTTCTCAGTCCACTGCTGACAGAGTGAATCCATTGAAGCTTGCTTAATCACACACCTTTACATAGCTCTGTCTCCCTGACGTGATACCTTCTGCTCTCATATCTCCTCCAAAACTACTTTCTTTGAATCCTTCAAATAGTCCTTTAGCCATTCAAGGCCACACACAGCTCTGCTTCAGCATCCTGTAACCCGTTGACTACCGAATCCTCTCATTCCCCTAAGGTTAATACAGGGATCACCTGGTGCTGGCTGGTAGGCAATGGGTTAGGTTAATACAGGGATCACCTGGTGCTGGCTGGTAGGCAATGGGTTAGCAGAATCAATCAATCCCTTTCTACAATAGTTTCAATCTCTTTCTCAGACCGCTTTGACGCCTAGGAGAGTCTTAGTGTTCTCGTAGACAACATAGCCAATACTAACTGCTGGTATAACTTTCATGAAGTTGGGGGTGATGCCTCGATAAAGACCCTTCACGCCTTCTGTTTTGATGATGTCTGTGAATAGGCTACCCATGGTGATCGTTTTTGAGGCTGGATTTAGAAGAGGGAGGGAGAAAGATTGTAAATCATGAGCCATTCAATTATTTAAGCCGAAGTGACTCATAATCATAGTACAAAGAATACATATAGCACAAATTTAAAAAAAGTCTACAGCATTTATTTGATAGAAGCAGACTGGATACAAACCTAATTTGTCATTTCCACATGTGATTAAAGTACTAATGGGAGAAAGACTTGATTTTCAGCAAATTTGAAAATTAGACTTATTCATTCCTGTATATACATATCGTATCTGTAAACCCTCCCCCCCCCCCCCCCCCCCTTTTTTTTTTTCTTTGAACCTGTTGACACAGATTGAGTAAATGATCAGAAAATCTGGTACAACAACCCCATTCAGAATCGTAGAGCACTATTCCATGTAAGAATTTTAAAAGTGTTCTTGGCAGACAGAGAGATAATGGAGAAAGAGTATGAAAAGTCTGCTTCAAAGATCCCTTAACGACACAGCATCAAAGGTTTAAAACTGTCTTCTTCTTGTTACATCTTTCTACAAATGTTGATAGAACACCCTACTATGATGCAATAACAATGCACTTACTTTGCGCTTGTAATCTTGTCCTGACAAGGGCCAGTGGATAGCTGGCTAGTTGCCCACATGTGCTTGACACTGTACCACATCCTAGTAAGACCGCTATATTCGGGACCGGTGAGTCCTGATGATTCCTGATCCAGGAATTCTTCACCGTCTGTCAAGAGATAAATTATCATTTAAAAATACCTTACACTTGTAATACAGAGCGGAATATTTGTGTTTAATAAAAATTAAATAATATAGTAGCATTCGAGGAAATCTTGATTTCTGGTACTTCTTGTGAAATGTTCAAGAAGAGTAAAGGGCAGAATGCAACACTGGCATCATATCTCACCTCGTATACTGCCAGGTCAATACCAGCATAGGGGATGATACCCAAGCAGTTTGGAATGTACCCTCGGTAGAAACATCGGAAACCTTCTTTCTTATAGATCTGCACTGCACAGTCCAAGATACCCTTGTATTGCCCTGTCTTACGGATCGCCAGCCGTGTCTTCAGCACCTGGAAGGAGTCAAGAAGAATAGAAGGAGAAAATGATGCTTTAGTGAATCAGATAAAGGGGTGGTTCAGTGAAATATTGTTCTTACCCTCAGTTTTGTTAAAAATGAATTACATGCATCGAGATTATTGCTACTAAGCTTTGGAAAAGGCTTTCTCCTCATCTGAAATTGTCAGTATTTTGACTGCATATATAAAATAGAGATGCTAGACATACTTATACTTTAACATGTGAAATGAATGAATGATCACTGTCACTGCTCTTTAAAATACATTTAAACCCAATAAATAAAAATAAAAAAATAATTTTGTTTTTGTTTTTTGGGGGGGGAAATTCGCGATAATAGAACTAGAAGGGGCATTCATAATTTAGAATTAACTTAAAATTATGTGGTACCAAAATTTCACTTATTTACAATCACTAATAATAAGTAAATGTAATTATTAACTACTAGATGTTAATTACTACCGGTAATTGTTAAACAATAAGTAATTATTGGTGCTAAAAATTAATGTGGGATCAAGGTGACTCTACCCTGCAAATATTGAAACAGACCCTTTAGCCTTTAAGTTTGAAAACCCACTATATTTTCCTTCTTCAGAAAGAAAGAAAACATAAATAGAAATGAGCCAAAAATATTCAGAGATTTTGCAATTATGCTGCATTTATCATATGGCAAAATACCACAGTGATCCACATTCCATCATTCTGTGACATGCAAAAGCATGAGAAATGAATCCCAACTATCAGTTGCCAATAAGTCCACCGCATAACAAAGGTTTTCCTTGAAAAATACTGCTATGTAAACAATGGATACCTTGAGACTGAGAGCAGGCAATCAAACTAATCACAGTTTCACAATCCAAAAAGAAGTTCCTTTACTATAGGTCTGTACTTAATCAGGAAGTAGTACAAAAACAATGAACAAATATCTGCAATCAGTTTCTCTCTATGATTTTAAAAGTAAAATGATTTGATAATTTTCTTTTAAAAATACGTTTTTTTTAATTCTAATTTTGACTCAAAAGCTGTTAGCTTTCAAGATACTATTCCAAGACTATCTAGATCTATCTCCTGGCTGTAAAAGCTCCATGGATCCATTTTAAAATTTGAAGAATAATAATAGTATCAGATATTTTTGCAGTGCTCATTTCTATCAGGCAAGGTGCTCAAGGAGCTCCAATAATACCCCGGCTCTAGTTAGGCTACTGGTTTTGGTGCTCACAGTATCCAAGGATTTTCTTCATACTGGCACCTACTTAATACCTGGGTAGAAGGCAGCAAATATAGACTGATATTTTGCCAAAGGACACCAGTGCAGTGGTGCTAGAACAAAGGACCTTTACATCTCCAGTCAAGTATTTAACCAACTCAATTATGATACTTCATCAAATAAAAGCATAACGCAAAACATAATGCCTCCGGCTACCGGCTACTTCGTAACGGAGGCATAACAATTCTTGATGTGAGTATGAGTGAACAAAAAGCTGCATGAGGCATAATCATTTCCCTAGAACGAACCCACGTTGTGCCCGTTTCTAGGATATACTACATGCATGACACTCACTACCTGTATCTACTATGTACACAACCCCTATAGTGTCCTTTTCATGACCTTATGAATATGACTTCATTGACTGAGGAAGCTTTCTGTGAGAGAGTAGTCTTATAAAGAGACCACTTTCTCCACTTCCTGTGGTATGTAACACAGTTTATCAATAAGCAGGAAAATAAAAACCTGATCAGAGTTTTTTTTAATTTCTTCTTCTTCTCTCTTTATTTATTTTTTTTTTTTTTAGGGGGAGGAGTGGAAGCAGGGTGGGGAATTCAGTTTGGTGATATCACACATGAGAATGGAATCTCTAACCATAATGCACAGGAATCTACAGACCAGAGGGGAGAGATTAAACTAGAACTATGAACATTTTTTTATAAAAAACATAAAGTTGATTAAAGACACTTTTCGGCATCCTTGCTTCTCACATTGGTTGATCTTCAGTATTGCTTAAGATTGCAAAACAATTGTCCTTTATTGCATCTAAAAGACTTTGAAGCCTTGTAATTGGATTCATGCAGAAATTCATGTTAATGGATTACTTTTTTTATAAGCAAATCAGCTGTAGTTTTCATAAATAGGCCTATATGGTAGCACTCATTATACTCTAACCAAACAGACACTTAACAGATCAACCAGTCTAATGGACAAGACTATGAATTAATGTAGAATCCATTTTGCCTTGAGAAGGAAACATGTGACTTTTAGTGAAACAGTTTGGAAGAATGCCAGATTTACATTGAATCATGAGGGAAACAAAGCATACACAGGATTCAACTGTGGAACGAACACACAGCAAGTTTAAGTTTTTTTTCTTTTGATTCACGACAAGGGGTCGCTTTATATATAATGACAAAGCTACAAAATCATAAAACTTTAGAAGGACTGACAGATTAGAAGTACATGAATCACATTGAAACATGATGATCCCGGCCCCAAGCTCTCTTAGTCGAAACTATACCTGATATACTAATTGATGAGTAGACGTGATTAGTAAATTTCCACAGCTATTTGAAATCATAACTCCATGGGAAATATTGAAGCTTGTGCTACAGCTCAAGCTTGAGCTCCTGCTTTGAACCTCTCGTAGCCCACCCTTCACTTGGTAAACTAATAGCTATGTATATTAAGGCTGCGGCGAGTAGTCAAATACTCGAGTACTCGCGCTGTTAACAACTACCGTAAATAACGTTGTATAAACCGCCCTCGTGTATTAACCGCACCCCTCTTTTTCGCCCTTAAAAAAAAAAAAAAAAAAAAAAAAAAACTTTTTTTTTTTTTTGCCGAGATTTTTTTTTTTTTGTGTGTAAGATCATTACGGTACTGTAAATTAAAAAACAGTAGGGACCTAGGATAGAACCTTGTGGTACACCATGTAATAGAAGAAAAATTGGAGGAATTATTATTATAAACTACATATTGAGATCTATCAGAAAGATTACTTTCAAACCAAGATGACAGACAAATTTGAGTGTTGTTCTAGTTTCCGAGTGGTGAGTCAACACACCGATTACCGAGCTGGGAGACATTGCCAGGCATAGCGCCAGGTGGAGGGACATAAATTGAAACTTTAAAATTTTTTTTTTTTTTTTTTTTTTTTTTTTTTTTTTTTTTTTTTTTTTTTTTTTGGTGTACCGTGTATAAACCGCACCCCCGACTTTGAAATTTTTTCGGCGGCAAAAAAAGTGCGGTTTATACACCGTTATATACGGTACTCGAGTACGATTTCTCGTACTCGAATTACTCGGCCACCATTTTTTTTTTTTTTTTTGCCAGCGCCTGGCACTGTCCAGGCCGACGCTCACCCGTGCCCAGGAAGGAGCGCCGGCATGGTACCGCGGGTAAAAAATATTTCCCAGCTCAATCACTGTCAACTCACCACTCAGAAACTGGGACTAAATGTCTGGATTTCTGTTTGGACTCGGAGGTAAATGGATTATTCTGTCATCTTTGGTTTATAAAACAGCATTGTTTACTATTATGATTATTATTAAATCGGCACCTTCAACTGCAACATGAAGTAAAATCGCTTGAGTTTTCGAAGACGGACTTAAAAAAAATTATAAAAAACCCCCCAAAAAACACATGGCGAATATTTGAGTGTTCATCTGTAAGCCTGGGAGTGTACTCGAGTACCTCATTACACGGTTATGCACAGCCTTAATGTACATATGATTAGTAGATACTGTTTCTACTGCCATTTGATACTCACCTCCATGGGATATATTGTAGTCTGTGCTACTACTCCAGCTAAAGCTCCTGCTACGAACCTCTCGTACACCTTCAATTCTGTGCCTTCTGTGTGTAATAATCGTTTTATCTGAAATAAGATGAAGATATAACAATGTTAAAACTTCAGCGACTTAAAGAAACTTGCATGAATGCTGATCAACCAATAGAAATAATCAGTATAATTATTTCTATGCATATTAATGTGTAATAAAACTCATACACTACATGTACTGACAAATACATTTCAAGTTATGATTTTACTTCACTTTTTGTAGTTGCTCACTATAAATATGGCAAGATTTTATTTTTCAACAGGATAAATGGACAATATAGAATGGGTCCGAGTGGAATTCTGTTTGAACAATTAATTAATAATTCCTAAGTAGAAAATCACAGGTAATAAACCCTGATCTGGGTGCACTTTCTAGTAACAAGATCTTACTCCCCTGTAAAAACTTATTTACTGACAACCAGTAGCATAACAAGAAATCATCTGTCTATAAAAACACAAATTTCCCTTGAACAATGTTAGTTGTTAAGATCTGTATTACAGGGAAGTGTACAAAAAGACCACTTTTCTTGTAACCCTTGAGCAGTACTTGAGTTGCATCCTTTTCGTTTTTACTGAGATTCATTTTGTATTATTTATACTCGCATTTAATAAGCATTGATACAAAGAGGTACTTAACATTGTTAATACACAATATTATAACTACATGTATTTCTTATGACCTTTCATGAACCAACTATATCAACGGGAGCTCTTCTATCAACAAGACTCAGCTTCATTCCCAGACAAATTGGATTTAGTGAGTCTGATCTTTCCTCTCCATCAGCTTCTATATCATCTCACTCTCTGGATAATGCAATATTCAATAGTCTACCCCTCCCCCCCCCCCCCCCCCCCCACCTTCCCAAATAGCGTAGGAGTGATCTGTGGATTATTACTGCTCTCTTTTAAAGTACTTTTCAAATTGTAGAATGAAAATTATAATTATAATTATAATGATCCAGTTTTGGAAACGCCCCCTCTCAAAAACTGAAATAGAAGCGCTTATTACCAATCATGTGAAAGACCATGTTTTGACTAATACGTGGTGATACAAATTTTGCCGGGAAACCGCCTACTAATTGATATATTTGGTAAATTATCATATCGATCCGGCCTGGATAGATATCGCGTAATACCATATACATCTTTCTGTGTACAGTGCTCTTAACTTTACCAAGACTGGGCCAACTTTCTTATCATTTTGATGATTCCAGAACCTTGCAGTATACACCAATACTTATATGCTAGATGATCAACCTTTTCTGATACATTCCATAACGTTTCTTTCATAATGCAATCGAATGACCAGAACTGGTCTATACCTTTAAAGAAAAATATATTCGAAAAAAATTCAATTCAAGCATTCATCCAAACAGCATCTTACAAGAAAAATTGCCTCTAGTAAAAAACAAGAGTAAATATATGACAAAGAAACATATTTTCATAGTATTTTGATTGTACTGTGGACAGTGGACTTATTTACCCTCTCATACGCCAAGAACTTGATAGCTGATTCAGGAGCAATCTTGATAACGTTGATACCGTTGCCTCTCCAGAATGATTTAAAACCACCTTCTCGGTACATGTGCTTGAAACCATCTAATATTCCTATATTGGGCTTCTTGGAACCTATGACCTGTGAGAAGATATAAGGGGAAGAGAGAGGAAGAGAGAGAGGGGGAGAGAGAGAGAGGGGGGGAAGAGAGGGGGAAAGAGAGAGAGAGGGAGAGAGAGAGGGAAAGAGAGAGAGAGAGAGAGAGAGAGAGAGAGAGAAATGTGATAGAGGGAAAGGGGATAGAGGGAAACAGATGGGAAAGGGTGAGGTGGGGGAGAGAAAGAGAGGCAGGCAGAGAAATAGAGGAGGGGCAGGCAGAATGGGAGAGGAGAAAAGGGAGAAAAAAAAAGAAAGAGAGAGAGAAAGAGAAAGAGAAAAAGAGAGATAGAGGTTTAAATGGTGATACACATAAAACAATTCTGGGTTTTTTAAACATAAAATCTTAACCAAAGAAGTAGGTAACTAATTTTCACACATTTTTTTTTTTTTGCACAATTAATAAAACCCAGTTCTATCCTTTCATGACTTATGATCCAAGGACTAAATTGAGAGGTAAATACATGTGCATACCGGTACATCTATTCAGCACCATGTTCACATGAGTTGTACATGGATATAGGTGAAAGGGAAGCATGTGTGAAGCCCATGCTTCGTATTTCAGTATCTAGATCTATGAATGCAAATATTTACATTCTGAGTACTTTATCTCCCTTTGCAGCTAATGACACAGCACTATATTATTAAAAATACACTATCAAAGTATAACAAACTACTACATTTAGTTTTCATAGAGAAGGCAGTATCTTGTTGATGTACTTTGAACTCAGATACAAGCAGGTATTTCCACAGGATTGATGCGTAGTGTATGAAACACAGAGGCTAGCCAAATACGTTGCATGACATTGATACACACATAATGATTGTGCAATAAAATGATGTGATATGATTGAACTTCCTATGACTGTGTTTTATTGACAAACTTAATAATACACACTCAACAAGAGTCAACCTCTTTGATGAAATGTAAAATATGTACTGAACATGTTGGTCGGACATGACATGGATAAGGGTTTCAACTCAAATTCACATGAAAACCAGTGACTACAAAGCAAACAACATTGGAGATGTAAGGAAGTTATCAAAGTCATAAAGCACTGATTTTTTTCATTGAAAAGTTATGCTAATATTCAAAATCCTGTTGCTTATCTTGAATTCGAGACAGAGCAAATAGAACAATGTACCCGTTTTTATTGGTGGAACAAGTAATAATGTATTCTCATCTCTGCACATTAATATACATATCAAATTTACTTTGGATCATTAAGTAGTGAGTGATTGATAACATACCAGTTCACTTACTAATAAAGGCTTATTCCTACAAACACTGTACATATCTAAGTACGGTTTGTAGAATTCCACCGTGACACTGTCTTTCAAGAGCAGTACAGTGCAAGGTCTTCTTTTAGCCTAATCTTTTGATCCAGAATGCTATGAATTACACATCATACATGAGCAGAAAAAGAAAAAAAAATGCTTATCTATTTCCAGTGCAGTATTGTGCAATTCTCGAATAAGATCTATTTAAATTTGACTAATCATTAATGGCTCTAAATTAGCAACACGATGTAAAACATAAAGTCATTGTACAAATCAGGTGGTTACTGCATCAATTCTGGAAAAAGGCTTTACTAGTATACAGGATAGTGAAGTTAAGATGCCCTATGAGATGTCTACAGATGTGATAGTCCAAAATGACCTTTGACCTACCTGTAGAATGACCTTTAACCTATCAAGTGGTGCAGTGACCATGAAACATAAAATCGTACAAATCAGGTGGTTATGTCATTGATGGGAAAGGCTTTACTAGTATACAAGATAGTGAAGATTAGATGCTCACTGAGATGTGATAGTCCTCAATGACCTTTGACCTACCTGTAGAATGACCTTTAACCTATCCAGTGGTGCTGTGACTGTTCTTGAGACTGCTCCTGCTGCTCCTCCTGCAGCTAAGATCCTCCACCACATCCCTGTCTGTCTCTCCTGCTCAGTGAACTCATCAGGGACCATCACATCCTCACCAATGTCAAGGAACTACAGCATGATAAGGATGCACACACAGAAAGAGTAATTTATTTATTTATTATTTATTCATTTATTCATTTATGCATTCATTTTATTTATTCATTTATAAATATTTTAGTGCCAAAAAAAGTAAGAATATCATAAATGTTTCTGGAACCTGAAGGAGTGCAACTTATCGGAATCTACTGCAATTAATTTTTAGTTTGATATCGGTCACAGCTCTTTATCACATCAATTGCAACTCTAGTTCAGTTAAACATTAATTGCAACACTAGATCTAAATCAGGTGCAGGTGGGTTAGGGATATCATTCAAAACTTGTAACATGAGAAGAAGAGAAATTGAAATTCTGACTGAATCCATGGAGGGCTTGTAATTGATTCAGATTGATCTAACCCATTTATAAGACAGGGCTTGAGATGGTTTGACTCAAAGGGTTAAAGCCCCCCACCCCCCCCCCCCCCCACCCCCCTCCACATGTACCTGAAACACCTGACAAAAATAAGTTACAAACTCTGAAATAAGGTCCTCTGAAATAAGGCATTTGCCTGAAAACTGGCATCAATTCTGTGGACTGAATGCCAGAAAGGCACAACTCAAATCATTGTTTAAAAGATTTATCACCATTATTTCAATAGTCTGTAACTTGAAACATATATGGATTTGAATTCAAATCACTCATTTTGCCATGTGGTGCAAGTGGTAAACACAATACTAAACCACCTTAATTTTACAATGAGTCATAGTAATATATATGGGCGTGTGAAATAAGAAAGATCTGTTTTATACATGTATATAGACACCTAGAAAGCAAAAAGGAAGTATACAATATATTCATGGTGTACATGTATGTTGTACCACCATATAAAATGTATGTATGGATTCTGGAATTCGAATGAAATTATAGAAGAAAAAAATAGGAGGGTGTAACAAAGATGTAGAAAATGGTGGTATACAGTACATGTACATGTATTGGTGGTGATACGGTGTGTGCCAATAATGTCCATGGACGATAAATGTTGTGATCATATATATGTAGGGGAGACTATTGACACTTTAAACCTGACTGAAAATGTGGAGGATGAATCACAAATATCATGGGCCTGTGTTTGACTAGGTCAGGCTGTACTTGGGCAAGAACACTATAAGTAGACATTTTGCTACATGTATGTACAGGAGAACATGTACAGTATTATGAATTGTGTAAAGAGAAGTAACATCTTCACATTGATACGTGGTGTCTGAATTTAAAGGAAGAGGGGGAGAGGGAGAGAGAGGACGCGCGCTGTACAATGTATAAAAAACTTGATGCATACAAATATTATGAATTGGGCACACATTTTTACAAACCACTGTACATGTAACAGGGTTCTTTAAATATTTGTTTGATTACACAAAAAGGAAGATGGTTTGTAATTATAAACATTTCACTAGTTTTTAATGTATTGTTACTTTAAAACAGTTAACAAAGAAACACACATTTAGCTCTTTAATTCACTTCATTTCTTTAGCAGTATTGCTGATTAAAGTCACTTTTTGAACACCAGGCAATTGCTAAGAAAACAGAATTGTTATTAAAATAAAATAATCTTGAAGCAATAAAGTGTCTTGTACATGTACACCTTTCTTTGATAGTTATCTATAAAAACGACTATGTATGAATAATATGCAATCATTCGTAAAAACTCAAATACTTCTTGTCTTAGTAAAGGAATCACTATTCAAAAAATCAATTTCATAAATGTCCCCAGTTCTGCAAGTTCATTATTAATCCCTTTCATACCCTTAACTTTTCTTTTCCTTTACACAGTGTACATGAAATACTCAAATGGGCACATTATATGTCGCAGACTTTAGGTTATACATGAAGAAGAACAAATTAGTATCCCATCACCCATTTGAGATTTGTCATGCAAAATTCCCCATACAGTCACCCATTAAATAAAGCACTTTTGTTGAAATTGCAAAAAATGTCAGAAGCTATTTAATTTTCGAACAAAATTGCGAATAAAGTGAAGACATAATTTCTTAATGTTCAACGCTGCTTAAATTTTCAATCTTTATACTGCTCCTTTCATTTAAATCTGAAAGATCAAAATATTCCCTGGACCATATTCCATAAATATATATTTACAAACACACCCACACGTGCACTGCCATGCAACACCAAACAAGATTAAATGAGGGGAGATTTATCCATACCAGCCGTTGGGGAATTTGAAAGCATTCCAGATCAAGAGGTCTATGAAAATATTGATTTAAATTTATGTAATAGAAATGCTGCAAGAAGCAAAAAGAGAGAGAACATTTACAGTCAAACATGACAAAATTGCAGTTTCACAAGAGAAGACAAAATGCACATCTTCTGAATATTAATCATGACGGATAATGGTAATATAGTTTTGCTTTAATATCCAGATATTATACATGTATAATAAAATAAAATTTGGAGTGGACTATTAGGCTATTATTATTATTATTATGTATGTTAATCATTAAAAAAGCAATGGTTGTGTCCACATTTCTATGGAAATCATATGGTACGAGTGAATTTACTTATATTTGAAGGATCTACATGTAAATTCTAAAAGCACTTCCTGAAAGGGCATACAGTACATACATGTAAGTAAAGTAAATCAAACATAGTAGCTAAGAAGCGATACTGAAAATTATGTAATTGCTATGCTATCTAATCATGCGGATCTAATAAGCAGATCATGCAAGCACGTATTGAGAAATGTCAGCAATTTCTTGGATCCCATTTGTCTTTATGAAAAGTAGTGAATTCTTCAGAATAGCAATGCTAAACATTCAGAACAGAACATTCATAGATCATACAATGGACAATAGGTTTATCAATACATTAATCTCAATAGACTCAATCTATTATATGCACATACAATTTGTTAGGTTGGCCTTATTAACACGTAGCAGTAATTCAGTAAACATACAGGTAGGAAAATGTGACAGTGATTGACTGAAAATTTGTGAATTGTGAATTATTTCTTGCTGAAAGCGAGATATTTTTAGTGGTGTCTATGATGTGTACGTCATCTGCTGAAAACAATCTTCGACCTGACCCCAATTTCACAATATGAGTTATTAGGTTTGTATCCAGGATGTTACAATTCAAGTCCAATACAAAATAAAATACTGGTACCCTTCAAACCCGCCCATCCCCCTCCTCCCCACTCCCTTTAACCCTGAACTATCAAGATCCAGAGTTGTGTATTTGTATGTTGCCTATCTTTCAGGCAGAGTTGACTTTCTGTGCTGTTGATGAACTTGTGATAGTACTGAATCTGGGAGAGGAAGTGTTAGTATTTATAACAGAGCTTTCTTGAAAGCGGGGGAAATCCCATAAGCCTGAAAAAAAGGCTATCATGCATAATCTAAAGACAGATGTGCACGTAAGACACTATCAAAATGGAGGTGATTTTTACCTCAGGGACAAAAATGGGCAACCAAAATCTAAGTCTGGATCCCCCCCCCCAAAAAAAAAAACCTTCAATTTTCAAGTCAAGTAAGAGAGGAGCGCTTATCTTTTTTTGTGAGGATTTCAATGGAGGCCGCACAATGGAAGGCTTTTAAAGTAATACAACGATGAGTTCTAAAGAACTAGATTGTTTACATTCCAAAACCATTCATGCTAGAAACTGTTAGTTACTCTAAGCCACCAGGGTCTGTTGTCAAAGGTTAAATCAAAATCTATGTACAGTGAAAACAGTGAGTACTGGCAAAATTATGACTGAGCAAAAGAAAGAAAAAAGAAAAAATCTGACCTACCATTAACGAGAAAGAACTAAAAAGAACAGATTAGTAAAGAAAATAGTCTACAGGAAAGGAAAAGAATCAAATATAAATAAACTTTAAAGTGTGATAGGATAGTGCACAGCAATCTATACACAGAGTTGGTCCAACTTACATGTAGCTACACTATATGGCATACTGTATGTTCTATAATTTTTGTAATATTCGTCCGATTGTGTCCAACTAGAATCGCATATAGGCCAAACTGTATTTAGATGGCTCTGGGATGCCGGTGCATGATTAGTTTGAGTACTTACGGTTGCATGTCTCCAGTATGCGTAGATATCTCGTAGGTCTGAGCTGGGATGTAGTAAGAGATAATTCCTCCATTCGTTCCAGTCTACTTTTAGGGTTCCATCTTTGTCCATACTAAAAAAAGTAAAGATAAATTTCATCTTAGTGTCTGCACCTTCATCTCTCAAAATGAAAATACAATGTAGCTGCATCTGCACTTATTAAGAGGGTTTGTTTATATATCAGCAAGAAAGTCCTAGAGCTTGAAGCCTGCTGTAGAGCTCAATAGCTTTGGAAGAGAAAATAAAACTTTTGAGTCAGTGATTAATCAGAGGAAGCATATTTGATCAATCATGGAAGTAAAAAAAAGAAACACTAGCGTATTTCATCATTGTCCATGCATGGTAGGTACATGGGGTGGTATTCTCATAAGTTAAGCCGGGACTAAGTCCAGACTAAACAAGAATTTTAGTTCACACTTCTATGGAATGCTAGGTTTCATCTTCCTCCTACAATATTCATGACAAAGATAATCTACCAAAGACTTTGTTGAAATTCAGTTCATACTCATTATCTTTTTCTTCCCATTTCATTGCAAAATTTATTTTTTGGACACTTTTCATTGAAGGATTAAAATAATCTGTACAGGGTAAATTAGTTTGCAACAGGCACTCCATAAAAGTGTGAACTAACTAAGTACGCGCTAACTTAGTACACGCTACCGGAATACCACCCCATGTAAACTGCCTGAAATTTGTTCTGGCAAATCACACCTACCGAACTTCACATTTCAATGTTTTATTTCAAACATACCGTATTTGCCGGCGATAAGGCCGCAGCGCTGTATAGGCCGCACCCCGATTTTTGACATTAAAAAAAATTAAAAATAAAAATAAATAAATTGTCGGAGGTGGGATATGAACTCTTCCCTGCAAATGTTGATGTGACCAAAGTCACTGCCTTTGACCGCTCGGCCACCCGCACTGATGCTATCACTTGCAGTTTTCTCTCATGTATATATTGCTCCTTTCTCTTGTGTATTGCGACATAGCTTTGCTCACGCGTTCGAGAGGATTGAAGTTGCTTTAGCTACGGCAAAAACTTAAATCTAGATCTACCAGTTGAGTTTGGTTGGTAAGTTATGAATTTTATTTACGAGATTGGCAAAACTTTGCCCTTCATTTCAAAAATATAACACATAATTGTCGGTAAGACATGTGTTATTCTAGTCAGTTATTCTAGAAATGTCCATCACCTTTCATTGTTGTCCCATATGTACAAATTCGTGCTGTGTTTCATGGTTTTGAGTTGCAACGTTTTTTTTTTTTTTTTACTCTTTTCGCCGCAAAGGCCGCACCCCAACTTTTTGATATTTTCTCTTCCAAAAATACTGCAGCCTTTACGCCGGCAAATACGGTAATGAATACACTAAAGGGTCTTTGTTGCACCCAACACTCGTTTCCCCAAATTTGTTGAATTAGTATTCATTTACACACAAATGTTTGTCATCAAAGTCATTTCTTCTTGAATTAGGGCTCCTAATCTGCACACTTAACAGGTAATAAGGGTTTATGAAATGGGAGAATAAATCTTTTTCCATTTCTTATCATTCTGTCCAAATATTATACACCAAAATATGTGATGAACAACATGAGCCTTGAGAGAAGTCCTGATGAATGAAGTCCAATAATAGTACACCAATATGCTGACTTTCACAATTTAATCAACCAATCGAAACTACATATTATGTACTACACACACAGTTTCCTCTTTACAATGTACATGTACAATGTAGGCTCTACATATACTTGAGTGAACAATAGAGTATATCAATCAGCTTCTTCACAAACTAAAAGTGAAACCATCATAAATTTCTTTCAAACAAGGGCAAGTACGCACAGTGTAGTAAGAGGGGGAGGGGGGCAGAGAGAAAGAGCACCTTTGTCTAGTGTATTTGTTTTGTCAGTCATCCATGAGCGCATCCCTGTCACCAGACAGACAGACAGATATCCAGGTCAGTGCATTATGAGCTACCCTGGGAACCTGCGCTCCCTTCTCCATTACTACAATCTCAAAGTAGCTGTCTCCCATATTATTATGGTTTGCCCAACAACAACCATTACCTCTTCGTCTGCTTCACAACAGGTAAGCCCATGCCTGAGTGAACTCTCCATTTCTCTTGATTTCCAATCTAAATCTTTATGAATCTAGCCCAGTCCCCATGCAGCCCTCTTGTATGTACTATACAGTAGATGCAAAGTCCTATACATATCCTATTATTTCTAGACTCTAATTTCACTTTATCCCTTTTCCACTATGTACATGTACATTTAATGTATGTAGAACTCAGTTGCATTTTCTATTCTGATCTATCATCATCTAATGTATTATGAAATCAATCTTGAACATATCATACACAACTTTGAAAATTCTCTTGAAATATATCATTCAAGTCTTCAAGTGAATAACGAAAACAGGACCCAATTTTAACCAGCTACATGTACGTGTATCACTTTCAACTGCATGTCTAATTGTCTATTGAACAAGCTACTTCTGTACAAACCTGGGCCCCATTGTAAACACAAAAGTTTGTGATCCATTGCAAATTTAAAATGCGATTGTGACTAGTTCATGGCCAGCTTTTTTAGCAATACATGCAACAAAAATCTTAATTGATCAATGTTGTCGTTTTGCAATGATTGCAAACCTGTATATGTTACAGAGCCCTAAATGTATACATGAACATGTACCATAAATAAATGTATACATGTACCATAAATAAATGTACCGGTATGCCCATTGCCTAGTAGATGTAAATTGGAGGATGATGAGAAAAAAATATACGGACCTGTCGTTTTCTGAGTGACAAAACCATGAGACAACTGACACACATAAATGGTTAGGCCCCATAATATGAGACAGGCTTGTGAAGTAGTGAATATAATTTACATATTTTTTCTTTGTTTTCGTCTCGAGAGAATAAAGTCAATCTCATGTAGGGTGAGTGCATGTCAGCACGTCAGCTGAAATGCACTTGGAGTACATACAGCATCATAGCATCTGGGTTGGTGGAGTTTTGCTTGCTAATTTATGTTAGGTGATGATAAGTGCATCCCACATGATGATATTGATAGCAGGCATCACCTCCCCCTACATGTACATTGCACATCCTAATACTGTCTGTCAGACAGCCCACGTACACAACCTGAGTGAATGCACAGTGTTGTCGATTTAAAAAGGTCACAGGCCCTCTTGCCATTCTGGGCACGTTGGAACAATCTAGATGAACAAAGAGTAATCTAGACGCTATTCACATCTTCATACATGTTTTCATATAAACAGCACATTCTTACATTATATACATGCTCAGTACATGAACAATACAGTGTGAAACTACTGTAGATGTAGCCCACTACTGGGGTATACTAGCTCAATCACCCTTAGCTCTTAAAGCTGATTTACACTGATGATGAAAACAGCCAGAAATTTGACCAACGCGCTTGGGATAATTAAATGTACAGTATGTACCTTGAGCTATTATCCCACACAAGCTAAATGTAAGGTTCATTCATGAAATATACATGTACAGCCAGTTATTTGACCAGTTAGTGGGCTATTTTACTGATGCATTCATGCTTGGACTATTGAACCTGGACTTCTTATTTAAACCCTTCATCAAACACTACACCTAATGTAGCCCAGAGCTCCACACTAGCATTTGTGGAAGGGGGTCCAAATTGAACTTTTTAGAGTCTTTATGCATCAAATAATAATAATAATAATAATAATATAATCAGCCATACATGTATGTTGTTTTGTGGGGGGTCCAGACCTAGATTTTGGAAGCCCATGTAGTATCAAGCCCTGTCTAACCCTAAACCTACATTAACCTAAATCCCAATTGGCCACCTAACACTAAACCTAACCCAATTGAAAGTCTTACCTCAAATCCAATTGCAAACCTAACTCTAAAACAATCTGAAACCCCAATTACAATCATAACCCAAACCTTACATCTCCCAGGAAATTTAGTCAGGAGCAATCGTCAAATGAGCATAAATTATGTCAGAGCACCCAACCTCTACTAAAAGAACAAAAAGTACATGTACAGGTTGCTAAAAAACTATCAATATCACCGAACAGCAATCTAATCTCAATCTCATGCATTACAAATGAGCGTATCAACATTCTTTACAATCAAGCCAGGCACACATTGATGCCACAACACATCAACCAATACAGTATACAATTTACATTGTACCCACTGGTTAATCCTTTATTATGAGGCTTACATATCTTACTGTTTGAATAAATGTTGGAGAATACAGGTGTGTAGAATTCCAAGTGTGTACAGTGAAGGCTAACACTGTATCCTATTACTGTACTCAAATAACTTGGTTACTTTTTCCTTTCATTGAAACTTTAACTTGCTTTTAAAAGTTTGAAGTATTATAAAATGCAAGCAGCTAATAATTTGGAAATCACTTTTATATCAAAGAAAAAGAATTTGAGATTTTGTTCAAAGGTTTACAGGGAAAACGTTGGAATGTAATATTTTGCTTACTGGTACTGTATCTAATCTGACCCAAAGAGAAAACACTTGGTACTACAATAATCATCAAATATGCACTAGTAATAATAACCAAGTGGATAGATTTCAATAAATCATCATATTTACATTTTATTCACCAGATGATTTTGATCTCTAACAAGCACTGTACAATAAGATTAAACTATTCATTTTCCTGTCATATCACACAAAATTTCTACCATAGTTTTTACTTTTAGCTTCTCAATATAAAGTCATGTTTGCCTACTATCAGTGGATTTGCAAATACATGTACATAGTAAAAACAAAAAACCTGTGCCACAAAATGACACAAGTATCAAAATGAAAATCCAGATGAAAATCAGGAGCATAAAAATGTAGTGAATGCAATATATGGACTTTATCTTTAAAGACACAGAATACACAAGCAAAAAACTACTATGACAAAAAAATATTGAATGAACCAAACCAAAACTAACAATACAGCAAATTTGACACAGGAATGAAAAGATTTTGCCAACAATACAAGTTTACAACTTACTAGCACACACACTCTAAGTCCCCATGCTTGGGACCATGATTTGGGAGGTGGTCACGACACCCTTTGCAACCCTTTAACCTGTGTAGATAGATATGGGAGGAGAGGGTGAAGTAGGACATGAGAAATGGTTACCAGTCTTGGATGACAATGAAAGCATAAATATATATGAATATTAATGAAGCAATATTGAAAGGGGGTTAAGGTAACTAAATTTGAAGGGAACAGTGCAATAGCAAAATAAACAAGGGGAATGAGCATCTACATGTACATCTATAGAAGATGGGTAAACTAAAAAACAATTAGGGACAACAAGAAACCCTGAAATGATCTGTAGAAGGATGTAAGGCCAAAATAAATAGATTTTTGTTTTAAAACTGAGGAAAATTATATTGATTAGTCAGCCAATGTTATCTGTTCAAAATGAACAGATTTAAATGTTATTAATAAAATAAAAATGAACAGGTTTAAATGTTATTATTAAAATTAAAACAAGTCCGATAAATTTATGGTTTATACTGTCATAAAGCATGAAAGAGGGAATGCCACCCCTTGTGAATTGATGGGAATTTATGAATTTATCAAACATTATGTACACCAACAGAATCAATAATATGAAAGCAGGCCTAGAATGCATATTGTATTTGAACGTTACACTACCCTTCACACAATGGTTTACATCATTTGAGGTTTGAGTTTCAGTCAAAAAATTATTAGGACATTGAACTTGAATGTAGCATAGAGTATGCCTTCACTGAAGCAGTGCTCAGTATTGTTTAATGACTACATGTACTTGTACATTTTTAGGCATTTGATGTTGTTCAAGTGTAGCTTCCACAATAAATATACAATATTAATGCTGAATACTGGGGAAAGACATGACACAAATCGGCCACTCATTCAAAACAGTGAAACCGTAAACAGATTCCTTAGGACCAAGGTAGAAAATCACAAGGTGTAACAATTACTAACATTGGGGCTAAGAACAAGAAGGAAAAAAAGAAGCTATTAAACAAACAAACATACAATATATTACAATGGTGAATACTAGCATAAAATAAACAGAGTTTGGACTCTGGATGTTCCACTGACCACTGTGTATCAGGCATGAGCAAGTGTACTACACTATGTACAGTACAGTACACCTAAACAATGAATCTCTATTTGTGAGGAAAACAAAATCCTTATCCTCGGAAGACTTAGTCGAGCATGTAAAATACAAGGGAGTTTAAATTCATAAACTGAAAATGTGAACAAGTGAAGAGAATGCAGTTTAGGTATTCATGTTAAATGTACAGGCCTATGGTGTACACTGTGGTATGGTATAGCAACCTCTACATGTACATGAACAATACCAGCAGTAGATCAAGAAGGAAAATATTGCTGTAACAAATACATGTAGCATATAAAAATTTTCCTGAAGTGTAAAAACTCAACACAACTCAATGTGTACAAAATGTAAAGTATGTCTGATGTACATGTACATTTGTAACTCAATACAAATAACAGATTTGAATGAAGGAATTGCAAGATGTTTATAAAAATAGCAAAAACAACAAACAAACAATGAAATACAAATAAATATTGAATCCAACAAAACAAGTTGTAAATATTGCAGATTTTGAATGTACAAGTTCCTTACAAAACAGAATATGAAGCTATGAAACTGTATTAATTACAGTGTACAACTACTACATGTACATGAACATGTGTAATGTAATACTTGAATACTTTTTTTTAATGAGAACTACTTTTGTATTACTTTTGCAGAGGTGAATATTAGTTGTGTTTTCCTTTTTTCACCAGAGGTTTTTCAGAAGGGCTTTCAAAGGCTAAATTACTCAATGCTCCTACTGTACAGTTGTATGTCCAATGTAAAATTACATTTTCATTTCAATGTACAATATGCAGCCTTCAAACTGTTCAATATTGATTGCATCAGCATTGATTGCACCTCATGCCTTTGATATTGGGTCAAGTTACCTGAAGGACAGTGTGAAGTAGTGCTGTAAGTCAGACGCTATGTTCGTGTTCGGTTCGGTTCGGCAGAGTTCGGCAATTTTTCACCCGAACTTGGTTCGGTTCGGGGTTCGGTAATATAATAGCAAGCAGCGTTATACTAGCCACGGCGGTCGGCACTGGGCGGGCCGGCCGGCCTGCCGGGCCCGACCAGCACGGAGGACTTCTGCACACTGCTCCGACCAGCACGAATTTCACATTAAAAAACTGCTCTAAACGTAATTATTTGTGCAGAAAAATACTACTTACATTCGTATTTCCGTCTTGAATCGTGTTTATTTTCAATTTAAAAGATTCATGTTTTCAATTTGTCAATAAATGATATTTTTTAAAGATTTTCCGAGACGGTTGTTGTCTATTGTTAGAGTCATGAAAGCTGCCATCTTGAATAGAGACTCGATCAGGCTCGTCAGTAACTGTTTTTTATAAGTTTTTATTTTCAATAGGAAAAATATAAAATTCCTATTTTTCCTAAATAAATAAATACCATACTATAATATATATTTATTTCATTATTTATATTATAAAATTTGTCCGATATTGTTAGAATTAATTTTTTTTGTTTTTTTTTGTTGAATGGGTTTGAGCTGAACTTATTTTGATCACGCACATGATTGTATTCTTGTTCATGGCTTGCGATCGCGACGTAGCGTGGTCAGGATTTGGGATTTAAATGGCGCCAGTGAAGTCGCGCCCAACACTGGATAGGCATATATCACAAAGGCGGAAAATGGGAAAAAAGTAAATATAAAATGAGCAATCATGACATGAAAATTAGGTACAAAATGACAAGTTTATTAGCTTTCAAAATTTTTTTTTTTTTTTTGCCGAACATCCGAACCAGGCCTTTGTGTTCGGTTCGGTTCGGTTCGGTTCGGAAGTGCCATGTTCGGCGAACTTCCGTTCAGTTCGGCGGTTCGGCTACAGCACTAGTGTGAAGGTCATTTGGTCAATGGATGATTGCTGTACAATGGGAATAAGGATTGTATTATGGTGGGCACAATGTCACCTTGCTCAAGGTCATACAAGCATTTAGTTTGTAAAGACAATCATGGAAAAAGTCAATAAAGGAAGAGTAGGGTTGGCTGTACATGAATCTGCTTGTACAATGTCGTACATGTACTTCTATAGTAGCCACTTAATATACTGTACATGTACTGTACATGTACATCTGTGAAAATTATGTTTTTCAAGTATTAATTTACTGTATAAGAATATGTGCAGACATGTACATGTACATGTACCTGTACATACTACAGTACTACATAGAAGCAAACAATCAACATTGGAAACAGAATTATTTAATCAACAATAAAACAACTACTGTACCATCTTTCTTTGTTTAAAAAAAAAGAAAAAGTGAAGAAAAAAAGAAAATTGGCTCCATTATCAGATGACCAGCCATTAAGAACAGCACACTACTGATAACTGATCTTCAAGGAAAACAATGAAATTGGCAAGAGTTTGAAAATATGAAAACTGAAAAACTGTAACACCAAAACCACTAAAAACATTTATAAAACAAATAAAAGAACAATAATCATTTGAAACATCATAATGCACAAGAGGATAGTTTCCACATGGCACTCAAGTTTGAATTGTATCAAGTAAGAAGTTCATGACATTAAATTGTAATAACCAATTATAATTATTGAAGCTGATATTGTATACCAGCATGGAACCCAAAACATTCTAGAGCAGCATGTTTTGGTGGATAGACCCCTTTGATCTGCTTTAATTCATCAAGCCTAGTGTCCTGCTTTACAGAACTTCAATTTGTAATCTATAAAATATTACAACTATTATATAAATAGAGCTTGATAATAACAGAGATCTACATGTATGTGTTCCATGTACAGACTGATCAGATATGAGCAGATTGCAATAATAAAGTTACTGAAGAGAATGAAGAAACTATTCTGGACATTTTTACACAGAATAAATAAATAAAACTATGAAACAAAACCCTGGTCTTTAAAAAAACAGAGATTAAGCAGTAAATTAATTTCAATTTTCTTAAGATTTCATACTAGAGTCACATGGATTTCATTACATTTTTTGGAAATCCTTATGGAATATCAAACATGTACCATCCCTTATCCCTCCCCCCCCCCCCCCTCCAAAAAAAAATATCACAGTAAATATTTACCTTTTAAGAAGCCTATCTGCCTCCTCTTTGCTAACAGACACCCCAAGCTTCTTGAGCGAGAGGAGGATCTCATCCACATCGATGGCTCCATCCTGATTATGGTCTACACTCTTGAACACGATATGAAGCTGCTTTTCATGCTCCGTCACATAGCGAACAAATTCTGAAAAGTCCAAATGTCCATCTTTGTTTTGATCGCTCTTTGACATAAATTTCTGTGAAGAATTGAAAATACAGACATGAAAATTGTGTACACTGTACATATAAATGTAGCTTACATGTAAGAGCCTGGGTTGGCACTTTCCCGGGCAAGAATTACTGGGGAATAATGGCAAATGCCGATAAAATACCTGAAATTCACTCATACACATGCCAACTTGAATAATGTGACCTAAAATAATAGCAGCCTGACTAAATTCCAACAATTAGTCTCAGATGCTAGATGATTCTTAGTCCATTTTATTTCCAATAGCTTTGGGGTTACTTAGAACTGTTATTGTTTGTTCGGATAGACTTTTCATATATTTCAAAACATGGTGCACCACTTTCTCCTCTTGGCTACCTGAGTATGACTATGAGCTGTCAATCAGCAGGCAGTGCATGGGTAAAAAGTAAAAACAGCATGTAAACTAATTTGAGTTTGAGTTTGAATTTGAGTTTATTAACAACAAAAATAATAACAAGTAAAACATAATGTATCAAGCATGATTACATAAAATATAACAATATAACACAAGATCGATAACATTACACATGAATAATATAAATATTGTTTTACAAAGTATGTCGTATACAAATGGAATATAATATTATGTGTACACTTTTGTTGTTAAAGGGGGTACCAGAAGTTAGCACAAGTGCTAGTCGAGTCTGGTTCCCTGTCTTTGGCAAGAGTTTTAAAACTATTTTTTTTTTTTTTTTTTTTAAATTTTTACTATACTACATTATATACATGTAACATAAAGTAAACAAAGAAATAGAATAGTCCTTTAGAAGTATTCCTCACTTAATATATACATGGAAGTCAAATGTATGTTGACTTCCGTATCAATACCAAACATACAGTAAATAAAAAATATATCATTATCTAGTGATCTTTTTAGACATTTTCTAATCCGAGATTTCTTTTTGCCATTTCAAGAAGTTTTAACTTTTGTTTAACTCAAAGTATTTAGATGTTTCGTTAACCCCTTCCGAAAAGCATTTTTAGATCGTATTCCTCTTAAATCGTATGGTATACTATTCCATATTTTCACGCCCATAAATGATATTGAAAATTGACCTTGTGTGGTTTTGCATTAATACAGAATAGATGCTGCTTGTAAGTGTCGGCATGCATGATGATCATGTAGATATACAATAGGCTTACGGGTGCACCATGTGAGAGTCTTTTTCGAAACTATATCAAACAGTCCTTTTCAGGACTACAGACCCTCAAGAAAGATTACAGAGAGTCCTTTTTAGGACTCCTCAATCCTCCCTCTCATTCTCTCACATGGTGCACCCGCAAGCCTATTGTATATAATACAGAATAGTTATTGATTTAAAATGGTCTATTATAAATAAATAAATAAATATCAATTTTGGTCAAGTACAACAACTATACATTGTCAATAAATGTATGGGGCTATGGGCAGACTTCTTTTCCAATGGCATCATCCACACCATATGCTCCAATAAATAGTAAACTAGGCAATACAAACTAAAGAACAAAATTAAATGGGCATCTTTGATGAGTAAGATCAAGATACACACTTCGACTTCGTCACTAGTAGTAGTGGAGACCTATATAACTTATAAGAATATAATGAGGCGCGATAGCTCAGTCGATAGAGCAGTGGTCTCATAATCCGGTAACCCAGGTTCGAAACCAAGTCGATGTCGAGTGCCCTTTGGTAAGGCATTAACCCTCATTACCAGGTCCCTCTGAGAGGACCTAAAGCCATCGGCTGTCTGGTTGCTTACTTACAACATTTATGCTTTCTTAGCAGTCAGGTAAAATAACCACCACCATCTATCTAAGAATAAGGTCAAGGGAGGGACTTTCTATAGAATGTGGGTACGGAGGCACAACCAGTACCAGTACAGACAGTTCTGACTAAAAAGAAGCCAACGAGTCCGGTCAGATTAATAAACAGGTTTCATGTGCAAGGTCATGAAACTGTAGTGATCCATACACCAAATTATTGTGGGGTCAACAAACTTTCGGAAATTACAAGATATCGGCATTTCCTTCCTTCATTTATATCGGCACTTCCTTTTTGTTTTGTAAATTACGTGCATATTTTAAGTAACCTCGCACCTGCGATATGACATTTGTGGTCTCCATGGTTTGTTTTTCTTTAAGCGCCAATCACGGCGTTCCATAGTCTTGTGTTTTTGGCTAAGCAGCGTGATTATCGCCACTCATCCCGTATGTACTCATCAGAGCTACACGTGTCTACGGTTTTAGTCATTTCCTTACTTCATGCATATCGCGTACGATTTTTGCGACGTTGTATTTTTCTCGGTCTATTTAATCGTCTGCGGTAGTATTTCTTTTCTTCGCTGGATTAAATACGAGTCTTTATTTGTTTAATTCGCCAAGTAGGCTATTCATTCTTTTTCTTCGGTTTACGCTTGGGCTAGCCAGAGGCAGCCATTTTGTTTCTGAGCACATCTTATTATTGTATATATATTCCTGATAGTTTCGGTTTTCGTCGAAGCTTCCGATAAGATTGTGTATTGCATTTGCCTTGTTGAATTGACAGAGTGTTTCATCGTCGAGACTACGTAGTGAATTCGTACTTCGACGAGAAGACACTTCAAGTTTTGGATCATTTCCAGTCTCCTTACTTCCAGTTTTCTTAGTTCCTTATTGGTGAGTTTAAATTTCATTACCACTTTCTTTTCTCACGTCTTTTTAGTTGAACCTGCACTTTGGTTCTACAAAACCTTGTAAAATGACATGGTTATTAAATATTAATTGTTGACTTTTTATTTTGTTATAAAACTAAGTTAGATCTAGGCCTACAAAGTTGAATTTGAAAACAAGGTCAAGGACAAGGCTCTTGATCTTGCCTTGTTGTAACTAATTTAGTTTAATCCTTTAGGCAAATGCTATAAGGCTAGTTTTGTGTATTCAGACTGCATAGTCTAGTCGACCCCTGTCTCTGAAAATAAAGCGGCGCGGCCACCCATCCCGGCCCCGGCCTCGCCCTTATTCCTCGGCGCCAACATACGGGCTCGACGTGGCGTGGAATGGGGGTTGGTCAAAAGACAGCCGCTCCACATTTACACGGTGAACTAGGCTAGGCCAGTACTCAGTAGTTGTAATTACGAGTACCATATTGAACAATAAGACATGATTTAACGAACTATACTTTATCTACAACATAAAAATGTGATTGCATGCATATTACGATGACTAAATGTGTTCAAATTTGGATCTTACTTCGGCATGATTGGGAACCATATGAACTCCCATTCGTACGAGACCCTCCTGCAGATCATCAACGTTTATTCGTCCATCACCGTCGACGTCTAGTTTTCCAAACAACTCCGAATATCTTACTTCTTCCTCTGGTGACAACTCGTGATCGGGGTGGACGGGTGGAGTGCCACCTTTGGCATTTACCTCGACGACTTTCATTGCGATAATTTAGTAATTTGTATTTTCATCTCACAAAGATTCAACATTTGTACAAAAACCACCGGTGTCCACGATATTCCAAAGCCCATTCGTGTGTATGGCATATGCGCGCGCGTAATATATTCCATAAATTACGTACAAAACCTATGGTGGAAATCTCGTTGAACTGCACGCACGCGCGGGTGCATGAACAACGTGCACACATACACACCATTCACAGATCATGTAAACCGCGCGCGTTCCAATAGACTAGATGTGACTTCCGTAGTTTCCTAAATTTGAAAATTGCGCAGACTGTTTTTCAACTCAACATACCAAAACTGACAATGTCATATTAGAAGCACCATATGTAATTTTTTTTGACATTTTCATCGGGGGGGGGGGGGGGGGCTGAAGCCTCTCGCCCGAAAAGTAATTTTCTGGTTTCACAATTCGGCTAGTGAGCGAAGCGAGCGAGCAAAAATTTGAGGATAATATGTATTTTGTGAAAGTGTTATTTATTAGCAAAATATACGAGAAAAGATATAACAAATTCATATTCGGGCAGCTTGCTGTTCCTCTCCCCCCCCCCCCCCCCCCCCCCCCCCCCCCCCCCCCCCATTACGCGCGAAGCGCGGAAGTTTTGACCTTTCGTTAATTGATATTAGAGAGAGAAGACGATTTGTTGTACCATTCTCGACTCTTATTCCTTGTTTGAATTCAGTTTTCCCCCTCCCGCGCAAAGCCATATAGTTAATGAAATTATTAGAGAAAGAAGATAATTCGTTGTTCCATTCTCGACCCTCAATCCTTTTCTGAATTCAGATTCCCCCCTCCAGCGCAAAGCACAGAAGCTTAACGTTTCATTAAATTATTAGAGAAAGAAGACGATTCGTTGTACCGTTCTCGATTCTTAATCATTGTCTGAATTCAGTTTCCATACCCCCTTCCGCGGGAAGCGCGGAAGCTTTGACGTTTCATTAAATCATTAGAGAAAGAGTACCGTTCTCGACTCTTAATCCTTGTCTGAATTGAGTTCCCCCCCCCCCCTCTAGCTCCAGCGCGAAGCGCGGAAGCTTTGACCTTTCATTAAATTATTAGAGAAAGAAGACGATTCCTTGTACCGTTCTCGATTCTTAATCATTGTCTGAATTCGGTTTCCATACCCCCTCCCGCGCGAAGCGCGGAAGCTTTGACGTTTCATTAAATCATTAGAGAAAGAGTACCGTTCTCGATTCTTAATCCTTGTCTGAATTGAGTTCCCCCCCCCCCCCCCCCCCTAGCTCCAGCGCGAAAGCGCGGAAGCTTTTACATTTTATTAAATTATTAGAGAAAGAAGACGATTCGTTGTACCGTTCTCGGTTGTTAATCATTGTCTGAATTCAGTTCCCCCCCTTCCGCGCGAAGCGCGGAAGCTTTGACGTTTCATTGAATTATTAGAGAAAGAAGATGATTAGTTGTTCCATTCTCGACTCTAAATCCTTGTCTGAATTCAGTTTTCCTCCTCCCGCGCGTAGCGCGTAAGCTTCTGACGCTTCATTAAATTATTAGAGAAAGAAGATGATTCGTTGTCCCATTCTCGATTCTTAATCCTTGTTCGAATTCATTTTCCCCCTTCCGCGCGAGGCGCGGAAGCTTTGACCTTTCAAAGTTTAATGAAATTATTAGACAAAGAAAATAATTCGTTGTTCCATTCCCGACTCTTAATCCTTCTCTGAATTCAGTTTCCCCCTCCAGCGCAAAGCGCAGAAGCTTAATGTTTCATTAAATTATTAGAGAAAGAAGACGATTCGTTGTACCGTTCTCGATTCTTAATCATTGTCTGAATTCAGTTTCCATACCCCCTCCCGCGCGAAGCTCGGAAGCTTTGACGTTTCATTAAATCATTAGAGAAAGAGTACCGTTCTCGACTCTTAATCCTTGTCTGAATTGAGTTTCCCCCCCCCCCCCCTCTAGCTCCAGCGCGAAGCGCGGAAGCTTTTACATTTCATTAAATTATTAGAGAAAGAAGACGATTCGTTGTACCGTTCTCGGTTGTTAATCATTGTCTGAATATAGTTTCTCCCCTTCCGCGCGAAGCGCGGAAGCTTTGACGTTTCATTAAATTATTAGAGAAAGAAGATGATTCGTTGTTCCATTCTCGACTCTAAATCCTTGTCTGAATTCAGTTTTCCTCCTCCCGCGCGTAGCGCGTAATCTTCTGACGCTTCATTAAATTATTAGAGAAAGAAGATGATTCGTTGTCCCATTCTCGATTCTAAATCCTTGTTCGAATTCATTTTCCCCCTTCCGCGCGAGGCGCGGAAGCTTTGACCTTTCAAAGTTTAATGAAATTATTAGACAAAGAAAATAATTCGTTGTTCCATTCCCGACTCTTAATCCTTCTCTGAATTCAGTTTCCCCCTCCAGCGCAAAGCGCAGAAGCTTAATGTTTCATTAAATTATTAGAGAAAGAAGATGATTTGTTGTACCGTTTTAGACTTGTCAAAAATGTTTCTTTGTCTGCCCCTTTTTTCGTCCTATGTCCTCTTACTGCCCCTACCGCCCCTAGCTACGCATGCTTTAAAGGGAAAATGAAACAAACATGATTGTGATAGCATACAATTAGGTCAGTAGAAATGAAAGGGGAAAAAAAGATCTATTTATACACCAACCATGAAATAATCGCAACCGGGAGCGTCATATCTCAGTTTTGTGTTATCGGGCGAGGGCCGGGGCGTACGTAGCGACCAAGCGAGATTTTGCAATGTAGAATGCTGAAATTATGCATTCTAGAAAATCCTTTAGTCCAATATGTACGTTCTTTCCGCTACATGTATATTTCTTTCTAGCTAAATATCTAAATTTCCGGGGGGACGTGTCCCTCTATCGGGCCCAGGATCGCCGCCGCTGTCCATTATCACTACCAACATGAGTTCAAATATAAGCACAAGCGAGTTGGTATGAGCTGAATCCAAATGAAGGGCAAAATAAGAGTTGTGAAGCGGCCGTACCGTTAATTTAAAATTTGACTGTTTAGTATATAGCTTCTATTTGAAAGACATCCAAAATAGTGTGCCCTTTTCAATTTTTTCAAAAAGCAGGGGCTGTTTGTAACGTTTAACTTTGAATCCGTGGCTCGAGATTTTATGCGGCCGGCCCGGCCCCCTCTATTCAATAACGTTTTCCAAGCCTTCTGGAATGACCCCAAATCTCCCGATTACAGTTTTTCCCTAATATTCGTCGTTACTGTCACTTAGCGCCATTTCCTTGTCTTTCCCCCTTTCTCACCCGACTTTTTTCTTCCCCTTCCCACCTCCCCCCCCCCCCCCACCCACTCAGTGTTATCTAGGGTACGCGCATGTATGTTCCCTCTCTTAGGGGGTGGGGGTGGGGGGGTATCTTCTTCTTTTTTTTTCTCTCTCTCTCTTCTTTCTTTTCTCTTCTCTTTTCTTTTCTCTTCTCCTTTCTTTTCTCTTCTCCTTTTTTCTTCTCTTCTCCTTTCCTTTTTTTTTCCCTCTTTTTTTTTTGCGCCGCCAATAGGGGGGCCGCGGCCGTTTCGGCCCCCCCCCCCTGGATCCGCCACTGTTAGCTATAGTCTTCCTACTCCTAGATGTGTGGCTTATTCAGTATTGTTACCGGGGTAATTCATTTTGCTTACAAAATGAAGATTTCATGATTTTACTCAGCACTCCCATCAGTAGGCCTAATGTCTCTCACTGCCCCCCATCAATCGCCCAGTTCTCCGTCTCTCTCGGTCCTCTCTTGACCCTCCCATTTTTTCTCAATCTCTCTCTCTCTTCTCTTCTCTTTCTCTCCCTCTTCTCTTCTCTTTCTCTCCCTCTTCTCTTCTTCTCTTTCTCTCCCTCTTCTCTTCTCTTTCTCTCCCTCTTCTCTTCTCCCTCTTCTCTTCTCTTCTCTTTCTCTCCCTCTTCTCTTCTCTTTCTCTCCAGCTTGTTCATTTACATTTAATCTCAACAAAAATCACATCTTTAAACCCATTTCCTTCCAGCACGTCATTAGTTGATAAATGAAGACTCTACAAAAGACATGAAAAATATGACTTCCACTCCAAACATATTTAATATCAAATCATTTTAGGTACCACTGTATGATAAACATCAAAATCAGCAACTTTGTGGCTCCCTAGATCACACATTTGGCTATTTCACAGAATTGACATGTTCCTAAGATTGCATCAATACTACAAATACATTTTCATGCACTATTGGATATATGACATTTTTTTAATGATGTAGTGATTTTGCTTTTAATGTTGGATATCTAATAACAGAAAAAATAAAGATGTACACTAGCTACATGTGTTACTAATCTACATCGGAACATCTTTGCAAAAACTCAGTGAAACAAACAAAAAATTGACATTCTTACGAGTTAGTATTCTATTGTTTTTAGTAGTGATATAACAGGGTTTTTTCCTTTGGTCCAAAGGAACATTGGTATAATGGACTTCCACTCTATAATGCTGTCATACAGGCATAAGTAAACAATCTCACAATGAATAATTAACAGATCATGTTTAGTGTCACCTCTAATGACATGATTGCATGAATAATAAATAAATAATAACTATATTGAAGTATATGCTTATATTGAATACTGGATGCAAAGTGGAATGTAAAAATGTTATTTCTGTCAGACATATTGTGGCAATATGCTATCAAAGTATTTCATCATAATGGTTTATACAATATTCATTGTTACATGTCTCAAGGTTTTATGAGAGAAGAGGGAATATAAATGCCATTTTGAAGAGGCAAGCTGATCCAGTTGTACCTTAGTAATAGTCAGCTTTGTTAAGCGCTTAACATTGTGTTTCTAGTTTTGTTTGTAATTATTGACACCCTGGTCATTGGATTAAATCACCTGATAGCGCACACGCTCCGTTCACTACAGAGTAATTTGGCCGGGTGCCATTTTACAAGCACGCACACAATCCACTAATGTCTCATACTACAGGGTACCCATGTAACACCTGGGTGGAGAGTAGCAGATATTAATGTCGCGGAGGGACACGAACAACAAACCATGTGATCCACATTCCGGTGATATATCCATAAGACCATGACAGTATTATGTCTATTTGGAATGATTCTTGAAAGCTGCAATATTTTGTTATATAATTTTAAAGCGCATTTGAACACGTTAATGGAAATGCTCTATAGAAATACATTATTTGTATCCTTATTATTATCACATGATAGCCATTTAGCCGATCAAATACTCTCCTTATGAAAACATAAATACACAGGATTAGTGAGAGATTAAGCTTTCAGAAAGTTCTTCAGTATAACAGCTATGATTTAAAAAAAAACATATTTCTCTTTGTGACAAATCTTCCAATCAAAAAGTAAGTTATTTTCTTCACTGCTCTCTAATAAATATCTATGCAAAACAGATCATTGACAACATTATATGAGTGCTGTGATGTATTTTGAAATACTGAACATAATTGTGCTTAAATATGTTAACCACTATGGCAAGAAACATAATCCAGTTGAAGTAGTATATAACCATTGTGCTCACAGTCTGAATGGGAACAAACCATATTTGTTTAAAGAGCTTTTTCAAACAGGATATTTCAGTATTTATAAATACATATGAGCAAAGGCTAAATAAGTTAAATAATAGAACAAAAACAATTCAAATAGTTTGTAAGTGATAAAGGTGCTTTGTACTTCAGTTTCTCCATATATTTCATTATCACTGGGAAAGGTACAAGAATACAAATGCAGATATGACATGGAACTATTGCCACAGTGAAAAAACAAAGATGAGCAGCACAACAGTATATCCAAGTTACTGGAAACAGATAAATGTTTTAGGTGATAGTACATCACTTCAAATAACATTGCAAAATGAACCTACACATGAATTACACTTTCTATTCAAAACTAACATGGATGTGAAAAAAGAAAATGGTATGGGGGAAACAGAGAAAATAAAGTTGGAGGTAAACTAATTTTAGATGGAAAATAAAACATTAAAAACAAGCAATCAAAACAAAAATGACTGCTAAAACATTTCTTTTTTAAATTTGTAAAATCTTCCACCTGATAAAAACAAATGTGTTCACTATAAAATAACTTCTTAAACACCCTCTTATACTTAATTCACTACACATATTCATGTAACCCCTCCACCAATTAAATCTATTCTTCCCTATCTGTCTAACATCTGCACATATCTAAAAAGTGTGCTGTGTGTCTCCATCACTGCTCATCACTTTGTGGCTTCCCCGGCAAAGGTTACTCCTCGGAGTCGACGGTACTCCTTCAGCCTGCAAGAGAGAAAAACAACAAGTATAGAAAAATTGAAATAAAAGATGAAAAGACATATCCATAAATGTATGAATTGTAAAAAAATGGAGAATTCTCAGGTTATTGTTTGAAATAGACACCTCAAACAAGGGATAAGGGAAAAGATTAGAGAGAGCAGACTGAGACGACATGGAAACGTGAGGAGGAAAGATGGTAATAAACTGATTTAGATGGGCAGCAGGGATGAAAGAGAAAGGAAGGCGAAAGGAAGAGAAAAAAAAGAGAAAGGAAAAAAGATCCAGGAAGAAGCGGATATATTGTACTAAGGAAGACAGTAGAGAAATTGACTTGTAAATGGCTCAAGACAAGATGGAATGGAGAGCGGTAACAAGGAGACCCCCCCCCCCCCACCCTCACCCCTCATAGAGGGGACCCACAGGATATTTTCTTCTATAGCAGCTTATTAACCTCTTGAGATTAAACCACTTGACTACAACCAATCTACCACCCTTCTTCCTCTTACCTGACAGCATTGACCTTGATAAAGCCTAGGGCATCCACTGGTTCATAGTCTCCCTTTACATCCATACTGCAAAAAGGAAAATGGAAAACAATCAATCGCAATCGTAAATTTTCAATAGTGTTGTAAGTCCATTTATTTATTCTATTTTTTTATATCATTCCATTATGTAACAAGGGAAACGCTCTCGGCGGTCTCGCCTGCATTACGCAATTCGATATGATGAAAAATTGAGGTTGGGACATTATTTATAGGCAGGGTGGACATTAGCAGGCCCTAAAAATGAAATCCTCTAAATATAATCACATTTTGAAGTGAATATTGACTAAGAATCATCAGAGGAATTATTTACTAAGAAATGTACCACGATCGATAACTTGAATGAAATATGAACAAATTAATTAAAAAAATGATTAATTCTCATATTAAGTTGTGAAAACATAATTAAAGTCTACTGACCTTTGACCTTGTGACCTGGAATTTGTGTCATATGATTTGTGATACTTGATAACCCTTGGGTACAAGTTTCATGGAATTTGAACAATCAATTTTGAAAATATGCTAAAAAATTCAAAATCTTGATGTTGATGCCACAACAAAGTCTAAGTTTGTTGACCTAAAATGACCTTTGACCTTAACTTAGTGACCTGAAATACTACTCACATGATTGGGGATACTTGATAACCCTATAGTCCAAGTTTCATTGACTAAGAACTTAAAGGTAACACAAAGTTTTGGTAAGGGGTCGTGAATTTGGTTCAAATGAACATATTGGAAGCATAAAAATATTCCTGGGATATTACTTTTTATTGACTTTGAAAAGGCGTTTGATTGTGTTTCACATGATTTTCTATGGAATGTATTACATTTCTTTTATTACGGGGATAAAATTATCCAATGGATCAAATTACTATATTCAAATTCTGCTTCAAATGTGCTAATGTGCTATTAAAAGGGGTTGCCGACAAGGAGATCCGCTTTCTCCATATTTGTTTCTATTATGTGCAGAAATTTTAGGCATGTTGGTCAGAAAGTCCCACAAGATAAAAGGTTTAGTTATAGAAAACAAGGAATATAGAATATTACAATACGCTGATGATACAGTCTCGATAGTACAGAAAGTTTACATTATGCTCTGGAGCTATTGGAGTTCTTTTCTCAGTATTCAGGTTTAAATCTTAATATAAATAAGACACAGATATTGTGTATCGGTTCCTTGAAAAAAAACTGTAAATATTGATTTACATCAGGTTCATGGGACTGACGTATCGTTGGTTAACGGGGGATTCATATGGTATTTGGGAATAGACTTTGGTATTGATTTAGAAAAGCTTCCGGATTTCAACTACGACAGAATATTTGATAAACTAAAAAGGCAAATGATATTTTGGTCGAAACGTAACATTTCTGTTTTTGGTCGCGTGGTCTTGGTGAAATCAATGCTAGTCTCGCAATTTAACCATTTATTTATGTCCATTCCTAACCCTTCTGAACATCTTTTAAAAGCAATAAATGTCTCTTTTTTTAAAATTCATTTGGAAAGGGAAACCTGATAAGATTAGCAGAAAACAGATGGTTTGTTCTTACGAAAATGGTGGATTGAAAATGGTTGATGTTGTACAATTTTCTAGAGCTTTGAAACTGACCTGGATTAGAAGAATATTGTTGAACTCATGTGAAGACATTACCCATTTAATGTACGCTTTCTTACGTCCACTATCATCATTGGAATGGGGTAAAGGTGATATATATTTCACTAAATTATCATTTATGCTAAGAAACTGTTTTTGGAAAGAACTTTTCCAAATACTAGCTTATTTTGTCCGCCAGGTTCAATGTACTACTACTCCTTTTTGGAAAGCTATTTCTATTTGGTATATTTCATGCTTGTTGAAAGATGAAAAAGGATGTAGACATATTTATCAAATTATGTTAAAAAGAAAAGGATGAACATTTGAATAAATTATGTAATAGATGGCATGCAGATGGTGTATTATTTGATGATAAATATATGCAATATTATTTCAGGGTTATGTTTCGCTGTACAACGCATACAACAGTTCGGTACTTTCAGTACAGACTTTTGAATAAGATACTATATTTGAATAAAGATCTTGTGAAAATTAACATAATTTTAAATAAGAACTGTTCCCTTTGAGGAAGAGAAGAAGAAGATATGGTACACTTTTTTTACTCCTGTAACGTTACCAAATTGATTTGGAGTTGTTTGACTGACTGGTTAACTATTGTAACACGCTGTAGAATAAAACTGTCCTTAATACATGTTTTGTTAGGTTTCATTGAAAAAAGAAATGATGCTTTAATCTGTATAATAATTTGGACTAAACAACAATTATATTTTTCTCGAATACAAAAATCTGTACCGTCCTTTCGGACAATAAAACAATATATCAAGAATAGTTACACAAATGAGAGGTCGGTTAGTATATTTGCTAACAAAACTGACAAATTCGATAAAAAATGGATAAATTTTGAGAGGATTTTGATCCTTTAATAGGAGTATATTGAATTTCCCACATCATTTTCAGTCATGATGTTGCATTATTATTTAATTTTTGTTTTTCTTTCCCTAATCTACATGTATGTTCTGTATATACAGTATTATGGTTGATATTCGTTATGTATATCTTATTATGAAATATTATATGATATTCATTGGAACATGTGTTCAAATATGTTATCTTGAGATTGATTCTCAATAAATGGCCTGTTGGAGGGTCCAAAAAATGGAGAAAAAAAAAAATATTGGAAGCATATGCTATCCTACAATATTCACTGATCGTTGTCGCGGTCGAAATCGACTCTAAAGTTATGAAATTGTAAATAACAAACCCTTTATGTTGTATAGCTCCCTCTCAAGGTCAAGATATTAATTAAGCTGTAAAACAATGTTTCTCGACTAAAATCGACCGATTAGCTATTCCCGTTCAGAAATTATATGCCACAACTACATATTCTGAGATTTTCATGGTCGCAGCTACCATTGTACGGCCGTAGGAGCTATTTGATTTTTTTTTCAAAATTTACCGGGAGCACCGGTAAATCTTTATATTCAACTTTTCTCGAAAGAAGAAATTTATAGTGCTTTTGATACATCCACAGGGGCATCCAAATATATCAAAATTGTAAAGAATCACTATCCACCCATTTTTCAAAATTTCCCAAAACTTTGTAATACCTTTAAACTTTCAAAATTATATCAAAAATTCAAAAACTTAAAGGTAATACAAAGTTTTGGGAAATTTTCAAAATTGGGTGGATAGTGATTCTTTACAATTTTGATATATTTGGATGCCCCTGTGAATGTATTATAACCACTAAAAATGTTAGCCCCTAAAACGTTTTTGCTTTTGAGAAAAATTGAATATAAAAATTTACCGGTGCTCCAGGTAAATTTTGATGAATTTCAAATAGCGCCTACGGCTGTACAATGGTAGCTGCGACCATGAAAATCTCGGAATATGTAGTTGTGATACATAACTTCTAAACGGGAATAGCTAGTCGATCGATTTTAGTCAAGAAACATTGTTTTATAGCTTAATTAATATCTTGACCTTGAGAGGGAGCTATACAACTTAAATAGTGTATTATTTACAATTTCATAACTTTAGACTTGATTTCAATCGCGACAACGATCACTGAATATTTTAGGATCGCATTTGCTTCCAATATTTTCATTTGAACCAAATTCATGACCCCATACCAAAACTTTGTATTACCTTTAACCTTAGGTTAAGTTTTCGATGATGATGCCACAACATAGTCCAAGTCTGTTGACCTGAAATGACCTTTGACCTTGACTTTGTGACCTGAAATTCTACTCACATAATTGGGGATACTTGATAACCCTGTAGTTCAAGTTTCATTGACAAATGTTTTGTTAGGTTTCATTGAAAAAAGAAATGATGCTTTAATCTGTATAATAATTTGGACTAAACAACAATTATATTTTTCTCGAATACAAAAATCTGTACCGTCCTTTCGGACAATAAAACAATATATCAAGAATAGTTACACAAATGAGAGGTCGGTTAGTATATTTGCTAACAAAACTGACAAATTCGATAAAAAATGGATAAATTTTGAGAGGATTTTGATCCTTTAATAGGAGTATATTGAATTTCCCACATCATTTTCAGTCATGATGTTGCATTATTATTTAATTTTTGTTTTTCTTTCCCTAATCTACATGTATGTTCTGTATATACAGTATTATGGTTGATATTCGTTATGTATATCTTATTATGAAATATTATATGATATTCATTGGAACATGTGTTCAAATATGTTATCTTGAGATTGATTCTCAATAAATGGCCTGTTGGAGGGTCCAAAAAATGGAGAAAAAAAAAAATATTGGAAGCATATGCTATCCTACAATATTCACTGATCGTTGTCGCGGTCGAAATCGACTCTAAAGTTATGAAATTGTAAATAACAAACCCTTTATGTTGTATAGCTCCCTCTCAAGGTCAAGATATTAATTAAGCTGTAAAACAATGTTTCTCGACTAAAATCGACCGATTAGCTATTCCCGTTCAGAAATTATATGCCACAACTACATATTCTGAGATTTTCATGGTCGCAGCTACCATTGTACGGCCGTAGGAGCTATTTGATTTTTTTTTCAAAATTTACCGGGAGCACCGGTAAATCTTTATATTCAACTTTTCTCGAAAGAAGAAATTTATAGTGCTTTTGATACATCCACAGGGGCATCCAAATATATCAAAATTGTAAAGAATCACTATCCACCCATTTTTCAAAATTTCCCAAAACTTTGTAATACCTTTAAACTTTCAAAATTATATCAAAAATTCAAAAACTTAAAGGTAATACAAAGTTTTGGGAAATTTTCAAAATTGGGTGGATAGTGATTCTTTACAATTTTGATATATTTGGATGCCCCTGTGAATGTATTATAACCACTAAAAATGTTAGCCCCTAAAACGTTTTTGCTTTTGAGAAAAATTGAATATAAAAATTTACCGGTGCTCCAGGTAAATTTTGATGAATTTCAAATAGCGCCTACGGCTGTACAATGGTAGCTGCGACCATGAAAATCTCGGAATATGTAGTTGTGATACATAACTTCTAAACGGGAATAGCTAGTCGATCGATTTTAGTCAAGAAACATTGTTTTATAGCTTAATTAATATCTTGACCTTGAGAGGGAGCTATACAACTTAAATAGTGTATTATTTACAATTTCATAACTTTAGACTTGATTTCAATCGCGACAACGATCACTGAATATTTTAGGATCGCATTTGCTTCCAATATTTTCATTTGAACCAAATTCATGACCCCATACCAAAACTTTGTATTACCTTTAACCTTAGGTTAAGTTTTCGATGATGATGCCACAACATAGTCCAAGTCTGTTGACCTGAAATGACCTTTGACCTTGACTTTGTGACCTGAAATTCTACTCACATAATTGGGGATACTTGATAACCCTGTAGTTCAAGTTTCATTGACAAATGTTTTGTTAGGTTTCATTGAAAAAAGAAATGATGCTTTAATCTGTATAATAATTTGGACTAAACAACAATTATATTTTTCTCGAATACAAAAATCTGTACCGTCCTTTCGGACAATAAAACAATATATCAAGAATAGTTACACAAATGAGAGGTCGGTTAGTATATTTGCTAACAAAACTGACAAATTCGATAAAAAATGGATAAATTTTGAGAGGATTTTGATCCTTTAATAGGAGTATATTGAATTTCCCACATCATTTTCAGTCATGATGTTGCATTATTATTTAATTTTTGTTTTTCTTTCCCTAATCTACATGTATGTTCTGTATATACAGTATTATGGTTGATATTCGTTATGTATATCTTATTATGAAATATTATATGATATTCATTGGAACATGTGTTCAAATATGTTATCTTGAGATTGATTCTCAATAAATGGCCTGTTGGAGGGTCCAAAAAATGGAGAAAAAAAAAAATATTGGAAGCATATGCTATCCTACAATATTCACTGATCGTTGTCGCGGTCGAAATCGACTCTAAAGTTATGAAATTGTAAATAACAAACCCTTTATGTTGTATAGCTCCCTCTCAAGGTCAAGATATTAATTAAGCTGTAAAACAATGTTTCTCGACTAAAATCGACCGATTAGCTATTCCCGTTCAGAAATTATATGCCACAACTACATATTCTGAGATTTTCATGGTCGCAGCTACCATTGTACGGCCGTAGGAGCTATTTGATTTTTTTTTCAAAATTTACCGGGAGCACCGGTAAATCTTTATATTCAACTTTTCTCGAAAGAAGAAATTTATAGTGCTTTTGATACATCCACAGGGGCATCCAAATATATCAAAATTGTAAAGAATCACTATCCACCCATTTTTCAAAATTTCCCAAAACTTTGTAATACCTTTAAACTTTCAAAATTATATCAAAAATTCAAAAACTTAAAGGTAATACAAAGTTTTGGGAAATTTTCAAAATTGGGTGGATAGTGATTCTTTACAATTTTGATATATTTGGATGCCCCTGTGAATGTATTATAACCACTAAAAATGTTAGCCCCTAAAACGTTTTTGCTTTTGAGAAAAATTGAATATAAAAATTTACCGGTGCTCCAGGTAAATTTTGATGAATTTCAAATAGCGCCTACGGCTGTACAATGGTAGCTGCGACCATGAAAATCTCGGAATATGTAGTTGTGATACATAACTTCTAAACGGGAATAGCTAGTCGATCGATTTTAGTCAAGAAACATTGTTTTATAGCTTAATTAATATCTTGACCTTGAGAGGGAGCTATACAACTTAAATAGTGTATTATTTACAATTTCATAACTTTAGACTTGATTTCAATCGCGACAACGATCACTGAATATTTTAGGATCGCATTTGCTTCCAATATTTTCATTTGAACCAAATTCATGACCCCATACCAAAACTTTGTATTACCTTTAACCTTAGGTTAAGTTTTCGATGATGATGCCACAACATAGTCCAAGTCTGTTGACCTGAAATGACCTTTGACCTTGACTTTGTGACCTGAAATTCTACTCACATAATTGGGGATACTTGATAACCCTGTAGTTCAAGTTTCATTGACAAAGAACCTATACTTTCAAAATTATATCAAAAATTTTAGGTTAAGTTTTTGATGTTGACGCCGCCACTGTCGCCGCCACTGTCGCCGCCGTCACCGGAAAAGCGGCGCCTATGTCTCGCTTTTTTGCTACGCAGGCAAGACAAAAATGATTTATATTTGTGTTTCCATATGAATATGTCATTGTACATTTGCTACTGTGTATTATCTATCTGTGTATATTATTTTCTATGTATATTGTTCATGTGCTTTATGTAATGCCAACAACTGAATTTCCAAATGGACCAATATAATTAATCTGAATCTGAATGGAGTCAATTTTTCAAACGGTATCAAAATAACTTCAACTTGATGAACAATACTAATTTGAATATCACATACTCAAACAAGAACCATTTTCTATGCTTTGACACTTTCTACAAATGATATTATCCTTATTTCATATATCAACCATAGCTATTTAAAACTGACAACTGTTTAAATATGAAACCTTGATTTTGATTGGCTGTTGAGCCATGTTACCATGGTAGTTGCCATTGATGGCAAAGTTACCATCAATGGTAAGTTTTATGCAACAGGCCCAGTTGTGGGTTATCAATATCAGTGAGTGGACATAGGGTCACGGTACCACATACTCATTCAGAACAATCTGAGTTGGACCAAAGGGACACAGATAGGTCAAGTAATGCAACAACTTTCACAGCAAGAAACTTTCAGTGCTGTGATTTATTTACTTCATGGCTTACAACGTCAATGATTCTTTGAGCATGTTTATGTATGGGCGCTATATAAATATCAATATGTCTTCTTTACCACTTGCAAAGGTTTTATTCATTCATAAAATGCTTCATCATATCATAACAACATTTGTCTTGACCCCATCTATGTAAGGATTGGAAAGACCTTGATGTTTCTTTCTTTAGTCCATAAACTGAAATATGCACATTTATTAGACAGACTGTTACCATGGGAGATATGCTATTCCCAACCCCAAAAAAGAAAAAAATCTCTTTTTTAAAGTATCCAAAGATGGAAATGATGATAATAATTGATCTTGCTTTATACCTGACAAGCTCCTCATTGTAAAGACTCTGGGCAGACTCTCTTGCATTGATGTAGACATGGCCTTTGTATACAGTCACTGTTACCTTGCCTTCTACACACTCCTGGCTACGGTCTATACAATCACGGGTGAATTCACATTCAGGGCTGTACCAGTAGCCTAAATATCAGAAAAAGTTTATAAGAACTTTAGCATAATATTGCATCCTTATGTCTGCATCATTAGTATTTTTTGTATTTATTAACATTTATTTCCTTCTCAACAGCACTTGTATATAATGATTTCAACATAGAGTATACAGTCAATAATTCAGATATGGAAGGCATCACAAATAGATCTCCATGAATCATAAATTAAATGTATACTGGAACCCTTTCAGTTCATTTCAGAAGGATTAAATCGAATCTAATTGGGAATGCCTGTTCCCTAAACAGATCCAAAACTATCCCTTTTTTATAATTCCAGGACCACCCTGATACTTCCAAAAGCTACATAAAACATAGCACCACATGTAATTGGTCAAGTGGTTTCTCATGTGCCCCTAATTTTCTAGTGCTTATAATACATCCACATGGGCATCCAAATATATCAAGATTGTAAAGAATCACTATCCAGCCAATTTTCAAAATTTCCCAAAACTTTGTATTACCTTTAAGATTCATGTATTTCCACTATTTTGTTGTTGGTGTTTTTAAAATTATTTCTTAATACTGCGCATGGGTGAAAATAAATCTATCTCTTCACTGCTACAGGGCCCCCTGGAAAACAGTACTGTGATTACTGATGGGGCTACCCTGTTTAAATAAAACAGAAATAAATAAATAAATAAAAACTGCTTCATCGTGTGTTGTAGTTATTGCCATCTGTTGTCTAAAATGTTGATATTAACAAAAACAAACTAGATGGAATTTTGACTGCGCGCAGTCGAAAATGATGCCTCCGCCATAGAGCAATTTAAACAAGTTTGGAGTTTAAATCTCCAGTGGTTCTTGAGATATCATGATAACAATCTCAATGTATGGAATTTCATAAGTTAACCTCTGTGACCCTTGACCTTTGACCTACGTGCTCCAAAATCTAATCAGATTGTCTTCCTATGGTGATACACACTATCATTAAGTTTGAAGTTTAAATCTCCAGTGGTTCTTGAGATATTATGATATGGTGATACATACTATCATTAAGTTTGAAGTGAAAATTCTCCAGTGGTTCTTGAGATATCACGATAACGATCTCAATGTATGGAATTTCATAAGTTGACCTCTGTGACCCTTGACCTTTGACCTACGTGCTCCAAAATCTAATCAGATTGTCTTCCTATGGTGATACACACTATCATTAAGTTTGAAGTTTAAATCTCCAGTGGTTCTTGAGATATTATGATAACAATCTCAATGTATGGAATTTCATAAGTTGACCTCTGTGACCCTTGACCTTTGACCTACGTGCTCCAAAATCTAATCAGATCGTCTTCCTATGGTGATACATACTATCCTTAAGTTTAAAGTTTTTACATCTCCAGTGGTTCTTGAGATATCATGATAACAATCTCAATGTATGGAATTTCATAAGTTGACCTCTATGACCCTTGACCTTTGACCTACGTGCTCCAAAATGTAATCAGATTGTCTTCCTATGGTGATACACACTATCACTAAGTTTGAAGTTTAAATCTCCAGTGGTTCTTGAGATATCATGATAACAATCTCAATCTCTTCTGTATAAGCTAATTTGTGTAATTCTGTATAAGCTAATTTGTGTAATGCTACTTTGTTATTTTGAGGGACCCATAATCTACAAGTATCCACTTTTTAATGGGTCCCTCCATTTCCATAGGAAATATCAATTTTTTTTTGTATTATGTTATTCAAATTTTGTTTATATGCAGTTTAAGTATTTGTAAATGATATTATTCACATGTTATCTTGTTCAATTTTTTGTTTTGTTTTAATGAAATATTGTTCTGATTTCTGTGGAAATGAAAAATAAACTTGAATTGAATTGAATCGAATGTATGGAATTTCATAAGTTGACCTCTGTGACCCTTGACCTTTGACATACGTGCTCCAAAATCTAATCAGATCGTCTTCCTATGGTGATACATACTATCCTTAAGTTTGAAGTTTAAATCTCAAATGGTTCTTGAGATATCGCGCTAACAAACTCAATACAAGAAATTTCATAAGTTGACCTCTGTGACCTGTGACCTTTGACCTACGTACTCCAAAATCTAATCAGATCGTCTTCCTATGGTGATAAATACTATTCCCGAGTCTTAAGTTTAAATCTTAAATGGTTCTTGAGATATTGTGATAACGGTCAAACGGGACGGACGTACGGACGGACAACCCGAAAACATGATGCCTCCGGCACCACCTTCGGTGGCGGAGGCATAAAAATAATTATATACCTTCATAGCATTGCTCTGAGAAGCGGAGAGACAAGGTCTGCTTGATTCTACGGACAGCCTGCAAAAGAAAACAAGATGATTTTAGGAAAAGAAAATGTCCTCTTCAATATAGGACAAAAAAGTTAGTTGATATTGTTCTTACCTTAACTATAGCCTAGGATAACATTTTAGAGTTATGCTGGTCGTAAATCTGTTTTGGGGTTTGTTTTTTTACAGACAGCAAATTACTAAAAACCTTATCTTGTAAGTAATATCTAATATACCAAGTTCATGATATTAATTCCATAGAAATTATAAATTGTTTAAATGTAAAACTAATAATATTTATAATAGATATAGACTTGTAAAGTGCTCATGTCTGGCACATGGCCACTTCTGGCACTCTATTATTACTACCCTGACAGGCTTTAGCATGGCTGTCATTACAGAGCTTGAGCATTCTAAGGAATTAGTTTCTGCCGGATATCCATTTAGCTCACCTGCGTTGAGTTTGGCAAATGAAGATTAATGTCTTGCCAAAGGACTTCAGTGGTGTGACAGAGATTTGAACCCTGTACCTTGTGGTTCACAGTCCAGAGACTTACAATACAGATGTAAATATAATGTGAGATGAAAGGCTAAATTCAAAGATCTTACCTTATCCATAGTAAAGCTCTCAATATCCATGTGTGCTGTGATCAGAATCTCTCCTGCTGGGCATTCATACACACCTGTTCATAGAGATATTGAAATACGGTCAAACCTCTTTATATCCCTTTTAGGACAGGATTTATTTAAAGCCCATCTGCGCTAGTTTGGCCAGGAGGGATTAGACCTCCCTGCATGGTCACGGACAGGTGGTTATATCACGGACAGGTCGTAATATCATCAAATCGGCTCTCAATTAACATAAGAAAAAGAGGATCATGGGGGACCAATGGTCACCGATTAGGCATTGTTTGCTATAAAGAGGGTGCAAGTAGCTATAAGTAGTGGGACTTTAAGGGCTGAATTTTTTTCATCTTAACCTTAAAATTGGCAACAATTTTCTTGAGTATAGGTTTCAATGTGAAACACCGTTGTAGAGGAAACAAACAAATGTAGTCTCTATGGACAGCTGGTATTTTTAGGTTGGTGGTTATTATTAAAAGCAGGTATTTTTTTTATTTTTTAATGAATAACACTTTTCAAGGTAAACACAAACCTAATCTAAATACATGTTAAAGTAAGAGTACCTGTCCCATCACAACAAAGAACAATATGTATGAACGCAATGTCAATAACAATCAGAAAGAAAATTCCAATTATCTTTACAAATAAACCTTTCTGTGCAGGGAATGAATATATAATATATTGAAAAGTTGTCATTTTCTGTTAATTCCCATCAAGAATATCTTAGGGCTTCAAGACAGCTAAACTTACCTCTTGATTTCATTCCGATGTATCTGTTCTCAACAATGTCAATTCTGCCGACTCCTTGTCTACCACTAGAGGATAAAAATAAAAGCATGACAAAAAAACATTTAACAGATGAAATATTCCACTGAAATAGATATTAAAGGTACTATGTCCCTTTTGCAGCCAACCTCAAATTTTGTAGAACTTTGCAGAAATTATGAATATGTCATGTATGTCCTATCTGTGAAATTTAAATGTTAGCAGTGTCCTAATATTCAAATTATGCAAGGAAACCTGTTTACTTGCTAGACTTCACTGTCAGACACTATTGAGTGACTGACAGGCTTTTTTTCTTCTTTGGTAATAACATACATTAAATGAGCTGTAAAGGGTACATTATCATTTGTCTACATCAATAACCCACTTAATGTGATGGCCAAAATTAAACTGATTGAATCTTTGCACAGCATAAAACGTATGACCATTCGGTACAATGGTCTGAAAATCAAGACTATTACTTATTGGCTCTATAGCTCCTAAGTCGATTTGACAACTAATAGTCGTTATTTTCCCACTTGAAGACATTTTTAAGCCCACCTTTTTTAGGGAAGTTCTAAATCAGTATTATCTTTCAGATACCGTTGGAATTTAACCTGTTCATTTTTTGGCCTGCAAATGGGACATATTACCTTTTACCTTTAAAGAGTGCCTATGTTATAGAATAGCAAACTGCAATCTGCTAAGTTAAGTATTCTGAATGGCATTACAACAAACTTGTATTGACAATATGCTTTTTTTTCAGAAATATTCATTGGTTTTATCAACTTTCTCATTTTATTTTGTTTGTGTGTGTGTGTGTGTGTGGGGGGGGGGGGGGTGGTGTGCTCTGATATATTATCTGTTTAGAGCCAGAAGGGCATTAACTCCTATATTTTCACACAGACCTAACATCCTACTGGCTCTCAATAGACACTATGCTCTAGGGCTTCATTACATCAAAGATAAAAGGTTAGACTTAATGTAAGGTATAATGTATTGTCCAGGAATGAAGTTAAAAATTTGGTTTGTGATCACAAAGCGTGTATCATAAAACCTAGGGAACAAGGGCGTGGTAATGTCCACCCCCCCCCCCCATTCTTGTAAGGTTAATATGATAACCTTACCCAATCTCGTTGAGGTATAGGAATAGCTCTAGTGGATCTGTCTTCACTGTTTTGTCACCAAGGTGCGTTACACTGACTGGAATACCTAATGAGGAGAACAAACAATTATGGAACATAAAAAATGTAATAATTAAAATAAAATTTCCTGTTAACATTTCATGTTTAACACTTAGTAGGCAATTTCAAAAGTACTTGCCTATTCTATTGTTCATATATGCACATTTCTTGAGCTGAGTTTCCTCAAGTTTTTCCATTACATAAAACTCAAATCTAGCTGACAAAATTACCCTATTGCCATTATTTCATGAAAGCCTTAAAATACACAAACATAGAAAATAACCCAACATTGAATACAAGGTCATTTAGAAATTAACACAGTACTACACACAAAACAAATAAAGAGATCAATATCAAACACCTTGTGGAAAGTTAAGTGGTTTGTTAACTGTAAAAAGAAATTTAAAAAAAAGAAATGTCTGAGCACCAATAATGCAAAGATTACACTTATCATCACAGACAATGTCATGTGTCATGGGAAATGGGTAATGTTACAAGTGAAGATTGTATGTGAGTGTTACCTTTCTTGAATTCAATCTCTAGCTTGTCTGGTTTGCTAGGTGACTTGTCTGGGTCAGTGGTCATCTGGTAGATATCAACAGGAGCTTCATGCTGGAGGTAATCATAGAGAAGGTCAAGATTATCAGTCAACGTTTAATGTCCAAAAGTTGCCTAAAGAGAGTCCCAAACATGTTGGAGCCCAACACATTCTGCATAGATGCTGCTTGTAAGTGTCGGCTTGCATGGTGATGTAGATATACAGTAGGTTTGCGGTTGCAAACTCCTGATGATGGATAGTCAACCTGTTCGAAACGTCGAGCCACTCATCCTCTCCAAGCGCTATAGTTCTCCTGAGAACTATATGCTAAGAAAGATAACAAACAGTCCTTTTCAGGACTACACTCCTCCAAGAAAGATTACAGAGTCAGAGTCCTTTTCAGGACTCCTCAAACCTCTCTCTCTCTCTCTCACACATGGTGCAACCGCAAACCTACTGTATACATTCTGCATAATAAAAAAAATTGACTGAGCCTGAGAGATGACAAGGCAAGACATTGGGCAAAAGCATGCAACTAGCTTCGCTGAAAGTGAGAAGGCTGTTAATATTGTGGGTAAAATGGATGAATTACACAGACCAATTTAAAAAAAAATAACTTGCAATGTAATACACTGTGTGACTTTCAACTTTAGAGGGCGATGTTGCTGAATAGAAGAGTGAAAACATTGAAGCCCTAGTTAGATCTTGATGTTAGATATTGTATTCAAACAAAAGTATATTCCTATAATAAAATACATTAGTTACTAACTAAACTTACACAAAATACTGAAGTTTGGGAGATGTGATTTTGAAGGTATTTTCAGTCATGACCCTCTCTAAAGACAAGACAGTCTTATTAACTCTGTAGTGACCACAAAGAATTTGGGGTAGGATTAGGGATGTAGCTGAAGCGTGTGTCATGTACAACTGCCTAAATATCTGACCTTAGGATCTTCAAGTACGCCTGCTTCATAGCTGATGTGCATAAGGTTACCATCCATACTCCAGGGAGCGCTGGTAGTCACAGGAAGAGGAATGTCATGGGCTGCAGCATACTCAAACAGGTCCTTGCGCCCCTGGAAACGGTTGTAGAACTCTGGCATCTTCCACGGAGCTATGATCTGTGATGGATATAAGAATGGTAATGACAATACTGGAAAACATACACTATTGCATGCATGAAATGTTCGCAAATTTCACAAGAGGTTGGGATTCGCAACAGTTCCATGAGGTGAAATAATCAAATAAAAGTTTACACAACACTTAATTTTGCACTTTGCGAAAGCTTGTGAATGATACTGCACAACAAGAAAATTTCACATGCAAACAAAATGCACGAATTTTGTGAGTGGTTATACTTGTGAAGTTTCATGTGTACAAAATTCCTAAATCACAGCCGACACAAAACTGAATTATGCAAAACCAGAAAATTAGAGAATTTTGCACGTGGTTTACAAAAGTTTCATGCTGTTAACAAATTAAATGATTGACATAACACTAAAATTGTTTGCAATTTGCAAATGTTTCTTGCTGTAAAATTGGCTACCCTTTAACAAATTGCTAAAATTTCATATACAAAAGTTTGTGGTTTACAGTGGATTAATTGGTAGAAAGAGAATGTGCTTTGTTGCCAATAAATTGGTGCCTGAGTGTATCGGAGTGCATTTTCACACCATGGTTTTACAATCGTGAAATCAAACCAAGCTTGTTCTTCAGTTTCTTCATTGTGACTTGTTACACTCATATCAGACAAAACAATCGGTGTGAAAATGCTTTTCTGTTCACTGGAACTATTCCTTAATCTTTTGATCTAAAAGCGGGGTTTTCTCACCATGGATGATTTTTTAATACATGTCAATGTAAAAAATTACTAGGTTTGTCGTGGAGGGACAGAGTTTCAAATGAAGAGGTGTTGCATCGAGCTCAAGAAAAGCGGGTGCTAATTCAAACGATCAAAGAGAGACCGAAGAAATGGCTTGGACACATAATGCGACATGATGGGGGCTTGATGCTCAGGGTCATAGAAGGTCGTATTCATGGAAAGAAGAAGAGGGGAAGACTTCGTAAGGCTTTCTAGACGATGTAATTACAGAATGTGGAGCAACAGGGTATTAAATGCTGAAACTGATGGCTCAAGACCGAGAAACTTGGAGAGACACTTGATATTGAATTTTGATTGGGTCACTGAACCGGTCATAAACTGACAGATCACTATTGATGATGAATGTTTTGTTACCAGAGCTCTTTAGGAGCTTTCCAGAGCTTTACCGATCACTGATCCTGTCTACTTGTTCACCTGAAACCAATCACTGATCCTGTCTACTTGTTCACCTGAAACCAATCACTGATCCTGTCTACTTGTTCCCCTGAAACCAATCACTGATCCTGTCTACTTGTTCACCTGAAACCAATCACTGATCCTGTCTACTTGTTCCCCTGAAACCAATCACTGATCCTGTCTACTTGTTCACCTGAAACCAATCACTGATCCTGTCTACTTGTTCACCTGAAACCAATCACTGATCCTGTCTACTTGTTCACCTGAAACCAATCACTGATCCTGTCTACTTGTTCACCTGAAACCAATCACTGATCCTGTCTACTTGTTCCCCTGAAACCAATCACTGATCCTGTCTACTTGTTCCCCTGAAACCGATCACTGATCCTGTCTACTTGTTCCCCTGAAACCGATCACTGATCCTGTCTACTTGTTCCCCTGAAACCAATCACTGATCCTGTCTACTTGTTCACCTGAAACCAATCACTGATCCTGTCTTCTTGTTCCCCTGAAACCAATCACTGATCCTGTCTACTTGTTCCCCTGAAACCGATCACTGATCCTGTCTACTTGTTCCCCTGAAACCAATCACTGATCCTGTCTACTTGTTCCCCTGAAACCAATCACTGATCCTGTCTACTTGTTCCCCTGAAACCAATCACTGATCCTGTCTACTTGTTCCCCTAAAACCTATCACTGATCCTGTCTACTTGTTCCCCTGAAAATGATCACTGATCCTGTCTACTCTTCCCCCTGAAACCAGTGTTCATCATGAACTCACCTCAATCGATGGGTGAAGGGCATAACAACTCAGCTCAAAACGTACTTGGTCGTTTCCCTGTAATGAATGAAGTAAGAATGAAGAAAAGAGAGCATGATTAGAATTACAGACTACAGACATCATCTAAATGATAAGATAATATCATTTGAAATAATTAATCGTCTTCAAAGAAAGTTACATAAGCCTATCATTAAGGTTTTTGCTACTACTCCTACTACTACTACTACTACTACAACTACTACTTCCACTACCACTACCACTACCACAACCACTTCCACTACCACCACCACAACATGTACTACAACTACTACTACTACCACTACTACTACTAACCCTAACTCTTTCAAGAGATATACATGTACATGTAGCTGGGAACACATGTCACTGGAGCAAAAATCAGATCACAAACATCTCTAAGACTCTCTACTGTTATGTGATTGTTGTTTATCAATTAAAAAAAAGCCTAATTGCTTTACCTTTCCTGTAGCACCATGGGAGACAGCCTGTGCGTTGTGTTCCTTCACCACCTCAATGATACCCTTTGAGATGCAGGGTCGGGCCAGAGCGGTACCCAACAGATAACGGTCTTCATACTTGGCGTTGGCCTGGACAGCGGGCCAGATGTTCTCCACCACAAAGTCTCTCTTCAGGTCTTTCACTACATACTGAAATGAAAATGGGGATCGGATTTGTAATAAATTGACATCAATGATCATAAGATGCATTATATACCTCTCTCAGTAACCTCTGAATAAATCTAGTATTCTGATTGGTCGAAATTGAAATTGTGACTTTAGCCATGCCCTCCTACAGGTCAATATTTTTTTTAAAGATGCCTGTTGCGCACTTCGAGGTTGTATCAGGATGTAACATCCCCTTGAGCCTATAGAAACAGCGATGCCTCTCATAGCACACAATGTATCTATAAAGTATAATACATAAAATCTTTAAAGAGTCCTTGAAAGATAATTCACTTATATTACCCTGGAAAACATAGTACATGTATGTACAATAAACAAAGAAAATTTTACTAATTGAAAGAAACTCTCACAACTTTATAGGACAGCCACTGAACTTTTTGTTGTTGTAACAACCTCTCCAAATGGCGGAAATTCAGTGTTGGGATTCAATTATTTTTGTGTCACAACATTTTCACAAATCAAAAGTCATGAACATGAACATTTCTGGTTAATTAGTATTTTTATCAGTTTTATGTGGATCCCAAATGTATTTTTCATAATTTCATTTAAGCTCTAATGTGACAGGAGCCAGGCAATAATCATTTTTCACAACAATGTACATGTATGAACTACCAATTAATGAATATGTAATATATGGGATATAAATTTCTTTGCTCAAATTTTACACTCAAACATTTGAGAGAAAGAAAGAGAGAAAGAGAGAAAGAGAGAAAGAGAGAGAGAGAGAGAGAGAGAGAGAGAGAGAGAAAGAGAGAGAGAGAGATAGGATATTATCTAAATATGGATTAAAACAAGGAATATCTTTCTCACACCATGATATATCCCCAGAAAATATTACGGTATATTCCTTGTTAAATGAAAACAATTATCATTTCTTCTACAGTTACAAGAGGATCACTTTTGGTAGCAATCAAGAATCGTGTAGTATCTTTCATGTTGTTCCTTAAACTAAATAGCAAACCACAACAGCCTTTAAAATCTGAACAAGCAGTGTACAGACTTTAATATGCAATTTCAAATTTCAGCAATCTCCTGGGATTCAATTTGAAACAAGACCTGCATTCCAGATTGATATCTCTATCATAATTCATAAGATGTGTCTACATTATGCAGGTCTGCTGATGGCAAAATGGATAAATCAAATTCATTACAAAATAGCCATTTGGCTTTTGATACTAATGGAAAGATGCCATTCCTCATCTCCCTATCCCTAAGAAAGTATTCTTCATACATTTTACATTGGCTATATTCATAAAAGAAGAGAGTTATACCAGCTATTTAAGAGAAAATATTAAAAATTCTTGAAATAAAAAGGATACCGGGTTTATCAAAATAATATCATAATGACAAGACTTTTGTTCAACAATTCTGGTAAAGAACTTTGGAGAAAAAAAGTGGCAGGATGAAAACGTTGACACTTGGCATGCCATACATAGAAAGTTGGTGGAATAATCTGCACTTATTGTGGGGTGTAAACCTGGATTAAAGTTATATTACCGGTATATGGAAATAGTTTACAAACTTGGTCAGCTGATTCATGGAGCCCTATTTGTCAACCTTCTCTAAACAAAAGCTAAACTTAGCCATAAACCTCAATGCAAACTCAGCCTCAAATAAATCTGTAACAAATTTGGAAATTTTCATATAAACACGCCCCCCTGCAAGAAACATCAAGATCACATTAACTATTTGGAGGCAGATGGGCTTTGACTCATACCACTGTACAGAGATTATACCCTTCTTGCTCAAACAGATGAATCATGATATCTGAACATTTATCATGACTTTGATCCATTTTCCATTCTCAATTTATAAACATATATTTCAGACTAGCAGTGGCACCCTATTCAACACAAAGAATTAAAAAATCATTTGCTGGCAGTAGATTCCAAATCAGCATACATGTAAAAACCCATTTACATTGCAGAAAAACCATTGTTTTTTAGTAGTACCATTTACACTACCGGTATTGGAAAAACCCATAAAAAACTGTCATGAGTTGACCAAACGTCAGACAGGTGTTTACACTGCGAAAACCAGTGGAGTTAAGGACGGCGTTTAAAAAAACCACACTCTAGAGAATTGTGAGAATGCAAGAAAAACCAAAGGTTCTTGCCTACAGTGTAAATGCCCCTTTAGTCTGGTAGACAGGTAAAAAAAAAGCAAAGAGTTCATGCCAAAGTACAATCACTTCAGGTCTATTAACGATTCTCTCAAAAAGGGATTCCTGAAAGGGTTTAGATTACATCCATTCATGTCTAATTGGCGTGAATTCCCGCTCAAATCTCTTCCATCGGTCATGGCTTACAGTAGGCTGCACAACCAGACCAGCATAACCCCATCGATCTTTAAAGCACTGGGAAAGAGGAAATGAGTCTGCTCATTCATGTATATTTCGTCAGTTGTATCCTCAAAATATATTTTCTCTAAAGGGTATTTAATTTTTTTCTCATATCTTCTAAAAAAACAATAAAAATGCATGTAAATAAAACAAAATAAACAAAATAAGAAGGATAAAATTTGCCTATCAAAAGGAAATTAGAGGCTAATTTGGGGGCCTTGAGTCTCATTTAGGCAATATGATCTTTTTGAGTATTTGACCATTTCTATTGTTAAAACATGTCCTTCAAGTTTCAACTCTTGAATGCAAAAAGACTAAACAAAAAGAAACACTCTGAATTTGCAGGAATTGTATGTGTCTCTATTATTTGAATGCAAATTTTTTTTTTAAATGTCATTTTGGTCCCAAAATAACCTCTGAAACATTAGAAACCTTTTCAAAAACTTGATAAACCTTGATTCAAAGAGACTGGGTTTTCAGACTATGCTTATTTGCACATTGGACTCTGAATTACCCAGATGTATGCAGCGTCTGGCTGATTTCTAGTATTGTACATTCAACTTTTTTAAGAATAGCATTTTTAAATACGACATATTAGACCTATATATAACAAAGAATACATCCTGTACGAAAACAATTAGAATAATATCCATAACAGATAAAATAATCAGGGCAGAGCAGGTGATATATATAGAGAGAGAAAAACCAAGCTTAAAGACAGATCTTGATTATTCATTCAGGATACACATGTCTGAGTGGTTGAGGGGGGAACAGACGTTTTGTTTCTGTAGTAGAATTGCGCTTGATATTCAGAATTGCTGTGGAACAAATTTTTCAGGGTACTGTACATGTGTCTGTGTGGTTGCGGGGGAAACACACATGTTTATAACATGATGTTTCTGCAGTAGACTGCACTCAATATTCAGAATTGCTGTGGAACAGTTGCTAGTTCTCTCACTCACTGTCCCACTGCTTAAAAAGACAACCCTATCATGAGTCAAATACCTAAAAAAAAATGTACTTGTGTATGTTGTAGTCAGTAGAAGTAGAGGACAGACACGTTATTCTAAGCATACATGTACACCTGCACATGCACTCAAAAGTACTGTACAGGTCTATTTTCATAGTTTAGTACTGTACGTTATGAAAATTGCAAAGTAGGGAAATGTATTTTGTCACATTACATTTAAAGACAAGTCCAATATTTGTTAATCTTTAAAGAATTGTTTAGAAAAGCGTATTGCGATTTGTCATTTCAGATGAATGATAGAAATATTAGTAATATTAGTAATCAACTGCAGACTGTTGGTGACAGTGGCTAGTCTTCCTCCATCCTATACATGTACATGCTGCTTGTAAATATTTGTAAATAAACTGTATTATAATGTAAATAGCACTTGAATGGATGTAAATTGCGGTTTACACGCACATAAATGTAGTTTGCAAGAATCTCCAGTCAATTGAAGGAGGCAGACTTACATGTAATCAGAAGAAGAACTTCAATAAAGAAATGGTACTCCCTTTAAACAGAATTTCCAGTTCATACTGTAAGTGAAATGAAAGTGGTCAAACAAACAATGTGTTTGAACTATTGCAAAGTCTGTGACAAAAGATAATCATGTGATGAAATAAAAATCTGATTCCTTTCTTTTTCTTTGCTTTCAAAGTAATAAAGGAAATGGCATAAAAGTATTCTTCTCTTTTCATTTCCTTTTCTTGGAAAACACCAGCTGGGAAATTTTCCCATCCAAATTTAATAATATTCTTCCAAGTCATATCGTATTTCACTTTTATTTCGTACTGGTTGGCATCTCTGCATTCAGCTTTGAAGGAAGATGAATTTACAGTCTAATTTTGTTTGTCTAGTCTGTACATTGTATATGCCCCTATTGCTGTATGATGATTCTTGATGCAAGTTTTGTGTACATTTCCTGTATTTTGAACAGACTGCTGTGCACAGCGGATTCTCAGAGCCAGCGGGCAACCTCAATCATGATCAACACCAGTCATTAGCTTTAAATCTTGCCTCCTCTATGTTTACGGAGCAAACATGCAGAAGTGCTTCGAATCAATAAATCTGCAGACAGTAAATCACCAGGAGGAAATTGGAGAAAGAGAGGGTGGATGAGAGTCCAGGAGTTGCCATGACAACAGTGGATGACATCACTGAGGTCTATCTTCATGTAGAGCTAACGGTGGTCACGATACTTTTTTTTTACAAAGAGAATGATAGAAATGCTTTTTGAGAGCTGTACAAAACCACAATCTTCCCTCCTAACAAATTACATAATAAACATGGGCTACATTCCATGTGTTCCTGTTCAATTACTTCCTTCTAATTCGGGTGTATATGTTCCTTAGATACATTGTGTGGAAATGAAAAGGTCTTCCCAGTCAATGATGACAGTCTATCCATCATCCATTTTACATTTTTTTCCAAACACATTTCCTCTTATATGAACAGGTCCTTCAAGTCAAAGATGTTTGGACAACAAGTCAGCAACTAGTATGTGTAAATCATAAATGTTTTGAGCAGAATTTCTGTATCAAAGAGAACTTTAAAGCATCACAATCCACAGATTCATTGTTATTTTTCATTGTTCATCTTGTGAGAAAAGGCTGCTCTTATCTAGGAATTGCAGAAGAGCAACTAACCTGTATTTACATTCAAATTTTATAGCAAGGAACATACATGTGTATGCATCAATGTCAATTGTGAACTATCCCAGGCCATAAATTAACTGTGTTTCTACATGATTTATCATATAACATTTATTCTTGAATGAACATGCCCTTGCATTCTACATGTAGGAAGATTAGAGAGCAACTACAGTACATGTAGCCTGTGTATATTTACACCATTCAATGTTTTATGAGGGATATCTCTATCAATGAGAACCAGGAACATGATTTTTTTTTTAAATTTATTATTTAAAAAACACATTTTAAAACATAGCATTTTCAATGAGAACTGTACATCCAAAACCATAAATGAAATGTTTTTCTACTTTGTTTCTTTGTATGCACAAGCCAGGTTCCACTCAAGGAGAGTTAGAGAGAAACTACATGTAAGTGTGACCTGTATAATCATTAACTGCTTGTGTGCATCTGTATCAATGAGAACTGTTTACCATCCAAGACCAGCCTCCATTCCTATTAAACAGTGCCAGAGCAATCATATAGATTGGCTCTCCTCGGGTTTCAAGGGCTGCTTATCTCTCTCACAATCATCCATTCTACATTTTATTGCCTCCCTCTCCTTGAATTTCAAATGACAGAGCACTGCCAGCATGTGAATTGTCTTTTTTTTCTTCCAGTAACCCTATTGCTAATTTTGCAGAACAGAGTACTGACAGAACTAAGGAAACAGAGTGATCTTGCTGTTCTTTCTGACAGACAACTACCCCAACAGCATTCACCAAAATCCAATTTGTTAATAAAGAATAGTAAATTTGGATTTATATGGCGCTTAGTCCGGAATACTGTCTCTAAGTGCTCTACAGATATTATTATTACCTCGGTCATCGGATTCATTCAAGCACACATTGTGCACCACTACCACTCCCTGGGGAGTATTCCTACCAATATGGTCACAGTGAGGGCATCTTTTTGACCAAGGTGTAAAATTATTTGTCACCTCTCATTTGTTGCTTAATACCTGTACTCCAGTATGAGAACAACAAAAATCAAAAACATAAAAAAAAGACAGAAAACACTTCATGACATCTAACTTCTAAGAACATCATCTTGCTATTAATCTACTCAACTAAAACAAAATTTGATGAAAATTTAAGGAGGTTCCGGCACACAACCATACTGTACATGGGCTTTAAATCCACATCTACCAGCAGTACATGCCTCAGGCAAGATTCTAACTCATACTGAGTAAATTACTGACCCTACATCAGATGCTTTTTGTTCTAAATCTAATTAGCATTCAATCAGAGTTTCCAAATCTCTTCTATCTATTCAAGAGACTACAGCCCGGAATTTAATTTACCTCATCTGTATGCAACTAACATGCTGATCAAATTCTGATATCTTGTGAGCTATCAAATTGTCGGTTCAAAGCCAAAAGGGCATTAATTCTAAGTCAAAGCATATACTGTACATGTATGCCCTCCTGATCTGTGCTCTTTTATCTATTCAAGAGACTGAAGCCCAGAATTTAATTAACCTCATCTGTATGCAACTAACATGGTGAACAAATTTTGGTATCTTGTAAGCTATCAAATCGTCTGTTCAAAGCCAAAAGGGCATAATTCTATGTCCAAGAATCTAGGCATTTGTGCCCTTCTGATCTGTGCTCTTTTATCTATTCAAGAGACTAAAGCCTGGAATTTAATAAACCTCATCTGTTTGCGACTAACATGCTGAACTAATTCAGATATCTTGTGAACTATCAAATTATCTGCCGAGACCTGAGAGCCAAAAGGGCGTTAAATCTGTGTAAAAGAATATTGTGTGTTAATGCCCTTCTGGCTGTTAGCAGAAAATTGTTCACCTCACCCCAGAACCTCCATGCCATAATGGGATCAAAATTCAGATGGCATCTTTCTGATAATAAATGCATGTATCAGCAATATTTTCTTTGTTCAAGTTCACTTATATAATTTCTTTGTGTTTTAATCAATTAACTCAAACAAAAGGACTTTGACGCTAGTTACAAACACCCATTATAGTGACAAAAACAGCACATAAAAAACTATTTCAACTCTGAAATATATTTTTTCATCTACCTTTTATTCCAAATCCTGAGCCTGAAGAATAAGTTTTTTTTTTTTTTTTTTTTTTTTTTTTTGGGGGGGGGGGGGTCTATGTTTCTCTTCACTTCCATGAGAAAATAGATGGAAAATATTCCAAATTTCTGAGAAACGCCATAAAAACATAGAGACAATAGCAAAAATATACTTTTCACATCTGAATAATGACTAGGGTAATGTCCCTGAATAAAAAAATTAGTGGGCAATTAAAATGAAGACAGATCTTAAGAAAAAATATGTGTTATGCATCGAATGATCAAAATCAAATTAGATTGAATGAGACATATTTGTTAACTTACATCAATGGCTCCACACTTCATTGCCTTCTTTCGGATGGCATCATAATCATCTCCCTGTCCAACATCAGCCTGAAGGAAAGAATGAGAAATATACAGTATATGTACATCATTAAAATAAGCATCATTAAAATAAGTAGGGGTTCCTCCAAATATTCAATATATCACAGGTGAAATTGAAGTTCAAAGATTGTGTTCTCTATTAAATTCATTTAAAAATAAGGAAGGATTTAGAATTCCTGAAAGACTTCACAGTATTCAAGGGTGAAAACACATATGTTCATGCTGCAAAAAAAATACTGACTGAAATTTTGAATATGTCCTTTAACTCCTTTTACAAATATCCATTAGGTTAATGTACAGTGTATATGAATCAAGAAATAAAGCCTACCGAAATCATGATCATTACCAACAAGGCTACTCTCATTGATTAACATGACAGTCAGTTAACTTAAAGTTCAGGTTGGGATAAGATAGAGACATTGCGGACGCACTCGTGGTTACAAAACTTTAGTTTACTCAAAGTTATAAACCACTAGCATCACGATAATGAGCAATGGGGGGGGGGGTGCTCACTTGTGCAGACGCAATTAACTTTGAGGTTACGCCAGCTTAAATGACTGCTAGCCTGGCTTGTAGATTAATCTTAGAATATTTGTTTCAGTCCTATGTAAACCCTCATCATTGTTAGTAGATCAGTGCTTATGACTACTGGTACAAAGTTTCGCAAACTAGAAGTCTAAAACATTGTCAGTCCCGGGTGTACATAGCTATTATCACGCTTACAAGGATACAAGCAAAACTACATCAAAACTTGTAAAAATTTGAAATGCATTTCTTATCAGAAAACATTCACTAGAGCTATACATGTAAGTTAAAAAAAACTTGAACATTTTCTTATTCATCATTTATGACAAGAAAGACATTCAAATAAATCTGATTTTTTTTTTTTTTTTTTTTTTTTTTTTTAAAGCATGTACTACAGTATCTTAAAATGTAATTTTTTCTTACTAGTCCGATTCATCATTTACATGTAAAACACAAAAACATTTAGATTGAACTCAGATACACAGATACAGGAAAGCTGGATAAAGTTTCCCAAAGAAAGAAAAATAATCATACTCTGTATCTATTGTATTCCCTTATCTGTTTGTTATCTCACATCAGCACAATAAATAGGCCTTATTTATATCACACTTCAACATACGTCTTGAAAAGTTGAAAGGAAACATTTGCAGTCATTTGTTTGTTCCCAATTGTAGTTTGCCCTACCAGTAGTGTCTAAGTCAATATTGACATTGTTCACCAAACACAAGTACAATGGTGCAACAAAATACAGATTCAGTAGTAAATAGCTCATTTTGACAAATCAAACAGCAACAAATTGATATGGCTTACTTTGATCTTGCTAAGCTTTTGGAAATTGAAATAGTTTAATAATCATAACAGAATGGGTAATGAACTGGAAAGAGGCCCTGTGATTGAACACTATTTTGCACAGTATGTATTACATGTAAATGTACATATACTTTTATATACATTTATATACTTTGAGCCAAAAAAAGGGTTCAAGAGGCTATGAAATATGGAACCAATTTATTATGATAAATACCTTTGCATTTGTAGTAAATGATACTTAAAGAAAAATATAGTCAGTATGTCAAGTTGTACACATACAGTATGATAGGGGGATGATTAAAAACAAAGTAAAATAGTACTGGAGTATGCATAAGAAGCCCTAGTAGAATGATAGTCATCAAGCAAAAGTAAGCAAATCATTGTAAATCTTTGCTAGATTTTGGTGTTTCTGTTAACTAGTGAGGTATGATTGTTCATCCTCTCTCCATCATCAACCATTATCATCATAGCCAAGGGGGCAAGGGATCTAACCCTCTTCCCCCTCCATTCATCCACTAAATTTATTTTTTTCAACAATAATTTGTATTTGTTCGGTAAAATTGATGCTTCTCAGCACGTCAACTGGTATGAGGTCCATCCTGTTTACGGTTAGACTTCATGCATTGTAGGAGTGGGGTCAAGATCTTACCCCTACCCAATCAGTGCCCCCCCCCCCCCCCCCCCGCCCCACTAGTTCTTGATACACTCATGCTGGAATATGGAGGTACTCACTGTATAAGCCACAACATCATAGCCCTCTTCAATAAGCCACACCAGGATACAAGAAGTATCTAATCCACCGCTATAGGCTAGGACCACCTTCCCCTTCTTGCCTCCGTTCTGTGCTCGTTTGCTTGGAGATTCAGCCATCTTGTTTTGGGGTTTAGAGTGAATCCTAGAAGTTGCTTGCAAAGGCTCTGCTACAGACTGCAACAAGTAGATCTACTGACTGTATCTGAGAAGGAAATGGGAACCATTATTCATAGTCGACTCAACTAATGTCTGAGATACATATTCTACATCATAATATAGACCTACCTGTTATGTTTCACCAGAAAGCCAAAGATTTAATCAGACACATATTAATGTGGCCTATAAAATAAGAATAAGTGATATCAAGAAGTCAATGAGAAAACAAAAACTGTTGTCTTTCAAATCTCATAAATCAGGAAAAGAACACCTTCATGAATGGGGGGGGGGGGGGGGGGCGCCGAGGCTGCGTCATCTTGAATAGACATTTTCTGAAAGATTCGAAGATCATTTCCATTTTTTAAAAAAACCTCTGAATCTTTTTTAAAAGTCATTGAATTTTTAAAAAAACATGGTCAAGTCATCCCTAGACAGAACTTTGTCAGATTTTCACTCCCTCGCCTTGCGGCTTGGGATGATAGTAGCCCAGAGATCACTGAGGCAATGATAGTTTGTATCCATTGCCCAAGTATTAAAGGAGGTTAGTATTTGTTTTATGTCCGACATCGGCAATAAGATCTTATTTAAACTTTTTAAAGTGAATTTTACATAGGTCTAGGGTCTAATTTATAAAATATATATATATATTTTGCTCACGGCGTTCTGATTCTGCAGACAGTTTTAATAGCTTTAGATATCAAGAGTCTATATCCTCACAGTACTATTTTTACAGTCAAAACATTTTCAAATATCCAAAGCTTTTCATGCAGGTTGCAGTAGATCTATCAAAAAGTGTACATACTGTAGATCTAGTCAGATAGTGCAAGATGGAGATATTGCTCCTACAATTAGCATTGCTCAACCGAGTGAGATCAAAGAGATATCTCTTTGGTGAGATGCAGAGCGCCAACAATGCGCAAGCCAGCTCACTTCTTCTCTCATTGCACTGCATCAGGCCGTGTGCAGGTACATGTAGGCCTACAGGGAGGAAGCTCCTACTCGACCCCGATCCCGAAGCGAAGAAGCTCCCTGGAGTTTGTGTGCATGCTGCACTGCTACTCATCTTTTGTTTTGGTATAGCTGTATTTATTACCACTCTTCAAATTTGACGTTTACCGTAAGTTGTTTTACCGTAGATAAATCGTACCGGTATCTTTTGATTATCTTAACAGATAATTAGCAGTAGGCGAAAGTGAATAATCCATGATCTACTTACCGGTATCTGTGATAATTCCACACACCTCCTGATTTCGTGCGATCTGCCTCGCCGCTGCCAGACTAATGATGCAATATGTGTACTGGCGCGGGTGAAGCTTTTCTTCACACACCTAATCGGAGATGAAGGTAGCCCATCCAATGTGTAAAAAATGCCAATTTGATAAGTGTAAGGATCGCTTTGTGTACACGTACAACCGCTATACTACACACACGCAATATATTCTTTGTGTATTGTATCCATCAGGCATGATCAGTGCAACGATGGCTGGCTACCAATTAAAATAGGCATGGTGGTCGGATATAATGAGAGTAGATGATGGAGGGGGGGGGGGGGTAAAGCGCAGTACTTAGGGGCAAATCAAAGAATTATACTAAATAGACCTCACCTCATGTATGTTAGAAATTAAAAAGTTATTATCTTCTTTTGAATTGCAATATATCCCCGCACCATAATTATAAGTCATGCATGAATGTTATATATCATATGTTATATATTTGAAAGGTGGTAATGATTCAAGCTCTATTTGCTTATGTTTCATAACCTTTGTGTGTTCTTTCTTCAAACTGTATATTAGTTGCAACATGTCTTTGATAAATCATTGTTATATTCTTTTTCATGTGAAGTCAATTCAAATGGATTGTAAAATTGAAATGATTTGTTATATTATATTCATTTTTCATGTGATGTTAACTTCAATGAATTGTGAAATTGTGAACATGCATGCATGCATAAATAAATAAATATGCCTTTTCTCTGGGAAAAGGGGTATTGACTCTTTAAATACCAAATCACATAAACTATTCACCATTATGTCACCGTCATGTACATATTTTCTATGGATATCATTTTCACGATCTCAACTCTTTACCACATCAGCGTCATGTACATTGTCGATGGATAAAGTGGAATATTTATTCTTCACCACCCTACGCTAACTTTTCACCACCCTAGCATCATGTACATTGTCTATGGATTAACTCTTCACCACCCTACGCTAACTTTTCACCACCCTAGCGCCATATGTACATTGTCTATGGATAAACTGGAATATTAACTCTTCACCACCCTACGCTAACTTTTCACCACCCTAGCATCATGTACATTGTCGATGGATAAACTGGAAAATTAACTCTTCACCACCCTACGCTAACTTTTCACCACCCTAGCATCATGTACATTGTCTATGGATTAACTCTTCACCACCCTACGCTAACTTTTCACCACCCTAGCGCCATATGTACATTGTCTATGGATAAACTGGAATATTAACTCTTCACCACCCTACGCTAACTTTTCACCACCCTAGCGTCATGTACATTGTCGATGGATAAACTGGAAAATTAACTCTTCACCACCCTACGCTAACTTTTCACCACCCTAGCGCCATATGTACATTGTCTATGGATAAACTGGAATATTAATTCTTCACCACCCTACGCTAACTTTTCACCACCCTAGCGTCATGTACATTGTCGATGGATAAACTGGAAAATTAACTCTTCACCACCCTACGCTAACTTTTCACCACCCTAGCGCCATGTACATTGTCTATGCACTGCAAAAACAGTGGTGTTAAATTCAACACCATAGGTGTTAATATTAACACCATTCCGGTATCTATATCGGAAAACACCAGTTGGTGTTATTTAACACCAAGGTCTGGATTTGAATGATTCAATTCTACTCTTGGTGTTGCAATTCAATTCTATTTTTGGTGTTAATATAAAATCCTACACCATTTTCTGGTGTAACAATGAATCTGATTTCTGGTGTTATTTAACACCACCGCCTGGAATGAAATAATTTTAATTCTACTCTTGGTGTTGCACTTCAATTCTATTGTTGGTGTTATTTTACACCAATTCTAGAATTAAATAGTATAATTCTGCTCTTGGTGTTGCAATCCAATTCTATTTATGGTGTTAATATAAAATCCAGCACCATTCTTCGGTGTTGCAATAAATCCTATTTTTGGTGTTATATAACACTAAAGGTCTACTACTTTTCTACTCTTGGTATTGCAATTCAATGCTAGTCTCAGTGTTTAAAAAACTCAACACACCATTCTTTCAACACCAACAATTCATTCCAGCTCACTCCATCTTAACACATGCACAGAAAATATTCAAATACACACAAGAAGTGAAAAGAAACAATTTTTTTTCGTAAACAAAAACACATGGTGCTTGTTTAATCAATAAATTAAACAACTTGTTTTCATTCATGTTGAAATCAATGATGCTTAGCGTTTTTATCTTGTATGGTTCAACATTAAATCCTTTTGTCATGTATTCAAAATCTGTGACTCATTTGTCTGAATACAACAAAACACACTTTTTTAAATCATTCAAAATCTGTTATTATGAATCCACCCTTATAAGTAAAAAAAAAAAGGATGAAACAAGTAACTAAAAATCATTCAAAATCTGTTATTATGAATCCACCCTTATAAGTAAAAAAAAAAAAGGATGAAACAAGTAACTAAAAATTTTCCAATATAAAAACTTTAAACAATGTCATAATTCCTTTCAAGGAATGAAAAATCAAAGTCGTTTCTAATAAATAGAAACTAAACAGGATGCAAAATGCATGTATAAATGAAGACAAAACAAAAAAAACAACAAACATTATGCTTCTACATCAGAGTGAATTATGTAGCTAATAAGAATTTTGACACATTTCACCTTGAATCCTAGTACATGCATGCTGAAGGAAAATATCACAGAATCTTTTTCATATGAAATATACAGAGTGCCCCCCCCCAAAAAAAAAAAACCTTGGAAACTGCTAGTATAATCTGCAGGCAGACTCTCGGCTTCGGTTTTTCGCAAGTTTCGTAGTGCATATTTCAGAGTCTGCAGTCAGAGACTACTTTCACTCATATCATGATCCCTTAAAGGGAGCATAACTGTATGTGTATATGTAGTCTCTAAATGCAGACTCTACATCGTGCACTATGCAAATTGCAAAACCGAAGCCAATGGTCTGTGCCCGCAGACTAATTATAGTATGACTTTAATTTCTTATGCTAGAACAATAGCAACACTAACAAATCTCATCCAGCAGTTTTGTTGAACAAGATTTTTTTACCACAGGCCTGCAACCATTGAGATTCAGGATGATTTAATTATTTCAGGGGATTTTTATCTCCTAGCTTCACTGCTTGTAAAGGGTTAAACAAATGTTTCAAAAACATTGAAAAAACACTATAAATTCTACATTCATTCTAATATAGGTGAACATTCTTTTACAGCTTTCTGTTTACAAACATATTCCATTTTACATCGTGCACTATGCAAATTGCAAAACCGAAGCCAATGGTCTGTGCTCGCAGACTAATTATAGTAAGGCTTTTTAATGTCTTATGCTAGGAAGCAGCCTTCAAGAACAATAGCAAAACTAACAAATCTTATCCAGCAGTTTTGTTTAACAAGATTTTTTTTTACCACAGGCCTGCAACCATTGAGATTCAGGATGATTTAATTATTTCAGGGGATTTTTATCTCCTTCACTGCTTGTAAAGGGTTAAACAAATGTTTCAAAAACATTAAAAAAACACTATAAATTCCACATTCATTCTAATATAGGTGAACATTCTTTTACAGCTTTCTGTTTACAAACATGTATTTCCCATTTTACTCCTGGGAGAAAAAATCAAAAAGTAAAATTATGCATTTCTATATCAACTAATTCGCTGCTCGTTTTTCCAACAGGATATAAACAACAACAACAAAAATCAGTCCATGCACTTCTAGTTCACTGGCTTTCATGCACAAACATCATAGAATTGTTTTTCTTGTAAGAAAAAAAAAGAAAATATACAACAGCTATTTGACTTCAATTTGGTTTCGAATTAACCAATTTAAAGATGTTAACAATTAAGAGTCCAAAATATTATTGATCAAAATTATTTTTAAAACCAATTGATACCACTAAGCAAAACCAGACATTAGCTTGAAAGCTTTAAATTACTTAAAAAGTACATGCCTTGGTGCTACATACTTCCTCGAGTCTGTCTTCGACAAAGTTGTCATCAAATCTAGTGGTTTGTAGTCAACAAGTTCCTTTTGATTCTTCACTACATGACAACGTGGAAAACTAAATTCTACTGCATAGGCATGATAGTGTGAATTGTAATACACTGTATCTAATTGGACAAGTACAAAAAATACAGTGCTATTGTGTACAATGATATGCTCTATTTGACCAAACAGAGGAAGCTCGCTAACATCATGGCAGACCAGAAGTGACAACTGATAATGTGTTCCATGTACTTTAACCCAGTTGGCATCAAATAATTCAGTAGAAAGATCCTCTACTTGGATTTGCTCTTGCACAATCTGTCCAATATTTTCATCTAAATCTGACAAAAGTAGTGAACTACCTGGCCCAACCTCCAGATATTCCAAAGGATGGTTTGACTGAAGATGGAACGTTAGTGCTGTCTGATGTTTTTTGGCAAGTGATTTACAAATGTTTTTGTAATTACGCACAGATTCTGCAACACGGCCAAAATAGTGATGTTTCGCTTCGTACCTCATACACCATACATGTATGAGTGGCCCAACTTCTCTCAAACACGTTGGATAATGCACCATAAAGTGGTGTTTTGGCAACAACCTTCTGTCAGGAAAGGTTTTCTGGAAATGTGTGTGATGTTCTTCAGTAAGAATAGACAATTGGGCTATCAAGCCTGCTGTCAATTGAGGAGCAAAAATAATGTCCATACAATCTAGTAATCTAAGTAGCAATTCCCAGTAGACATTTCCTTCTTCAATGTCTTGAGCAATTATGAATGGCAGATTTCGAATCAAGCACCATGCTTGCATAGCCTTCTGTCCAACATCATTCCTAGCTGACCTAAGTTTAATAAAGGATGGTTTGTTCTTGTTATCTGTACGGTTTAAGCAATGGCTGGCGACTCTCTGATTCAGTTCATCTTGGGACAAGAGGGGCGGTTGCCTTTCATATATGAAATACTCTAGAACAAGTTTCAGCTCATACTGAACTATGCCTTCCAAAAGATCATGCATTATATCTAGTGAAAAGTTTGCCAAGACATGAAAGTAAATACAATCATTCAATACAGTCTTTTGTTTCACTCCAAACACATGTGACTGGGTAGTTTGAGCTTCAGCTTCTTCTAAATGTTGCTCATAAGTCTGCCTGGTGCGCATATCCATTGAAACCTCTTTGAATTTGTTCTGTGCCTCTTCCTTACTTGTAACACATAATCGACAGTAATAATGAGCAGAAAAGCTCTCTACAAATCCCAGTAGGGAATTAGCACCAAGATTATCAGCACTTATTTGAGTAATGGTCCCCTTCTTCACAATTCCATTAGGGAGAGCAATGCCAACTGTTGACAGGATATTAATGTCTTTTACAATGTGCTTGAGAATAGCATTAAATCCATATTTCTTGGCATCTTCAGCATACCATAGAGCTATAAGATTGATATTGGAAAGATTGGAATTATACTTTGGTGGCAGATTTTTCAAAATGAAATATAAAGCACCTATCTTGTGAATTTTTGTTTTTGAACCAATGGGGTTCACAGTCTCGAAATCATCATAAAAACAGTGAATTTGGAGGGCATTCTCATCTTCATGGAAAAGAGGGGTTTTCTCAAATTGTGAACCATCACAATAATCTCTCATTACACCATCTGTGCTCTTATGGTCATGAGTAGCAAAATGCAATATATCTTTATTGCTTAAAAGCTGCTTCAAAGAATCTAAAATGGGAACGTAAACAAATGTATCTTCAATAGCAATCTGTTCATACTGCTTAGTTCTTTTATTGAGACGACTATCATATCGGATGCCTAACTTGATTTCTTGTGGTTCAACAAGTCCAATTGATTCACAATACTTTGTCCGCTTATATTCTGAATTCAAATTTTCAAAGGGCTTTTCAAGCATAGCAAAATGTGTTTGAATCTCCTTATAAGCCTCGGATTCTATAGGCAGCTTATGTTTTAAGAAAGCAGCTGTAACGGCTGCCGATGCACTTTTTACTACATCACCTACAATCGCACTGGTTGTTTCTACTACATCATTTACAACTTTTCCAGAGTTTGCACTATTTGCTGAAAATTTTGAAATTACATTTACACACTGCCTGTTCAAGGTATCTACAGATAAAATGTCATCTTCATATACATCCTGATCTTCAACAATCTCATCATTATTAATATTGTATTCTTGAAGACTTTCAAGACTTTCTTCAGGAAAGTCACTCACTTTATCATTTTCATTAGACTGCTCTTTATTATCTGGAAAATCGGTTTTAAGGTGAGTCTGCAAATGTCCCCGAAATCCTCGAAAAGTATGAAATGTTCTCGCACAAGCTCCCTGCCCACAGGTCAATACTTCTTTACCATCTTCAATAACTCCATGTTTCAATCTCAAATGTTGAACCAATTTGGGTATTGCAAACTGTTTGTGGCATTTGAAGCAAATCATGGTGCTAACAATTTCGATCTAATTTCACGTACTCTTGGTGTTTCCCGGGACACTCCGATATCGATTTCAAAAATGGCAGTCTGGACAAAAGTCCAGAACTGCCGCAGAGACAAGCAGTACTGCAGGCCAAAGACAAAGTGGGTCTTGAAGAGTAAATCTACTGCTGCTTCGACCGTGCGTGCCGAACATGGAATGGCCTTGTGATCCACAATGATCATGTAGTTGGTGATTCGGGCCTTGGAATTGCCAATTGCCAGAAGGAACGGTTGACTCTTGGTCTCTTTTGTGTTGTCGAGGAATGCTTGAATACTCCCTCCTGTCTGTGTTGAAAACAAATTATTTGTATAGAATGTAACTAGCACTCAACGCATTTCAATACTCAACGCATTTCAATGAACAACATATTTCGATCAACATTTTTAAAAGACAGCCTTACATGTAGTACTGGGGGAAATTGTGTTTTTACAAAAGGGTTATTGGACAATAATGTAGGACATAAAACCAAATCAAATTTACATCAAAGAAAAGAATTGGAATTGGTCCATCAAATGATATAACATCAAAATATCAGATGATATTTTTTGTAATGAAATACAATTTTTCTTACCCTGTAGAGGGGTAAAAATGCAAGTACTTTCAAAGCTTGTTTTATGTATATGATTAAAAAGGGTCTTTCTAATGTGGTCAAGACATTTCAACTTCCACAAAAGGAGTACGAAAAATAAAGATACTGCAATTTCTGCACTATTATTAACTTGCAGCAAATTTGTGGCATGAAATATTCCTTTTCATTTATTGATTCTCCATGTAGGGCTGTGAAAATCAAAGGCAACATGCCTGATATATCACACAAGTTGTTACTATGTTTTCATACACAACATGTTCCTAGTATTTGTTTGCAAATCTTGATGTCTACTGTTCTAGTTTATTTTACTCCGACCAATTTCAAGGCGGGTGAAGTTTTTGAATAGGCCTAAATTTCTCGAGCACCTTCTCTGTCCAAATCAGTCTAAGCCTCTTCATGTAAGAGATCATAAACCAATATAATTGTTCTCTTTGAACACACATCACGATGCTTTCTGAAACTTTTTTTTTAATGCAGCAAGAATGTGTTTTATGTGACAGGGTATTACCGGTACTTAATATTTACAGTTCTCTTTCGTAATGAAAAGCTAAATACCTTCTGAAATTGAATAACCCTCGAGAGAGCTGAAGAAATGGACACTTTTGCTGACGCAGCTTTGGACTTCCCTTGGCTTGCAGGAGGCAATTAATAGGCACAAGAGGAGGAGGATAGCAGATGTGCTGGAATTCCATCCTGTGCATTACAAAATGAAAATGGTTATTATTAAACAGGCTTACATGTTGATCAAGGTGAAAAATAGAAGTTAAATGTACCAAAATAATTACAAACTGACCTGCTAAAATTTGAATCAAAATAGCCTGTAACAAGAAACTATTATAAGAAATAAGTATATAGTCGAGGACTTATCAATATTATAGCCAAAGCATGCAAGTGGCTGTTAATGCAGTTTAGGGGTACTAAACCAAAAATCCAATTGATGCCAGCTTGGCACCCTTGGAGAAATTTTACTGACACTTATAGCAACGCCTTCTTCTTCTTTCTTATGAGAATTTATACAAAGGGGGATGGGAAAAAAGAAATCAATAGGAAAATAATAAACGGGATATTTATGCATGGGAGAAGGCAACATTCATGGCAAAGCACCTAACCTAGATTGTTCTCTGTTGACACATATATAACAAACTCTTTAGTAGCATAAGTTCATGTTTTTTTTTTTACAATTTTTTTCTTGTTCTACTGAATTTAACATGCTTCTACCCAATTTGACATCCTTTTCATGATTAAATCACAAAAATTGCATCAATACTGGAATCAAATGTTGCAATTAACAATTTATCAAATATGTCCCCTATGGGCCACCATATTTTTCAAAGTTAACTAATGAAGAAAAACAAAAATATCATGATTTTCTGAATTCTAAAGCATTTATCTTCAAATAAAGACAGAGTAAACACAAGCAAGCTGCTAATATGTAAATGCAGGGTCCTGTGGGGTCGATTCAAGTTCATATTATAAGATAATAAGCCATGCATATCATATCTGAGGAAGAAAAATAACAAAGTGAACATAAACATGATGCTTTGTTTCAAAACAGAAGCTCATTCTATTTCAAAAGTAATGATTGGCAATGTGATAATCCTTATAAAGATTCCACAATGGGCCATGCAACAAACTTTTTTCTTCATAATTATATAAATTTCTTCTTCATAATTATATAATTAATATAATAAAAGAATTATGGAGAGCATGTTCCAACTACAAATAACTTTGCCAAGTGGGCATGTAATGTAATTTTTTGTAATTCTCATTGCAACAAGAGTCCACATTATTTGAGATGCCCAATAACCCTACTGTATCCCAGCCTTCCAGATAAATATAATTTGTTGGAGGAGTTGACAAAAAAAAGGGGGGGGGGGGAATTGTTTTAATTGGGATGGGTCATTTTTTGTGATTTCAGCATACTTGTCCCTTAATATACATTTTTAATGAGACTGCAAGCTCTTTGGTGGAATTCTCAATGGTGGTTTAAGACCAAGGTCTAAACTTGGTTCAAAACCATGGATTGGATTAGATTTGCATGTATTCTAAAACTTGTCCAATGAACATGCTTGTGTGAAGCACATATATGCTCAAATTTAAACTAACCTATCAATGGTTTATCCATGGTCTCAAATAAACCACCATCAAGAATTCCACCCTTTATGACATCGGAGGGTGCATTCAAGGGAATGTGCAAAAATACCTTCTTTATTTTGATCAGAACTGTCATAAGATGACAGAAGCTCCATCACTGTCAAGTTTCCTTTCTGCTTCAGAAGTTGTCTTGCAAGTGTAACAACCTTGGGCTTCAACTCGGGCCATTTGGTCAGGAAACGCGAGTGATTTTCAGGAAAAAGTTTCCGAAAATCTACCTCAATCTGCAAGAATACATGTAAAAGGAAAACGGGGAAAAGAGAGAAAAAATAAACTATGCATAATTTTACAGTACAGATACCCCAGTTAGACTAAATCAGCAATATAATAAGGTACCGTCAAAGCTCAGACCCCCATATATACACACCCCAGATCCAGGAAAAGGGGATTCTTCAAATATTTATCTGAATAGCAACCACTAAGAAGTACTTTTGAAGGTCTCTCTACACAAAATCCATACATGAATGAAACTTGCTGGACCTTTGAAATAGATTAGATTTGCTAGATATCACTCATGTTGATGCTCACTGTCCAAAGGTACATGACAACCAGTAATGGTGATTGTTCACCAACAGACAGTCACATGCGGTAAATACAGATACAGATTGAAGGATAAAACTGGCAGAATCTTCGGACTGATATTTTCAAAATCTCAAACATATATAATAAAACAGAGAAATATGAATTTGATGCCTCAGTGCCAAGTAATAATTCTGATGCTTTAATTCCCATACACATAATTTTGTTGCCTTAGGCCTGAGAGGCTAAATCAAGAATTAGGAGTAAATTTTTTTGTAACACTTACCAAACCTGGAACAGTTTCAAAAGGAAACTGTTCCAAAATATCCGATGCGGAGCGTCCGTCCCTGACCATATGCTGTCTAACAGGAAAAGTGGATTTCATCTTTTCAACAACCAGGGTAGAATCACGTTCTAATGTTGGACAGTGTCGTAACCAGTTGAGGTCTTCATCATAGGTGCAGCCTGGAGCAGATTCTTGGTCACCTTCTCGGACCTTCCCAGGACCACCATCTCTGCTTGATGGCTTGGGTAATGGGTTGGATGTCTTCTCCTCTGTTGTGCGGTTAACATTTTTTATTCTAGCAGCCAGGAATCCCGTGTTACTTCTTGCATCAAAATAAGCTTCCTAAAGTGAAAGAACGAGATGAATCTTTGACCGCGTGGTTGAAAATGTATGTATAAGCTTTTTGTTGATAATATTAACCTTGAAATGATGCACAAAATGATGTGATGAGAAATTGTAGTTTTCAAAGAAATTTTAGCAAAGTAGCATTAGTGTCATATAATGCAAGCATCTTGACTTTGATACAAGGAAGCAGCAGCCATCACTCTGCCCCACTTCAAGAAAAAAAGAGTTTTGAGTGGTTGTGAAGGAGAGTAGAATGGTATCATACATTTCTTATTGGATATTGTGCCAAAGATGGTGGAGTGTGACCTACACAAGATAAAATTTTAAAAAAAAAATTCTTCTCAGAATATAATTTAGAGAGATTTTGAGGGTATTTTTATCTTATCAGAGTATCATAAGTTTTCTTTTGATTAATGGAATGCAATACCTTCTTATCAGAGAGGACCATGCAGGGCCCATATTCAATTAAATACTTCAGTCAGAAAAATAAATATTTTTTCTTAGATTTTTGCTCGGATAAAATACTTTGCAGATTTTGGTATTCAATTCATAAATTTGGCTAAGTATTTTACTTTAAATTTAAGACACCTCTAGAGGAGACTTAAGCCAAAGCATTTACAAATTTAACTGGTAGATGAAGGCTTACATGTATGTGCGCAGTCACTCTCAGCTGCGGAGAATTATGAAGTAGCGCATTTTTGGTGCAATGTGTTGATTGCGCATCATTTGGTCACAAAATCGTGATGTCACAATGCCTCTCAATAAGTATTTTACTTAAATTTTGACTTACTAAAGTAAAATGCTAAGAACTGAATTGAATACAAAATAAGTAAATACCTTAGCCAAAATACTTAGTAAAAAAACTTACTTAGTCAAAGTATTTATTTGAATATGGGCCCAGATTATAATACTTACATGACCTGTGCTAGTAAACGGATCCTTGAGTCTTGGAAACAGATTCACTATCCCCATGGCATATTTGGTTTTCATAGCTGCTTTTGGATGTTTGCTGTGAAATAAGAAAGCACATCTCCTGTATGAGAATTACAGTCATATGGACTCATGACTGGCTCTATTAAAACAGAACTTAGTATGTTGATAACAAGTAGCATACCCCTAGTGGTCTCGTCTGCATCATATAATTTGCTATAGTTTAGTATTTTTTTATTACTTTAAAATCTCAAAATATCACATGGTTAGTTCATAATACATTTATAAAGTGAGGCCTCATGACGATGAGGCCGCTAACATCTACGGCATTAATCTATTTTAACGTAATGACCCAAAAATGTCACTCACAAGACTGGTAATACCTGATAACCATCATGTGCAAATCACATTTAAAACTAGATGAATCTTCGACCACGCACGGTCAAAATTTAAGCCTCTGCCATCATGCGATCAGAAAGATATTATTGCTTGTTCCATGCCATTGGAAATCCGAAACATTTTGGGTGATTTTACAAATTTTGGGCACTATGAACTTTGACCCCGTGAACCCAAAATCTTCTTCCTCCCATGCTAATACATAATTGAGCTAGGTTTGAAAGAAATTAGTTCAATTTGTCTGAAGTTATAGCAATATCGAGCTTTTTTCGGGTAATTTTTTACAATTTTTGTTTGGCCCTGTGACCTTTGCCCTTTGACCCCCTAAACCCCAAATCTAATCAGTTCATCCTCACATGTATATAAATACTTGTGTCAAGTTTGGTAAAAATCCGTCCAGTAGTTCTGAAGTTATCGTGGTAACAAGTTTCCGACGGACGGACGCACGGACGGACACACGGACGCACGGACGGAAGGACGGACGGACAACCCCGAAAACATAATGCCTCCGGCACCACCTGACGGTGGCGGAGGCATAAAAAATGAATATTTTGAAAAATGATTTTGAAGAGACAACAAATTCCTTTAAAGTTGACCATGTTACCTCAGTTTCTTTTCACATAATTGGTAGTACCTGATAATTATTATGTGCATTTACACAATCATAAAAGAAAATTTGCTGGCACTTACCCATAGTGTTCTTGCATGTGGGCTACCAAAAGGTTAATCATCTGCCGTCTAGTTTTATCTTGAAGTGCTCCAGTCAATTCATACTCTCGGAGAATGGCATCACCTCTGTGCCGCAAAATTTCTTGTACAAACTGCAAACAGGTAAATCATCCCATTAAGTCATAAATAAACATATTGAGTTTATAATGCACTTTCAGGCACTTTAATTCATACTGACCTTTCTAAGGGCACGAAATTTTATGAATGACTATGAATTTATATAGGTACATTATGATATTAAAATTGATATATGGCCAATAATCATAAATTCTAAATAATAATATATTTATTTATAGAGCTTGAAATAGTTTAAATATTGTTAAATACACACTCCCACAAACACCCCAAACACACATATGCACACACGCACATACACACACACGAGGGGACACATGAGGCTACAGGTAAATTTGTGTTTATTGTAATGCGAGTTCCTTCTACTTAATATAGACATGCAAGCCCAATGCCATGGGGAGACCGTCTAAAGTGCCCTGAACAGTGTTCATTACTTTCATATCCACAAACAATACAGCAGGAAACTATTCTATGTTTGGGATCATCATGAACACTACAATAAAGGTTATGTAACAATCGATGCATCTCATCTTCAACTTTTTAATTTTGATATTAGTCCTTTTCCTTGATACCCTCAGAGGTCTATATGGAACCAGATCATGAGATGTATTATTCGATGATTATTTACCTCATTTCTCTTTCCCATTTCTAAAACATTTCATAAAATTTGGCAATTCAATTTAAACCTCTAGACATAATATCATTTGTTTGAAATCATACCACCCATTGGAAGAAAATGAAACTGTAAAAGTTTATGGAAAACTTATGACAGATGACGAAGCAAAAAAGATGGCCAATATCTTACAGGAGTCGTCAGCTTAGATGTACCAAAAAAGAAATCAAATTAGTTGCCTAATGTTAACCTATACCATTACAAAAACCTTACTACAGGAAATATTAATTTACAATGTTAGTTCTAACTACACTAGATGTATTTTTTTTCTCCCAATATCATTTTCAATTTTAAATAATATGAAATCCGTATAGGTGATGAGTCCCTTATATTATGTTGATTATGATAGCTGAGATTGAAATGAAGCAAACAATTTTTTCTTAACCTTACCTCACAAGAGTTGTCAGTGATTGCACCTGATTCACTGAGGGCATTTAATCGTGGCCTCTTTCTACTGGAGCAAAAACTTGAATCAGATTCTGAGCTACTCAGGGAAGAGGAGCTGGTATCCACCTTGATAGTGTCTGCACTTGTGATGCTATGTACATCTGAACCTTTAATAAAGAAAAAAAGATATAAAGCCATGAGCACTGTTAAAAAACAATGAATACTGGCATCTTAAACTTTGGTAGAATTGAATACAGTTGGGCCTCCTTTATCCCCACACTTGGGATCAGCACTAACATGCATAAGGGAATCCTATATTCAAAACATGCAGTTGCCGAGTTTGAATGAATGCATGTTTCTGATCATGAAAAATTGAATTGAATGTGTAATAACAATGTTGGGAATAATGTATATAAGTAACCCAAATAGTTTGCGATATTACGAGTATGCTTGAAATCTTTGTTGGTTCCGCTAATTATTTGAGTAAAATAGGCAAATTCTCAAGTGATCTGGATAAAGGAGACTGGATAAGGGAGGTCCAACTGCATATAAATTTCTATTAGTCTAAAACCATCAGAAACCAGCTAAGTTATATTGGTCTGACACATTTGTTAATTTTATAATACTTGAGCATTTTTTAATGGACAATTTGTTAATTGATGCATTCATTCATGTCTAAGTGAATTATAATACTAGCATTTAGAAATGTTCAATTACTTTTCCATTGGACTGTTCCCAATGAAACCAATAGGTCTGTCCAATATAATCCAACAGAATTCTTTCATGATGGTTTTCTATAAGTATAAGACTAACAGAAAGAAATTGTTGGATTCCTATTATTGGATCAGCAAAAATTTTCTGATGGATTTCTAATGGACCAACAGAAGTATGTGTTGGATTTCTATTGGAGCAATATAACCTTTCTGCTGGTTTCTATGGGTCCTTTATTTCCCTTTCCCTATTGAAACCATTAAACTTATTGGTTTCTATGGGTCCAATAGCCCTCACCTCGTGCTATCACACAAAGCAAACAGAATCAAAATCAGATGAGAAATGGCATAGGAGTGGCCTTTTGTAGGATTTTGAAGCAAAAGGTCAAAGATCATACACAGACACGCACAGAAACACACAAGTATGGCGCCCGTTTCACAGTCCCCTCCTCAAATTTGTTCGGTGGGGTCACAATTTAAATTAAAGACATTTTTTTTTTAAATGCAAGTTTGCATTGTTAAAAAATTCAATTTGTAAGAATCTGTAATTTTTATAATCTTTAGACTTCGAATTTAGATCATTGACCGCCCACAAATCACGGCTCTTGTGGCAAGGTTACGTCATCAAAAAAGGGTAGGTTTTTTTTTCCTCCACCAAGTTTTGAGACCTGTGCCTGTAATTTGAACTGCACATTCATTTATTGCTTATGAAAAGCAAAATGTTAATTCCCTAGACTCTATACAGCATACAAGCCTACACTGTACAGACGAACGCTGACTCATTTTAACATGCATGCACATACAATGATCAGTGGCGGATCCAGCAGGGGGCGCACCCGGCATGTGCCCCCTCTATATTTTGAGAATTACCTCGTGAACATACACATTACTAAGGTTAAATTGTGATCTGCGCCCCCTCTTTATTTTTAATATGCTCTTTGCACCCCTCTAACTCTATTTTAAAATCCTGAATCCGCTACTGATGATATCACATTTAGCAGGGATTTGCAATTTTGTATTATAATGCACTTTATCCAAAACTTACCAGACCATTCTTCATCTTCTTTTAGCACCATGAGGCTGACTGTGGGATTGCTGGTCACCACATCTCCTAGTACGTCATCGTCTATACCAAACCCTTCTTGTTCATCCACAAGTACGAGATCTTCCCCATCCCTTATGTGGAATTTTCTTCTGACTGTAGGAGAGATTAAATAAATGAGAATAAATATCACAGTGCACTTTTCAGTTTCTTACAGATTGATGGCTCAGTCATAATAAACGAATGCTGCAAAAACTGCTGCTACAAGCCCAACTGTGCTATAGTATACAAATAACGCACGTCCCAGAGTGCAATAGCGGTGAATGCAGTACGCGCGAGGTTTCTTTATATTGGTGCCGCTCTGTGCAACAAGCCGCTTGCGGCGAGTTGACAGTGCGAACCATCTGAAGAAACCGAGCGAACACTGCATTTACGTTTCGCACAACAGGGTCAAGTGCGTTATTTGTTTTATAAAATAGCGACACAAACAGCAACAAACAAAAGTTTAGATCTTAAGTATACGAGAGTTCGATCTAGATCTAGAGTTATGTTGGTTCTAGAAATAAAATGAGGGTCTAAGACCTTGCAGGCTTACCAAAAAGTCTACAGGATTCATTGTTTGATTAAAAATAAAATGCATAGGGTGTCTAGAGACGAGTCTACATCAGACAGCTGAAATTCCTGGCTTCATTATAAAATCCAAAAGTCAAAACGGGTCTAAATCCAAGGCAAAAGTAAAACAAAAATTTGCTTTCTAATAATACCCCGCTCTAGCTAGAGCTAACGCGTACGCTGCGCTGGGGATCATGGTGGATCTTGGAGCGTACAATATTAGCTACGCGTAGCCTATAGCCTACAATGCACTCGAGGGAGCGTACTAGTACTACGCGTACGCGCGCGCACTGGATCCCCATGGTCACGCGTACGCACCGTGCAATATAACTTTTTACTGCGCTTTTTCTGCACTCATTTCTGCAAAATCGTGCTTGCATCAAAAATTTGTCAATGCCATGTGACGCGTATTGACCAATCACGATGCTTAAAATACTAGGCTAGATCTAGAGCCATTTTATAGTCTAATACACCCTAAAACTGTTAAATGGGACATCAAGCTCAACCGGGGGTGGAGTTTGGACTGTTGTGTGCGCTACAAATAGTCTAGATCTAGATCTAGATCTAGAGATTGAATTTCCATGTTTATTATTTTTGCATTTTTTTTATTACATGAATGGGGTAGAGGGGTCTAGATCTAGTCTAGATCTAACGTTAGATCTATCATCTAGATCTAGATATCTAGGCCTAATGTCAATGCAGATCTAACGTTAGAACTCTAGATCTAACTGTTAGGCCTAGAAATCTAGAGTCTAGATCTAGTCTAGACTTCTAGATCTAGATCTAGATCTAGCCTAGACCTGATATTTTTGCAAAAACCCAGGATTAGGCCCTAGACTAGGTCTAGATCTACTGATTTTTCCTTTACATTTTGAAACAAATATGTATTAAATAACAATATATAGATCTAGACCTAGATCTATCATGAATGTTTGCCCTTTGGAGTATTTATCAATGATAATTTTTCAGAAATCCATAAAATATTAAATGGCATCATGCTGACCGGATACCCAACCCGGCCGGACAGCCAAGGCATAGTAGGCCTAGACCTCTAGGCCTGGGCTACCCAACGACAGGCGCGGCTAGCGCCAGCTGACGAACACGTAATACTATAGGCTAGATCTATAAAAGTTTATAACAAACAAGAACCATGATGTACACTTACTGAGTTCAAAGAATCCTACTGTGTCTTCTGGATCTATAGGCAGGTATTTTCTAATACTTCGATCCGCTGAACAGACCCTGACGCTTAATGGCATGGTTGCATGCACTTCGATCACTTCACATCTAGAATCTAGGCCTAATTTGAAGAATTACTACTCCAGAATCAAGACTTCAAGTCAGTGCCAGTGAAATTCTCTAGCCACATGCTCTCGTCTAGCTGTGCGCGCGCAGCTGCAGAGGCGCATATCGGATCATATGACAACTTTCGTCCAATGATTTTCGTCGAATTCTCTAGCTTATGCGCATGTGCGATTTTATAACACCAAATATGACACCATCAGCCTGTAATTGAATATTTTCACACCGTTGGTGTTATTTTTCGCCAATCGGACATGAAATGAACACCAAGGGTGTTGATATTTTTCTATTCCATGCTGGTGTTGAATATTTAACACCCTGGTTTTTGCAGTGTGGATTAACTCTTCACCACCCTACGCTAACTTTTCACCACCCTAGCGCCATGTACATTGTCTATGGATAAACTGCACTATTAGTTTTTCACCACCCTACGCTAACTTTTCACCACCCTAGCGCCATGTACATTGTCTATGGATAAACTGGAATATTAACTCTTCACCACCCTACGCTAACTTTTCACCACCCTACAGCGCCATGTACATTGTCTATGGATAAACTGCACTATTAATTTTTCACCACCCTACGCTCAACTTTTCACCACCCTATAGCGCCATGTACATTGTCTATGGATAAACTCCCCAGCAGAGGCCGCCCTCCTGGGGGGGGGGGGGAGTAGGGGCACAGTGCCCCCCCCCCCACTTTTTCAAGCACCCGAAAAGTGCCCCTTTTTACATAGGATAGGTGCTCCTTTTACACTGATAAGTGCCCCTTTTATTTTGACACGTGCCCCTTTTCCTTCGACAAGTTCCCATTTTCCTTTGCAATAAGTGTCCATTTTCTATTCTCGTAAGTGCCCTCTTTAATCTCTAGTACTAGGGTAGGTGTGGGGAATTGGAGACCCTTAAGTACATTTCCATAATTTACATAAACATGAAAAATGTTACACATACAGAAAGTTTTGTTTTCTCTTCAGTAACTTCTTCTCTTTATTGGGAAACAAAATTGTGGTCATGATGTAACTGATTAATAAGATAAAAATAAGTTATGACGTCATCACCAAAGGTCTCTCATTACCTACATGTGTAGGTAATAAGGGACAGTTACAAATCAAGACATTTCAAATCAAGACATCAAGACAACAATGGGATTGTTATAGTTAGTTCAAACACTTTTTGAAAGAGATACATGCAGCCAATGAACTTACTTTAATTTTGAAACGATTTTGAATGAAGAAATTAATCTCATGTTATCCGCTTGTTATGCTTTATAATTCATTGATATTACAGTATATAACATATTGCAATTTAGTATGGGCCACCAGCGCCAAAATCAAAATCAACTCTATTTATTTATTGCAAAAGAAAGCCCTTCGTATTATGTACTGGTTCACCATATTTATCTCACACAAGTCCAATATTTTACAAACTGAAAACCCTTACAGTATTCGACATAAATTCGCTACAATGTTTACTGATCATGTTTAAGTATTTAAATAATATGCTCCCTCTTTCATTTCAAAACTTTTACACTATGAATAAAGCTATTCACTCTTACCCTACTCGTAATTCCTCAAATTTTCCTCTAGTAAACCCGAAATAAATCCATAAGACACCATGGTCCTGACCTATGGAACTCTCTCCCATAATCATTCTATTAAATCATGTTGCTCCCTCTCAGGGCCGTAGCCAGAGTTTTTTTTTTTTTTTTTTTTTTTTTTTTTTGGGGGGGGGGGGGCACATACATGTAATTGATCGACGTTCTGGGGAGGGGTCTAAAAAAGTTCAATTTTTTTGGGGGGGGGGCACGTGCTCCCCCCCCCCCCCCGTGGCTACGGGCCTGCTCACTCTACTCATTTAAGGCCAAAGTTAAAACGATGTTATTATCAGAATACTCAAGATAGAATTTCTGTGTCAACTCTTCATTCTTTGTCATGTCATCTCTTTTTTCATTCGAATCATTATCATCATCATCATCCTCATCTGCATTGTCAATATCACCATCATCGAAATTTGTATTTTCAATTACCTATCCGTTTCTGCTTAATATGTGTTAATATATTCATGAGTTTTTGTCTGGGGCTGTCGTATTATCAAGCAATCTGCTTACAATGACAGTCCTTCTTCCGCAAATAATTTTATAATGTTTTATAATGTTTGAGGAAACTTAGTATTTATGACAGTTTATATATATATATATATATATATATATATATATGTATTTGCTAATTTATGATTCATTGTCAGAAAAATACTTATTGTACTTTATATTATTATTGTTATCGAAAAACTGTATAATTACACGAATGCAGAAGAAAATATAATCAAATCAAAATATACTTATGTTAATTATCTAAGGTCTTTTCAGTCTTCCGTTATCAGAATGTACTTATAACCCTATCAGGATTGGGTTTTTTCCTCTTTATAAGATGTAATTTTTCTCACTGCGACCTCACAAATCTTAACACTTTTCCTCGCTCGCAAATAAATGTTCAGACCATCACACCCAACTTAAAAAGCATGATGCATTATGCAATATCTTGTATGGTGTATAAGGTGAAACAAATATTGAAATCATCCCTGATAATGTAAACATAATGTAGGGGTATATACCGAAGTCTAAACAATGTTTATTTTCGCTTTGAGGTTTCCCTTTGTAGCCTAGGTGCCTTTTTTCTTCAGAAAGTGTCCTTTTTTCTTGGTGCCCCGTCCCCCCCCCCCCCCACTTTCGAAGTCGCTCGGCCGCCCCTTTTCCCCAGTGAGTGGAGACTGCAAACTTGCGATTGATTGGAGGACTTACGATTGATTTGGATCAATCGTAACTCTATGAGACGGGGACAAGCTCTCATGAAATTCTCACAATGATAAGAATTACAATGATACACATATGAAGTTTGAAAACAATATTTAGACTGCGGACACCAGAATATTTCGAAAACTAATAAACATTTATTGAGAAATTACAGGTAATGGCAATGCATACATGACTTGTATTTCCTTTCAATTCTATTTTCTCTTCTTCGTTCTCGTAGACATAGCCTCTACGGAAATACATGGCAACTTTAGAATAAAGAATCAGTACTAGTACTACATAGATCAGGCGCGCCGGAAGCAGTTTGGGATTGGGGGGGGGGGGGGGGGGTGTGCAAACATTCCAGGGGGCTCACCTTCCAGGGGCAGTGACGTAATGAGAAAGAACGTTCGGAAAGGGGGGGGGGGGGGTGGGCAGACGAAAAATCTGCATCACCACCAGTCTTACACGTTACATGCAGCTCCCGCGGAACGTTTTTCAAAGTGGAGTATTAACGATCAGGTAGAGCGTAAATTGGCGTAGGGTCCAGGGCATGAGCCTCGGTAGGGGGGGGGGGGTCAAGGGGCTGAGCCCCCGGAAGCACAGGGGTTTTAGGTATTAAATTACGGTTATATGAGCATCCAGGGGCCCTCTTTAAGGCCATTGACGTGTTCCAGGGGGGGGGGGGGGGTGGGAGCCCCCAGAAGCCCAGAGGTTTTAATATTTAACTACGGTCAGATGAGCATCCAGGGGCCCGCCCTATAGTGGGTCCAGGGGGCAGAGCCCCCTGAAGCTCAGGGGTTTTAGGTATTTAATTACGATTAGATGAGCATCCACGGGCCCGCCTTAGGGCCCTTGGTGGGGTCCAGGGGGCAGAGCCCGCGGAAGCTCAGGGGCTTAGGTATTTAATTACGGTCAGATGAGCATCCAGGGGCCCACCTTAGAGCCCTTGGTGGGATCCAGGGGGCAGAGCCCCTGGAAGTTTGGGTTTTTTAGGTATTTAATTACGGTCAGATGAGCATCCAGGAGCCCGCCTTAGGGACATTGGTGGGGTCTAGGGGGCATAACCCCTGAAAGCTCGGGGTTTTTAGGTATTTAATTACGGTCAGATGAGCATCCAGGGGACAGAGCCCCCGGAAGCTCAGGGGTTTTAGGTATATTACGGTCAGATGAGCATCAAGGGGACCGCCTTAAGGCCCTTGGTGGGGTTCGGGGGCGGAGCCCCCGTAAGTTCCGGAGTTTAAGATATTTAATTACGGTCAGTCAGGTGAGCATTTTTTATACCTTATTTGTGACATTGGCAGGTCACTTATTTTTTTCTCTCCGTCTTTCTTTCTTTTTCTCTTTAACATACTTTTTCAAAAAGTGAGGGGGGGGGGAGGCTCGAGCCCAGCCACTTTGCAGGCCATGACATAAAGGCTTCTAAATAAGCGTATTTTTCGCTCGACTGTAATTTGGGAATTTCTTATCGTCCAACAAACGCATAAAAAGGTAAGACTTACAACAAAATGGAGAAAAAATACCGGAAAATCATGTCATAACAACAACATTTGTAAATCACTGGTATCAAATAAGAAATACACCCCCCCCCCCATCAGTACGCCAGCGTTCGGGGGCTCATGTCTTCTCACCCCTATATAACAAAAAAACAGACACGCTTTCCCATTCTCGCACAATATGTCCACGATATGCGCGTATCGCTATTATAAAGACCTCCATTGATAAATACCGTATAGGTGGCATGCGCAATGTTTATGAAATTTAATTCCTGTGAACTTTTCTTTTCTTTGAATGGAATTGTACATATGATTTAATTCAGGATTTTATTATTGTTATGTTCTTTTGGGTTAAAAATACAAACCATGTTTACTCTTTTACTGCTTTTTTTTTTTTTTTTGGAGGGGGGGGGGGGGCAAAAATGCGTTTTGTCCCCCCCCCCCCCCCCCTGCCCCACTTCCGGCGCCTATGATATAGATGGTAATATCAAACTTATCTATTAGAGAAGAAAGTTGCGACGAAAGTGCGTCTCTTTGCTCATTTACCATTACCTTTCGTGCCTATGACATTCATAGTTAGCAACTGGGAAAGTATTACATTCAGATACTGTACAAGATTGTACATTAATTTCAATTTTGAAGAGATCATAATGATGATGTTAGCCGACACAAACATCCTTTTACCATTGCAAATCGGCCTGCATATATGACGTACTGTCAAGTACATGATCAGGAAACGTATTAACATGTTAAAGTACAAACACTTTTCCCATAATTATACACGACATAAATAAGATAAGACAACGTTTCAAACAAACAACATCAACAGAAGGAGCTTCCTTGCATTCTGTAGCATGTGTCAAATGAGCCTGTTGGTTATGGAAAAGGGATTAATGGTATTTGCCCATTTTATTGTATGTCTGTTTACGTTTATATACACAATCATGCATGTACGCTTTTAAACTCTCATACGAGTTTATTTTTCTTACTAGTATACTCAAAATGTTAATTACTTCGCTCAATAACGATTTATCACAATTAACTCCT